GTGCCTAGGGAGAAATCAGCTATGCCTCACAAGGCTGAAACGATCGTCTGGGGTTGCTGTGTCTCTCGTGCAGAGAGAACTTGCTGGCATTTCGGATCTGGACTGCCCATATGGGTGGGACCAGTCTGATATGCTTCAGATATGTTCTCTCTGTAATGGCACAGGATGAGCTAAAACCAGCTTGAGTTCTGAGCGGGGACACACCGAAGGGCAGGCTATTTCAGCTGCTGCCCGTTCTCAGTATTCTCTTGCGACCCATTTTTTTTTTTAACTTGTAAAAGGAAGATAATTAAAAACAACATAAGTTGGTATGCACGGTGGTCCCTTTCAAGCAGACGGTCAATTGGCTCTTGGCGGGAATGTAAATATATTTTCAGGTGGTTTCTTCTTGGTACATAGAAACAGCTAAACATTCACATAAACTTCACTCAGATCTATTTGTAAATCTGGACTTGAAATAGAAAGTAAAGAAAAAGGTCTTATTTCTCACCTATTTAAATTCCCCTCATAAATGATGTCACGAGAAATAAGGGGAATGTAATAGCTATAATTATGATTCACCCACAATTATAGGGTGATGAAAAAGAAGAGTTCCCTATTTACTTAGGAGTCAAAAGGAACCCATCACACATTATTTTGGGGTGTTAGTGCTTCTACGTCAATCCCTCCCTAGTTACCGTGATGTGTAGTAGCAGTAACATACACTGTATGCGGTCAGTAACAGTTTGTCTTGTGAAATGCAAGATTGAGACAGTTCAGCAATAGTGAAAAAATAAACGCACACCTGAAACATGCATCTCTCAGCAATGGTGCTGCTGTAGAGATTAAACTTTATACAAAATTGAGATTAAGGAACAACGCACACACAAAACTGCAGTTTGTTCCCCCATATTTGTTCGCCAAGATAGGTGATTTTAAGTAGCCTTGTAAAATGTAAAACTGTTTAGTTGTGTGTGCACTGTTCCTCAATGTACAAACAAAGTGATCGTAAAATCGATAGACATTCAAAAGGAGAGAAAATGGGTAAAAAACAATATCCTCGAGAAAAGTAAAAAAAAAAAAATAAAATAAAAAAAATAAAGTGTATACACACACACACACACACACACACACACACACACACACAAAAAAAAACAAAAAACAGTGTTGATAGTAATAATCAGTGTTGCTTCCCACTTAAGTGCTTTTACCCCAGAAGGTTTCTTAGCACTCACAAACTTAGAATTAAACAAATCAGTAAGTGGAGTGCATAAAGAATAAGATATACCAGTAGTGCCAAGCAATAAAATGGTATACTTAAATTTGTTTCTCCAAATAAAATTTGAAACCGGGCAAATGCATGTAAGTAAAAAATGTAATAGTATAGCAAGGGTGTGTAGTCCTATAAAGATTCTAGTCTGGTCACTATATACTAGCGTCACCAAATAGTTTCTGGAGGTAGCAAGCAAAAAGGCATGCCAAAATGATGGCAAGTTGGTCATATACTGTTAAATCTGGCATTAATTGGTGATGTAATGGCCAAGTGAAAGACTCAAAATGCCCCATATTAAATAGCTCAAGGTGTCTTGTTTAAAAAAAAAATAAAAAAAAAAAAAATGTTGCTTTGATTTTTACATTGTTATTGTTTATATGTTTGCTTATCAGAATGCAAAATAAATTGAATAGAATAAAGAGTTGTGAGTTGTTTAAATTGAGGTAGTGACATCTAGTGTTCGGAAGGAGTATATTTTACGTAACTATTACCTTACAATTAACCTTTTACAGGTTTATTCACGAAATGAGATCTGTCTGGAAGTCAAAGTGAATTTACAATTTTAGATCAAAATAGCCATGTTCTAAGCAGAGCTGACTAGATGATTGCTTTCCAGTTCATCTATTTTGGCCTTAAATTTGAAATTCTATTTGTATTGACAATTCTCACTTTAGTAAATAATGGCAACAATGTCAACACAAAAACAAAATGCTTTCACGTAACAAAGAAACAAGCCCACATGTATAACATATGCTTTCAGACATGTAGAAAATAAAATAGTTTACCCACCTTACAACCATCTCTTTTCTGACCTATCTTTATTTGAGACGGTTTGATAGCATATTAAGCTTGTAAACGTTGTGTTTCACACATCCTGTATTACATACGTCAGATCTGAAACATACACAGAACAGCCACCTACCTAATATTGTGTAGGTAGCACCCCTGTGCTGCCCAAACAGCTCTTTGAGGCATGGACTCAGGGCCTACCTTAGGGGTGTGCGAGCTGTGTGACTGGTGACAGGAGGGAGCTAGGGCAGGTACCCGGGGGGAGGATTTCACTATTCTCCACGTGGGTCTATGAAAGAAAATAATGAAGCAACAGGGGTGGAGCTTACCAAACAATGGGGAGGAGCTTTGTAACGGAGCTCCCTGTACCTCGGCTGGGTACCTCCGCCAAGGACAGCTTCCTAGCTGGAACAGGGGACAAACCGCAGCACTTCTGCCCACAGTCTCCATGACTTGACTGGAGCTCTGGAACCGCTCCTTCCTGGGGCAGAATGGGGAATTAGCTCTAGACACTGGACGACACTCAGTCCTGGGAGCTCTAGTCCTTGCCAGGACTTTCTCCCGTTGAATCCCCTGCAAGCTGGAACAGCAGACAGGAGTAAATCTTCTTTCCCTTCAATAACAGGATGACACACAGTTTTGGAGTGTAAGCTGGAATAGAATTTTAATGGAAGCACACTGGCGTTTTTATGCAAGTTTCCCAACAAGGGTGACACCAAGGGGGACCTTGTTGGGCACAGGGACAGAAAGTGAATAAACCAGTACAGTGAGAGACTCCATACACAAAAACAGTAGAATCCCTCCTCTGTGCTTGGGAGATAATTGAATCAGGAACTGTACTAAAGCTAAACCAATTATGTCCAAAAAATAAAAAAAATAAATAAAAAAAACCAATACATTAGCAGCAGATCATTTAAGTTCGTCAAGTTGCAAGATGGGGGCTCCATGGATTGGATTTGTGGTTTCAACATATCCCACAGATGCTCCATTGGATTGAGAGCTGGGGAATTTGGAGACAATGGCAACACCTTGAACTCTTTATCATGTTTCTCAAACCATTCCAGAGTCATTTTTGCAGTGTGGTAGGGTGCATTACCCTGCCGACAGAAGCCGCTGCCATCAGGGAACACCATTGCCATGAAATGGTGTACATGATCTGCAACAATCTCTAGTTAGGTGGTACTTGTCACAGTAACATCTACATGAATGCCAGAACCCAAGGTTTTCAAGCAGAACATCACCCAGAGCATAACACTGCCTCCGCCAGCCTGACTTCTTCCTATAGTGCATCCTGCTGCCAGGAAAACGATACACACACACACACACACACACACACCTGGTCATCCGCCTAGTCTAAAAGAATGATTAATCAGCAACCTTCTTTTCTTGGTCCAGTTCTGACACTCACCTCCCTATTGAAGGAGCTTTCAGCAGTGAACAGTGGTTATCATGGACACTCTGACCTGTATGCAACTATGCAGCCCCATACGCAGCATACTGTTACACAAAGGCAAAGTGCTGCAGAGCTGCAATGTTTGCCATGTGTATGACTGTTTGTATGGCTGCGCGTATGACTCTCTATGACTGTCTGGCTGTGTCTGTATGACTTACAGACAGTCATACACACACTCATAAAAAACAGTGTTTATCTTTGTATGTGTGTATGGCTGTGTCTGAATGACTGTCAGGATGGCTATGTCTGTATGTGTATCTATATATGTCTGTATAGTTGTAGCTGTTTATGTGCTGTATGGCTGTCTGTATGAGTACGGCAGTGTCTCTATGGCTGTCTGGTATCTGTATGACTATTGCTGTGTCTCTATAGCTGTCTGTATATGTCTTCTATGGCTGTCTTTTTGATGTATGTATGGCTGTGTCTGTATGGCTATGGCTGTATATGTATGACATCTGCGTCTATGTGTGTGTTGTATGACTGCCTGTATGAACGTGTGCATGGCTGTGTCTGTGTGTGCTCCATGGCTGTCTGTATGTGAGCTGTATGGATGTCAGTATGGCTTCTGCACACGTGTGGGTATGTGTGTGTGTATGGCTGTGTCTGTATGCATGTCTGTAAGATGGGTTGTATTTATCTGCATGGCTATCTGTATGCGTGAGTGCATGTGTGTGTGTATGGCTCGGTCTGTATGCCGAGTGATTGTCTGTGACACAGATAACATTTACCATGAACTTTTACAACATCCTAACACTAACCATTATCCCTTATACTGCCTAAAACTTACATCAACACTAACCCAATCCTAAAAATATAATATTTAAGAAACACATAACGATGGCTTATGTAGTGTGAGGGGGTGCAATTTGCAGTTCAGGATTCATTTCTCAACTCCTCAGCATTCAATCTTGTTGTTTGTTTTGTTTTTTAAACATTGTTAACTCCTTGAAGACATTATGTTCCCATTTTCTCCATATTTATCTCTTTCTCCCTTTATAAAATCTTGGAAAAATTTGTCTTGGCCAGTAAAAAGAAAAAGGTATAGGAGTTTATTTACTAAGCAGGAACTGTTCTAAAAGAATTGGGCACCAAATACTCCAGTTACTGTGTAAGGTATTTGGCCCACAGTCAAAGTGACAGGATGAGTACTATAAATACTGGGGGTTTCCTCGCTGTGATTTGAAACGCATCTGTTAAATAGAACGTTTTTCCATTTGGAAATGTGTGTCGCCCTCTAGCTGCAAACTGAGCTAACAACACCCAGTTTTGGTGATGTAATAATGTTTTTGGATCAATTTTGTGAATAACTGGAAAAAGAGGCAGCAAGCACAATGAACAAGCAAAAGTCACAGAAAAGTCAAAATCTGAAAGATAAATATATATATATATATATATATATATATATATATATATATATATATATATATATATATGAATCCAGTAAATGATTCAGGACAGTACAAGAAAAACGACAGTACACTTTACTTGCTGTAGTGGTTATGGTGACAGGATTGCTCAGTATAAATCTGTTAAACTGTTTTAGCATGTTTGATGCTAACCTGGATCCTGTTATGCATCTCCGCTTGATTTTCTTGAAACGGACATCGTATTTCTGAATTTCCCCTCTGACCAAACAACGTGTCTCAATATTTTTGGGTTTTCTGGCACCTTTTCTATTTGCACCAAAATATCCTTTACTGCGCGTCTTGAATTATTTTTCACTGTTTCAGTGTCGGTTTTGAATTTTTCCAATATATAAAAAAAGTGTACCCTTTTTTCCTAACAATTATTTTCCACTAGTGTTAGATTTTCTGTAACAGGTAAGCACGTTTCCTTTTTTTCTTGTAATATTACTAATTTGTCTTATTTTATGCACATAATCTACCATAAAACTTATCAGGAAAAAAATAAATAAAAAAAAACTAGCAAAAAAAATAAATATATATATATATATATATATCTCTCTCGAAGAGGAATAAAAAGTGGTGTAAGAAAATGGCATATTAGCACAAATATGATAGCGTTGTTTCTTTGTCCTTTTCTTCTACATTAGAAGCTCATTTGAGCAGGGCTTTCATCAACTCTTTGTCTGCAAAAAAAAAACCTTGTTAAATAACCCAATTGAAGAATTAAAGCATCTCTAGAATTGTTGCCTTTATATGATTAAGATGCCACGGGCATTAAGCACTGTGGCATATATGTTTGGTGGCAATAAAGGGTTAAGCGGTCCTGTTGGTACAGTTAGGGAAAGTTTAGAGAGTTCATGACCCCTGGTCAGGTTATTTGGTAAAGTGGGACAAGTAGCTGGGCAGCTATGGTGACACAGCTGGCTGAGGATTGGTTGCTGGCCATGAGCCAGCGGAGCGTGGAAAGCCAGGTAAGCATAAAAAGGTGACATCGCAAGCTGTTCTCGATCAGGGAAGATTGGAGAGGATTGACAGGTTTAACAGAAGTGACTTTATACGTAGTTTTTGACAAAATAAATAAGCAAAAGGGAGAAATAATCGTTAAGGCAATATGTCCTATATATAAAATAACAAAGAGTGCAAATTATAAAGCTGGAGAAGTATAGTGAAAATAACAAGACAGGTATTAGTAACGTTTAAGAATCAGGAATGAAAGGAACACCTTAGATATCAAATTGCAGAAATGTCCAGATAGTGGGTTTTGTAGGATTGGATTTATCAAGTTATTTAGAATAATTCAAATAGCAATTCAAGTAGGAAGGGTACAGGATTGAATGAATCAGGTAGGCAGGTTAAATCAATAGTACTCCAAGTAGTTATGGTGCAGGTTTGAAGCAATTCAGGCAGGTATGCAGTTACAGGAGAGTTCATAATCCAATTTACGAAGGAGTAATGTTTGTAGCAATTCTAGTGGTATGCCATGCAGGTAGGTACCTTTATGTAGGATGCAATGCAGGTAAGTACAAGATAGTTGATAATAATCCAGTTTAGGAAGGTGAGAGGATTGTAGTAATTCAAGCAGGATGCAATGCAGGTTAGTACAGGACCTCTCACAGGAGAAGTTCTTGGTATGAACACCAACTTCAATTGAATGGCCTCTTAGTTTGTTGGGTGTGGCCATTTATAGCAGGACTTATTAACATAGGATACAGGTGAGTATGTTGTGACTAGTGGCTAGGGAGGCCACTAGAGGTGAAAACCAGAACTGCATTTAAAGGGACGGTAACAAAAAGGAAAAAGTCTTGCTTATCATCATAAGAATGTGACAAAAAGCGGTCAGGTTAGCTATGATTGACTGGCAATTAAGTGATGGTGACAGTTAAAAGTTTTCGGAGTAAAGTGAAACGTTTATGTGAATCTGTTACCGTTATCAAGTTATGGTGGAATGCCCCCTTTAAGCTTTAAATAAACCCCACAGCCTATCCCATTGAAATAAAATAAACTGTGTCTGTGCTTATTGTGTGGTCTAAGTTATTTATGTGAAATGTTGCCTACCATACATAACAATAACAATACTATAGTTACAGTTTATAAAACCAAATAGAATCCTGAAGATTCTATGATACTGAAGAATCATAATCATAGGAGATCTGAGGGTTTCAAGCTCCCGGCAGAATTTCACTCTCAGCACAGGTTATAATTGGTATACTGGTTGAAAGTCCCAGATTCTACTCTGTTCAGTCTCAGTATTGCCAATATGAACAATTTCAGGAATATTTTTTTGCCATGTCATAGCAATCATAACTTTGATCTTTCTTATTTATTATTATTGGTAATTATATAGTGCCAAGTAATTCCACAGCACTTTACAATATTATGAAATAGGGGGACATTTACAATAAATGAGACAATTACACAGTGACACAGGAACAATAGGTAGATGAGGGCCCTGCTCAGAGGAGCTTACAGATTTAATATAGAGGATTTAATATAACCGCACAATTCAAATATTATTTAATGGCCTTTAACTTACTAATATTTTCATATATGACCTGTAGTATGATGATAAAAATCTGGGAATTTATTATAAAAAAACTAATTTCCACAAAAAACCCATCTGAGGGAAATATGACATGCGATATGTATATCTATATCTCTGATGGATGAAGACTATTTTAAGCTCACCTTCAACACAACACTTACTAAGTGGCTCGCGTGTAGCTGCCGTGTTCTCACTGAGAGCCGGGTCAGGAAGGAGCAATTATTGTGGTCAGTACGTGCCACAGGACCATGAGGGACTATAAACATTAATGTACCATCATGTATACAGAAGCCCTGCTGGACCATCAGAGATCCAGGAACTCAGTGGACCAACAGGGAATCTTGAGTGGAGAAAACAATGGATGAAAAAAAAAAAAAAATACTGGATCAAGAGTATAATATATTAAATAAGCTGTTCGTACTTCCTGAAGAAGTGAGTGCAACTCACGAAACACGAATCACCGAATCAGCAAGATATGACCTATGTAAGACACTGTCCCTCCAAAATCCAGCATGGCAGAACATGCAACCGGCGGAACTTGCAGAAGGACTTGACATTATCTCAACTGGTGCAACTTCCATGAGCACTCCACATCCATTACACCAGCAAGACCTCAAACAGGTCCAAGCACTTAACACACACACTGAATAGCTGCAAAAATGTTGTGTCACGGATCTAAGGAATATTCACCATCCAGCTCCACTCACTTTTTTTGAGTACACTCCAGTAAGGGAACAGAGGACTTTTTATATATTTATAGTATATAAAATGTTATAATAATCTTACTTCACCATAGACATCTGGTTTGCGCTTCTATGTACAGTGAGGGAAAAAAAGTATTTGTACCCCTGCTGATTTTGAACGTTTGTCCATTGACAAAGAAATGATCAGTCTATAATTTTAATGGTAGGTATATTTAACAGTGAGAGACAGAATAACAACAACAAAAAAATACAGAAAAACGCATGTCAAAAAAGTTATATATTGATTTGCATGTCAATGAGTAAAATAAGTATTTGATTCCCTATCAATCAGCAAGATTTCTGGCTCGCAGGTGTCTTTTATACAGGTAACGAGCTGACAGGACAACTGCACTGCATCAAAAGGACGATGGACAGGGCCATGTACCATCAAATCTTGGGTGAGAACCTCCTTCCCTCAACCAGGGCATTGAAAATAGGTTGTGGATGGGTATTCTAGCATGACAGTGACACAAAACACACAGCTAAGGCAGCAAAGGAGTGGTTTAAGAAGAAGCACATTAAAGTCCTCGAGTGGCCTAGCCAGTTTCCAGACATTAATCCCATAGAAAATCTGTGAAGAGAGCTGAAGATTCGAGTTGCCAAATGTCAGCCTCGAAACCTTAATGACTTGGAGAGGATCTGCAAAGAGGAGTGGGACAAAATCCCTCCTGAGATGTGTGCAAACCTGGTGGCCAACTACAAGAAACGTCTGACCTCTGTGATAGCCAACAAAGGTTTTGCCACAAAGTACTAGGTCGAAGGGGTCAAATACTTACTTCACTCATTGACATGCAAATTAATTTATAACTTTTTTATAAAACTTTTTTGACATATTTTTCTGGATTTTTGACGCTCACTGTTAAAATACACCTACCAATAAATTTATAGACTGATCATTTCTTTGTCAGTGGACAAACAGTGGGCAAACATTCAAAATCAGCAGGGGAACAAATACTTTTTCCCCTCACTGTATATGTACTAAACAAGGCTTTGTATTAACTGTAATCATATGTATTGAAAGGGTAAGTCTGTCTCTGCACAAAATAAAGATCCAGGACTTGCAATCTAGCCCACACCACACGTACTAAGGCCATGATTTAATACATTTTCCAAATGATTCAATATTGTTAGAACAAGTTTCCAAATGATTTATCTTCAAAAAGTCCCATACACTGTAATGGAGACTTCTGCAGCTAAATCATTTGGAAATGTTCTAACAGTATTTAATCATTTGGAAAGCTTATTAAATCAAGGCCTAAGATGGAAAAATTATTTGGACATGCCTGTAAAACAGAATATGCTGTAAGACGGGACAATATAAAAATAACCAAAAAAACCCCAAAACAATTAAGGATACATCAATGGATAAATTATTAGGTAGGAAAAAAGCTTATCTATGGGGTTAACTAGTGTGGCTAAACCGGGGACGGCAGGTATTGGCAAACCAAGTAAACAGGCAGGTCTGACCCAGGGCCGGTGGGTGCTGCGGCCTTCTAGCAGCAAGACCGGCCCTTTTAATATCAGCAGCCAGTGTTGGATGTGACTACCTGTTACATCCCCCAGCTTACAGACCGTGCAGAGTGGGACGATAAAGGAGGCACAGAGAGAGGGGAGGAGGAAGACAGTCTGGACATCCTCAGACTCCCATCAGCGTCAGCCTGCCCAGAGAAGTCATCCTCCTGCACCCAAAAGGTATGGCAGCAGGGTGATGGCTAAAAATGTGTAAACTGAAACTTGTATGTGTGTCTGTGTAGGTATATGCATGTATCTGTGTATGTGTCAATGTACGTTTGTGCCAGTCTGTGTGTATTTGTCTGTAGGTATGTGTTTGTCAGAGTGTTTTGTACCAGTGTGTGTATGTGTCTGTGCACAGCAGGTATATATTTGTATCAGTGCATGTATTTGTGTGTGTGTACCAGTGTATGTGATTGTGTAGCAGGTATATGTTTTTACCAGTGTGTGCATATGTCTATGTAGGTATATGTGTGTATCTGTGTGTGTTACTGGGAGTATCTGTGTGTGTGGTATGTGTGTCTATATATATATATATATATATATATATGTCTGTGTAGGTATACATTTGTGTCTGTGTGGGTACATGTATGTATGTGTGTTAGTGTTTATCTGTGTCACTATGTGCATGGCCGCTTATGTGTATATGTGCATACATCCCAGCATTCAAACATCAACACTACATCCAAAAAACTACTACAATCAAAAGGCAACACTACAACAATCAATCGCCAACACTGCATACAACATATTGTTGCAATCATAAGCCACATTAAATATAAACCGCCAACATTATATCAAAACACACCCCTGCATTCAACCACCAACACTACATACAAACACATCCTCACCCCCCAAATATACTACACAAAATACACCATTGCTTTCAAATGGCAACAGTACATACAAATACACAACTACGTTAAAATGTCAACACTACACACAAACAGAAACCTACAAACTCCATACAAAAAATATGCTTGCATTCAAACACACAAACTCTGCTCACAAATAAAACCCAGCAAGGAGGGCAAATGGTAGATCCCCAGTTGGCAACGCATTGTGGGAGATTTACAACAGATGTGAATCTACCTTTTGCCACCCTTGTGCTAGTGGATATGGCCAATGACTTTCTTACACCAGGGCCTTCTCTGCATTAGTCCCACCACTGGGCTTAACCCTGTTTATCTATGTATCTATTAGCTGTACCAGTGATATATCATCATCATATTTGTCCACACATTTAGAATCAGATTATTATAGATTAAATCATGGATGTATATTTTAAAATCATAATTTGAAGATTTGAATACTGAGCCAGCTACCATGAGAAAATAATGTTGATATCCATAAGCAAATTACAGATTTGACTATTCCATCTTTAAATCAAACTAACATTTTTTTCACATATTTATTTCATATATTTATTACAATTGATCCTTTGTTTGAACACAAATCGGAAACAAATTTAGTACAATAACGGACTTTACTTTTCTTGGATTAGCTTTTTCAAATTATTTAATATTTTTGGATAAACGTTTAAGTTATTTTATTCAAAATATTGAAATATCAAAAACTTCATAAAATATATTTAAAAGTAAATTTTTAAATATATTACATCATTTGAAAAGTTTATCCAAAAACATTAAATCAAGGCTATTTAAAAAAATTTAAAAAAAAAAATGCACAGGCATTTCCAATAGTGTAATTTGTAATGTGTTTATAAACAAAAGAAGAAATAAACAAATGTCACAATTTAGAGCAAGAGAACGTGGTAGGAAATAATTTAAATATATATATTGTTTATTTAATTATTATTATTATTAACACATGAATATTGAGCTATCTCTAGAATGTAAGCTCGTTTGAGCAGAGCCCTCTACACCTTCTAGTCATGTCCGTCCAACTCGTCTTTGGTGCAAATACCTGTCCACCTATTGTACAGAGCTGCAAAATTTGTTGGCGCTTCATAAATACAAACAACTATAGAATTCTTGTATTTGATTTGTTTTAACTGAAATTGTAATTTTTCATAAATAAATTAAATGCTCCAGATTAAAATTATTTGGACACGTTCAAATGATAGCAATTGGACTTTGCGTGCCCAGCATAACAAAAGAGCCAAAACAGAAAAAAATACTAATTGAAAGATGAAATTTGAACATGATAATTAATAATAATCTAAAAGAAATCGGATATATGGCAAATTAATGTATGATACAAAGTACAGACAATTTAGAACCAAAGGGTAAATAGATGCGGTTCTACAGAATGGGAATATAATTATTAATTTTAGTTCTGTGTCTTTGAGAAATGCATTCAGCAATCCATACAACATTCCTGCATTCTTGCTCCTTCAACTTAATGTACGCATAGAATACACCGAAGTGGAACTGGTTGTTAAATGCCAGCACATTCATTTGTACCTAGGAAAAAAAAAAATACAACATAAATATATTACTATCACTGTGAATTATATAAATATGCATTGTCACGCTATACATAATGAAAAATTAATATCAGTAAATCAACCACTAAATGTACTATAATACACCTCCTCATATTACACCTGGATTTATTTTACCTGCATTTGTCAATGGGACCAGGAAATAAAGCAACTTGCCAAAAGTACTTCTCTTAAAGTAACACTCTGTGCAAACTGTAGTTGTTATGGTGCCAGTAGGGCCCTGGCAACCTTCAAGTGTAAGTAGACAAAGCATTTATGAATGGCTTAACAACTTACTTGGCTTCGGCCAAGTGCCGGTTGCCTCCTCCTTTGGAGCCTGGGCGCTTCTGTTATCTTTTCTGGGCTAAGCCCTGCAGTGGCTGAGAGCATCACCTGAGGTTAAGAAGTGAGCCCAGTCATGTCCCTTCCTCCTACACTCAGTGCATACTGGTTTTGCCCTGGAGCTGCTTTTTATAGACCAGGCAGAGGAACAGGTCCTGTTAGACTTCCCAACAAGAGTGGCAGTGTTGGAAGGAGGTCTGTGCATTCTCCTTGCTGCCTGTCACCTGTATAGGGCCAGCCCCACACCACCCCTCAATTACAGGCTACTGGGTAAAATATAGCCTTGTTGTATGCATTTAATTTTAAAATTATTATATATGCCATTTAGCACTGTAAGATATTGCAATCTAATAAAAATAAAATCATTTATAAAATATTTCTAAAAATACCAATCTAAGCATAAAATGCAGGGTGTATTTACTCTTTTCAATTAGAAGTAAAATCTTAAAACACAAATAATGAATACACGTCAGAAGTACAATTTGTGAGGTTTTATATATATCAGTGTTTCTGTCACATACTGGGGTTGAATAATTTGCAATGACCTCCGACGGTGACTTTGTTTCTTGATGTCTGGTGACCTCGGGGTGCATGGGAAGGTAATTTATACTTAACCGGGGCCTGTGCAATGCTCTTACTGATGGTCTTTTTCAGCTACTGGCGCTTCAGCTGCGAAGAGGCTACGTTAGCGTTGTAATTTCACGCATGTGCAAAAGTAAACTGAGGTCTATGAAGGATCCAGCGAGACCGTGGGCCCTCCGTAAACAATGCCTTCTCCCTCTCAGCCATAATGATGGCTGAGGCAAATGACAAACCTTGACAAATTGAATTTTTATAAAGTGTTTATCTTAATAAAGTACTCACATTGTAAGGGGGAGTGGCAGTGCTGCTCTAATATCAAAAACATTTAAATCAATATTTTATAGTGATATTAATGTTCACATTATTGGTATAAATATATAAAACACTGATTTACTTTGAAATATTTAACTGTATTTTTTTACCTCATTTTCAAAAAACTTGTCTTCCAATGTTTTTTCTCCGCTTCCACTTCCGACACCTTCAAACAATGCTTTGTATTCCTAAAAACACAGGATGTGAGCCATGAGTATGTATTGAGTTTTATAGAAATTGTGTTATTATTATTATTTTCAGTAAAAATCAAGCAGTAATACAGAAGAAAAACAAGATATTGGTACATCACATCGAAAAATAACAATATAAATAAACATGTGTATACAAAGGTTGTGATCACATTTTATGGCGTGACAGGAGGCGGACAGCATTGTGCCTTTAGAACCTTGAACATTGCTTCTTCACCCAGGACAACCCCCGGTAGAAAAATACTGCCATGGGTTGTCTCATGTAGCCCTTCGAATACTGCCAAGATTAAGACTATTGCTATCACACGGACCTTATCAAACGTCCAAGTGCACAGAATTAATAATAGCTATGTGGAACATAAAATGTTGATGGCACTTGAGCACTCAAAGAGTATATTCACTTATGTTAAACACCTCAAAACAGGGCAGTTGGAAATGAATGCACCTTAAATGAGCAAGTTTGCATACCGCATAATATTCTGCAATATTCTTCACTTGATCATAGTCATCAGCATTGGCAAGCATCCTCAGTCCTTCAGGGTACAACCTGCCACAGGTGGGGTACAATGTCTCTCTTTCTTCCTTGTTGAGTTCCGTTCCAAAGGAATTGATTGTGATAATAAATGCCCGTCTATCAGCTTCAAACTTGACGAGGAAAAAACATAAGAAAATATTAACATTTACCCATAAAATGTTAGGCACATGATATTATACATTATTAAAGTTGCCACAAGAAACATGAAAAAATATATATTTTTTACTGTTTTATACATTCACTGTCACTGCGCATTTTACATCAAGGTTTTGTGTTTTTTTGTTTTGTTTGTTTTTTAGACATTTCCCTCATGTTTTGTATGAGATACATTTCACTCTCCTTTGTTTAAAAAAAAGTACCACACTTACAGAGTTATTTAATAAAGTGAGAATTCTAAGAGAATTTAAAATTTAAGGCCAAAGTAGATGAAATTAATAAATTCTTTAAGTCAGCTATGCTTCCTCAAATTTTAAATTTACTTTTAATTCCTGACAATTCTTAGTGAGAGAAAATCATAACCAAACAAGAACCAATACAGGTCTGTAAAAAGCCAACTGAAATCCATAATTACAAGAAGACCTCTAATTCTAAGTGTGACAAACGCTCTTTCCCATGAACGTTTGCCACAAACTCCAGGGGGAGTGTGGAACTGGACTCCTGCCCACCGACTATGGTCCAGGTTGGAGCCCCTGTTTGGGAGTTACCCTACCGAACGCCATTAACAGCTTTCCCTCGGTGCCCCTGGTTCAGCACTTTCCCTTCATTCGAATGTAACCAAACGCTAGTTCCCTGGTAGCCTTTTGCATGAACCAAACCCACAAATGGTCCTCAGCAGTACTTAGCCTCAACGGTTATGGAACTAACTTTGGCATGAGGACTTCGTGGTTCCCGGTCACGTCAGCAGTACGTAGCAGCAAATGTTATGGAACTGTTTTTGGCATGAGGTGACCTTGTGGTTCTCGGACAACTTGGTCTGGGGTTTTGAACCACTTTGCGACCTGCCATGAGAGCACTTTTTGGAAGGAAGATGTCTGAGACTAAGGGGAACAAATGCTCCCTAAGAGCCAGGCAGAGCACACTGTATTACAGCCGCAGAAGCTCAGCTCCAGAAAGTTGATAGGCCAAAGCACCAAACGCTCTGCAACTATTTTGGGCATATAACCACGTGTGCACCTGGTCAGAACTTTGACACATGGCATTTCCCTACACTGCATGGATCTGAGCGCTACTTGGACAACTTGGGCTTTCAGATCAGATTTGGGGATGTAGGACATGTGAGTTTATTGTATGTTTTTATTATGTTTTGGGGCACTTTTATGTTTTTATGTTTTGTGTTGGGCTGTCTGTTTCTGGAGATAATTAGCTTACGGTCTTGAACTCAATTATCTATTGTCTCCCAGGCCCAGTGGTTCCTGGGAGGGGCTTGCATTGTATCATTTGGAGACCTCCTGCTGAGGTCTGTGCATAAAAGGCAGAGTTTGGCTCATTAACAATCAGTTGTACTCCCAGAACTATGTGTCGTCTATTCACTGAGAGGGAAAAGGGCTATAATCACTGCTCAGCACCTTGTTCCAGCTTGTAGAGGATTAAGCAGGGAAGGTCCTTGTAAGGACTTGAGCTCCCAGGACTGTGTGTCGTCCAGTCCCTGGGAGGGAATAGAGATAGTCCCCTATATTGTTCCAGGACAGAGAGGCTCCAAGAGGACCTCAGTCAGACCACGGCTGTGCTGAGGTTTTCCCTGGTTTCCAGCTGGGAAATAATCATTGGTGGAGTTTGGGAACCGCTTGCTCTAGAGGTTAGGAGGCTTATAGTTTGGTGCAGAGTTTAAGAGATAGACACCAAATGTCCAATACCCAGGACTACAGTGCTAAATGTACACCAATAATCAGGGATATTCCAAGGTGTATACAAGTGTATATCCCAATATTGAGTTTCAGAAATATAAAACAATATTCTGGGGTTGCTAGTTTATATTAATTTACTTGAGTCCCAGATGTTGTGGACTTCATCTCCCATAATGCTCTTACAGCCATAATACTATCAAAGTATCAGTGAGGTGCCAGTGTACAAATACTTGATCATAAAAATGCATTTGTTTTAAAAAATGAGCAAAGGTCTCTAAGCCTCCTAATAAACCGTACGACAGTGTACAGCTGCATCCCTATCCCCATGCACCATGCTGTGTAAGGCTTGGGGGAGGGGGAAATTTATTCCGCAGCGCTTTACAAAATTATGAAAGGGAGAAATGTAACAATAAATGAAACAATTACAAAATGATACAGGAACAATAGGCAGACGAGCTCAAACAAGCTTACAGTCTAGAGGAGTGAAATATAAAGACGCAATAGGTAGGAAATCAAGGAGGCAGCAAATGAACAAGGTGGAAAAGTAGCAGAACTGGAGGTAAGAGTGGAGAGTGGCTCTTTATGAGAGAGCAGTAGAAAAATATGTGACAGAGCAGTTACTCAGGGAAGCCATAAGCATTTCTAAATTTATTGGTTTTGAGAGAATTCTTAAATGATTGAAGACTAGTGAAGAGTCTAACAGGGTAGGCAGGCTTTTACAAAGGAAAAGTCCTGCAAGTGAGAGTTAGCAGTAAGGGTTCGAGCAGCAAACAGGAGAATGTCACCGGCAGAGTGGAGAGACAGAGAAGGGGCATACCTACGCATCAGTGAAAAAATATAACAGGGGCTAGAGTTGTTTAGAGCTTTATAGGAAAGGGTTAGTATTTTGAATTTACACCTATAGGATACAGGACGCCAGTGTCAGGATCTACAGAGGGGCGAGGTATGAGAGGACCGACTGGTGAAAAAGTAGCAGCAGCATTAATTACACATTGTACAGGGCAGTATGGATTCTGGGAACACCAATTAGGAGACAATTACAGTAATCCATTACTAGATTACTAGAACATGAACTTGGCAGCATCTTGCATAAGGAAAGGGGGAATGTGGGCAATGTTTTTAAGGTGGAATCCAAAGGTTTAAGCAACAGACTGGTTACGAAGTGCAAAGGTAAGGCCAGTTTCAAAGATAATACCAAGACAGCTAACTTTCACGGACGGTTGATGCAGGTACCATCAACTTGCAGTGAAAGATCAATATTATGAGGAGGAAAAATAAGCTCTGATTTAGAGAGATTGAGTTTCAGAAAGTGGGAGAACATCCAGTCAGAGATTGAAGAAAGGCAACCAGTGACACGGTGTAGGACAGCTGGGGAGTGACCATAAGGGGAGAGATAGATCTGGGTGTCATTGTCATACAGGTGATAGAGGAATCCAAAGGAATTAATGAGTGTTCCAAGAGAGACAGTATAAAGAGAGAACAAAAGGGGACCAAGAACAGAGCCTTGGAGGACTCCAACCAAGATAGGATGAGGGGAGTAGGTGTCATTGGAAAAGGAGATACTGAATGAACATTGGGAGAGATAGGAGCAGAACCAAATATTGTAAAGCGCTACGGAATCTGTTGGCGCTATATAAATGATAATAATAATAATAATAATAATAATAACCATGAGAGGACAGTGTCACGGAGACTGAGGGATTACAGAGTTTGGAAAAGAACATGATACACAGTGTCAATGGCAGCAGAGAGGTCAAGAAGAATTAGTATGGAGAAGTGGCCTTTTTATTTACCTGTGATTAGGTTATTTGTAACTTTAGTCAGAGCAGTCTCAATAAGTGGAAGGGGTGGAAGCCAGACTGAAGAGAGTCGAGGAGAGAGGTAGAATTGAGGAAGGAAGCCAAATGAGTAAAGACAAGTCTTTCTAGAAGCTTTGAGGAAAAAGGGAGCAGGGATATTGGACGATAGTTGGAAGTGGAAGATGGCTTTTTTTAAGGAGAGGTATGACAGTGGCATGTTTAAGGGGAGCAGGGACAACACCAGAAGAAAGAGAGCAGTTGTAGATGTGAGTTAAGGATAGTATAAGACACGGGGAGAGACAGGGAAGTTTTAGCTGCGAGGCTAAAAAAGCCGCCCCCAAATACCCAGGGCAAATGTCTTGTTAGCCTTGCGGCTAACTGACAAGCCAGGCGGGCGGGCGGTCGGTCGGTCAGGCGACGCTGGTGAGGGAGCTGAGCAGAGTGCTCAGAGGAAAGTGCTCCCTTGCCAGCGCCACCCAACCGACCTCCCAGCAGCCCAGTAGCCCCACTAGACCCCAGGGAGAGGGAGAACCCCCCCCCCAGCATTCTAAAAGGTAAGGAGGCTGGGGAGGTTAAATAAAAAAAAAAAGTGAGTGTGTTAATGTGAGTGAATGTGTGTCTGTGTGTGTCTGTTAGTGAGTGTGTGTGTGTGTGTGTCTGTTAGTGAGCGTGTGTTTGTCTGTTAGTGTGTGTGTGTGTGTGTCTGTTAGTGAGTGTGTGTGTGTGTCTGTTAGTGAGTGTGTGTGTCTCTTAGTGAGTGTGTGTGTGTCTGTTAGTGAGTGAGTGTGTGTCTATTAGTGAGTGTGTGTTTGTCTGTTAGTGAGTGTGTGTGTGTGTCTGTTAGTGAGTGAGTGTGTCTGTGTCTGTTAGTGAGTGTGAGTGTGTTTGTCTGTTAGTGTGTGTGTGTCTGTTAGTGAGTGTGTGTTTCTGTTAGCTAGTGTATGCGTATCTGTCAGTGAATGTGTGTGTGTATTTAGAAGGTGGGGTAAGGGGTAGGTTGGGTGGGGGTGGTGCTGGGGGGGGGGGCTGAATTTTGTCCTGCCTAGGGCAGCACAAAACCAGGATCCACCACTGGGGAGAGAGATCTGATAAGGTGAGAAGGGATGGGATTAAGCGGACAAGTGGTGGGACGAGAGGAAAGGAGAAGCCATCTCCTGTTTAGTAGCTGGGGAGAAGGCATGAAAGGTAGAGAAGGTATGGTCCAGGTGCAGTTGAGAGAGAGAGAAGCAAAGGGAGAATATTTTTTTCCTTAACTGTTAAATGACTCATCTCTCATACTGTTTCCAGTTTCAGTGCTGTCTGCAAGAGATGTCAATGAAAAAGAAATAGATAAGTGAAGCCGTTATGTATTTTTTGGAAATATTTACTTACCTCAAGGATAGGACACATTGTATCTTTGGTAGTTCCTCCTTGTGCGTCACAGAAGTTATAGAATGCTTCAAGGTAGGACTATTAAAAGAAATGAACATAAAAAGAATATGTGAATTATATTAAAATTTTCATTTATTCTACAGGAATTTTAACAGGGGGTTGGTAATTATAATTAAAAGTTCATATGTAGTATATCTGTTATACACATGCTAAGCATCATAAACGGTGTACTCCCAGCTTTATGATAAAAGTAAAAATTTGTTTTGATACAATAGATAATAAAATATGTAAAATTTCCAAAGATAGTTTATGAAAAAAGTTATTGATACAAAAATGGAAAAATCTGCAGAAATATTTGAACAAACTTCTTAACCAACATATCTATCATATAATTCCAGGGTTTTTTTTTCCGTTTTTTTTTCTGGTATTTGTTATGCTATTACATGTATAATCATTTTAAGTATATATTAATGTTTAGGGATACTGAAATAACATAATTTAAAATTTTTATGTTTTTAATATCTTATTTGCAGCTCTGCTTGAATCTAGCTTCCTCCCCTTTTGCTTCAGATCAGTTCCCTTTTAGTTCCATTGTTTCCGTATAAGGATTATTGATGTATACATCTTGGCACTGTCATGTTTGCGCCTCGTTTTGACCCTCCCCTTTTGATATTGAGGAACTTCCAGGACTCGAGATATGGTAGTAGAGGTAGGAAGCAGTATCCAGTGTACCCCAGGTAAGAAGTCAAACTGTTCTATATAGTTTGACTTCTGACAATGGAGGGGGCTATTGACACCATAATAACTACAGAAAGCGATAGTGGTTATGGTGCCTTGAGTGTCCTTTATACATTACCTGTTCACACAGAAAAAAACAAAAAATAGAACACTTGCATTCAGTGAGGTATTACTTGGCGAGGACAAGAGTATGAATTCTTAATGAAATTTGTTTTGTTAAATAAATAAAATAAAAACAGCAGTTGCGAGACTAATTTCTTCTAGAAAACGGTGCTAATGATCGAACAAAAAAGAATTAGCATCTTCAAGTAATTATTTCTTTGCTTCCTTAGACCAGAACAACTATAGTAATCTAATGTTTGAGATGTGTATGTGTTTTGACAGGCGAATTAAAGGGACACTCCACTGCCCAAATGCAAAACAAATAAAAACACTATTTAGTAGATATGCACCCAATGAAAAATGCATTTATTTAATTATGCATTTCTTCATTTGGGGGTAAATCTAAAAACAGCTTGCAAAAGTTGCAGATCTCTTATCTAACACCTTTGCAAATCCTCCTGGTCTAACCCAGCCCAGACTTTCAGTCCAATCACAGTCTTTCCAATGCAGATCAATTAGAAGTCTTTGCAAGGCAAACCAAAATTTAGCATTTCAAATTCTTCTTGCCTATTTGTTCCAGCACTGTTTATTACCCTATATATAAACATATGTATCTAAGACAGGGGTAGGCAACCTTAGACACTCCAGATGTTGTGGACTAAATCCCCTCATAATGTTCTTATAACCTTAATGCTGGAAAAGCATCATCAGGAAGTATTACTTTACTGAGAGGGTAGTGGATGCATGGAATAGCCTTCCAGCTGAAGTGGTAGAGGTTAACACAGTAAAGGAGTTTAAGCATGCGTGGGATAGGCATAAGGCTATCCTAACTATAAGATAAGGCCAGGGACTAATGAAAGTATTTAGAAAATTGGGCAGACTAGATGGGCCGAATGGTCCTTATCTGCCGTCACATTCTATGTTTCTATGTTTCTGTCATGGGAAGTGTAGTCCAAAACATTGAGAGTTGCCTACGCCTGTTAGAATTTCATTTTGTCTTCCCACCTGCTTGCATGGGAGTTGCAGATTGCAGCCCACTAACTTCTTCAACACTTTACAGCAACATTTATTAGTCCCTTAGGCAGGGATAAACACTTAACTAAAAGTTGTCAAGATGGATATAAGGGAAAGGTACAAGTGGTTGGTCAGTACCAGCACCTGAAGAAATTATTTTTTGATACAATGTTGACATTTGCATAAATCACTCCTTAAAAAGAAAACACAACACGTAAGTGTCCAGCGATGAAAAATCAAGTCTGATTATACCTTGAACAACTTGTTGCGCATAATTTCAATATTCATCTCATCCATATCGTTTTCAGACAGACAATCTTGGAAAAAAGCAGCTAAAATGGTATTAAAGAAAAAATAGTTACAGTGTAAAATTTAAACAAAAACAAAACAATACTTGTTACTCTATGAATAAAATGTGGTAACGCAAGCAGAAATCTTCATTTTAGCATATATAGTACAGTACCCATAGTTCAGTACAGTAATGTGAAGCATGACCAAACATGTCTTGATTAACATAAAACAATCAAGAAACACACAACATAATTATTAAACTCCTTAGGAGATCATGGGCATGTTAGAACACCTATCATGGAGACATGGATGCTTCAACTCAAATTTCTTTTATATAGAAAGACAGATACACAGACAGATAGTCATATAGACTGATTAGATCAATCGATCGATAGATAAATTGATAGACAAACAGACAGACAGTGTGGATGGACCTATGGGAGCATGCCATATATGGCAGGATGGACAACCTTTAAAATAATTCCATCTTAGAGGTTGCTTTGGTGTTTCAAACAATATGTTCTCTGGTAGATTTTGCAAACAGCACATGTTCTCATAGACGTCAAAACTCATACCAAGACATCTTGCAAATGGGCACTATTTATGTTCCTAATGGCAATGATTGAATACATAATATATTTGGACCCATTCCCCTGATAGCCACATATTATATAGAAATACAGAATTTAGATGTATCTACCGAGAGGGGTGTCAACCAAAATAGCATTGAAGAGTTCTGCGGGCGTCTGAGCAATGTTCACGGCTTCCATCTGCTCGAAGCTGCCCAGAGGGTGGCATTTAGGAACCAGTTCAGAAATAGGTCTTTGGTGCAAGGTCCCCGTTATCAACAGAATCATGTTATCAATCATGTAGCTGTATCTGTATAGAAAAAAATAAAAAAACATAATATATATATATATATATATCTCAGCAGGAGAAGCTTGCCTTTTCTCTACAGGTCTAAACATTGGAACCAAAACAAATTTTCTGCTGGCTCAATTGTTGCCCCACAAAGACTCATTATGTGTAACCCTTTTTCACAAGTATCGTTCACTTTCACAGAAAGTACAGGTTTATACTTTTATAAACAATATAATTAATTCATACAATTTATTGTGGAACTGCACGTTGGATCTCAAGCTATGTGAGTAGCAAGGATTCAATTACTATATGCATGAGAGTAGGCTAAGAGAATATTAAGTACAAAAGCTTAGATAACAATTTTATTTAACGCAGCATAAATGCCATATACCTCTGCAGAGAAGGGATTATACAGGGTTAGGGAATGTGTTTTGGAGATCGTGGATCCCTCATTATTATATTTAAATCTGTCCACGTTTATTTTTAAAATCTCCCCAGTTTTGTAGTAAAGAAGAACATATATTTGGAAGGGCAACCCCACTGCATTATTTCAATACAAAATGCCAAAGCTGTAATATAATTATAGATAATAGACAATATAAAGCCATGTCTTTGTAGCCATGTCTTTGACATGTAGCAGTAAATCATAAAGCGATTACAGTGATATTACTGACACATTGTAGGTCCTAATTTTGTATGTAGTGATGTCTTCAAACAAACATTAAGTTCTCAAAAAACAAACAAAAAAACTCAACAACTTACGTAATAAAATTAAGAAATGTGGCAAGTGGCTCGAAAGCATGATTTCTAAAGTAATGGAACTCTGTCATCAACTTTTCTTTCAGCTTTTCATCAATCGTAGATACAGTGAGTTGTCCTGTTTCATTGGACAGGAAACTTCCATAATCAGTTGATTGTAAATGTAGCTTTAAATCTAAAACAAATGTAAAGGGAAGTGTTTAGAACCACATGTCTAATTCCAGTTTTATTATGAAGTCAGCCAAAGAAGGTCATACACGAATGTATGCAATATTTTTGGGGCAATTTATTCACCTGAGACTAACATATTACATTGTTCATATATTTATTCATATACGGATAATGAAAGTACCCACTTCAGGTGTTGATATTTCATAAACAGTTGTGTCTAAATAACTGTTTTTACTAACATTCTAAAATGTAAAAAAAAAATACATTTATGAATTCATAAATTGTTAGGCTGGGCCTGTAGTTGTCGGAGGGGCTATGTGCCTATAAAAGGGACTCCCCCTCTTACCTACTTACCTAATTGGTTTCAGACGTATTTCTGGACTTCTGGTTCCCAGCATGATTACAGTGGCAGCTCTCAGGACAGTTGCAGCTCTTAGCCTCCTCCCGACAGCTCGCTGGTGGCTCATTCCGTCTGCCACAGTGGTTTCCTGTCCGATGAGTGAATAAGCAGACCGGTATAATTGTACCAGTCTCTCATCTTTGATCCAGCTCCTAACCCCCCCTCCCCTCCCCCACTCCACCTAACAATAGCTCGAAACTCTTATTTACCGACTTCCAATTCTCCCCCCCAGCAAAAGCTTGAAACTCTTATTTACCGGCTTCACCGGCTTCCAATTCCACCCCCCCGTTTAACCCGACTGTGACGGTAGTATATGGTATCACCGTCAAGCATTCCCTTCTTCCCATACAAGTAGAAATATCCCTGGAATCGCCGAATAATCCACAAATGAGCCAAAGCTTAATGCTGGAACAAGACTGATTGACTGGCACACAGAACTCACAATTTATGCAATACAAAACTCCTCCTCTGGGCCAGGCTAGATAATTGAGTTTCAGCAATATACAAAGCTCAATTATCTGCTGGCCAGAAACATTACAGTTTTTAACAATTTCAGAAAAGTATGGTGCAGCTGGTTGTGAATGTTCCCCTCATTCGGTAGATTCTATCTACCGAATGCCAGTTTGATTCGTGGAGGGGAACGTATTCATCCAGGACTTCCATGGGGACCGGGCGTTCGCATGTTTGCCGTGCCAAAAATAGTTCTAGGCAATTCATGCGTAAGCCCCGCTGACCGCATTCGTGAGTTTTAAGATGGCTGCCATCCTTTGTTCTCGCCACGTGTTCGTGAGTACAGACGGGTACTCCGGTACACCGTCTGTATCATAAAATTACCAACACAACTGATATGGTGTCCTGCAGTAATCCCACCCCACTCCCCCCTTTCTCCCATCCCCCAACTCACGGGCACAGAGGGGAACCTCACCGGCAAGCATCAGCCGACACACTAATTTCTCACAGGGGAGGGGTTTCACGAGGCACGCTCCCACCATAGCCTATGCCGGTCTATGTTGCCGGCTATGCGCAGTCACAGCTCAAGCTCTGCCTGCCTCATTATCACGGCAGGAGGGCAGGAGCAAGTAGGCAGTACCAAGCTCACCATTCTCAGCCATCCCAGGCATCATTGAGTGAGTGATACTCTGGCAGGGGGAGTCAAGAAGTTTTCCACACACAACGTCCATACTTTTAAATGGTTCATTATATAAGCACATTAAGGCAAATATTAGGTTGTCAGTGTTATTTCTTATTATAATAGTCCATAGTCATTGTTGCAACACTGCAATATATACAACGGGTGTTCACCTTAAGTGCAGCACCATGCCACCTGGTGGCCTTGTTACACATAGCCTCTGTTATAAAGTCACTGTATCATATAATTGTGAATTCCATTTCTATATCTTTACAATTATGTCTTAACAAACTGTTAGCACTTCGGGTAGTATGGAGAATTAATTTCCAGGGCAGGTCTCAGTGGTATGCTTTGCCACTATTTTGTCAATTTGTTATACAGGTCTACTTTTGTGTTTATATACCAAAGTTACAACGCAAGAAGTGTTTTGCTTTTAACAGGTCTGCTTTCGAGGTTTCAGAGAAATAGACAGAAGTCAAGATCATTGTGTTTCTTCCAATTGGTATGTGTATTATATGTAACAGTCATACGTTTCGTTATTCAGACATAATACGGTACTCAGTGTACGGCACAAAAATGTATGCTACAAACAGTCTCGAACAGACATTTTCTATACTACCATATCTTATTCTGACATATGTTACAGACTCAACACGCCAAGCTTAGACAGACTTGGCTCGTCAGGTTGCACAGTATATGTGACATACCAGAATATTTCTTACGTCATCCAAAGGTATAGGTAGGTGTCCAGAGTGCACGCAAACAATACGATCATGGGGGATTTTCAGCAGCGGCATGTCAGTACGAACTCATATGTACCCAATGCCTTTCATTCTGTCATCCATCATCTGGTTCAGGCCTTCCCCCCTTAGCAGAATCTCAGACTACTGCAGAACACCGAGCATACATTGCTTATACAGGTACGTTGCTCTCGGTTCCTTACCCACAGATTTAGTATAAAGATTCATTCCATAGAGACGAGTTAATATGGCCAAATAGGTATTTCTCCCAGGCATCTTATGCCTTAGAGATAGAGGTCCTGCAAGGCCAACACACATCCTCCACGAAAGAGGTAATAACACCCCAAGGGCCAAATCATAGCTACACACCTCGCATGATGCATAGCAAGGGAATCACTCGTCACACCCCCCTCTGCAGATCAAGAATCATCCCTTGTAAGCCCACATCCAGCAGATCAACCCCTGTCGCCAATCATAAGTAGAGCTGACCCAGCCACTTGGCAACTAGTAGGGACTCACCTGTCACCAGTCTAACAAATTATTTCGCCACTTCGGCACTAGTTAAAACAACGGCATACACCCAAAGAGAAACACATGATTCCTACATATATATTTCAGTATGTCCCAAGTTTCAGAAGAAGGAGATGACATTTCTATTCCAAGTACTCCAACTAGGACTGCCACCCCTACACGAAAAAGGGACTGCGGCAGTCCATCTTCTATTAGATCGTGGACCATCACACGAATCACGGCCGATTTATGCAGGGTAGCATACCCTTTACAGCTACTGCCCACACAACAGAACTCTTCAGGCTAACAAGTCAGACAAGGGGAAAGGCGCAAGTGGCACGAGCAATGCCAACCTGCATACCAGGATCGCCTATGTAGTAACATCCACGGGGCAGATGAACGATACACTAGAGACTGGAAGCCCGTAGCTGTCCAGTCACGACACCAGAACCACCCGCAACTGATATTCCGGGCCCTTTCCCATTCCCAACCCGGTAATACTAACACGCACATCATTTTAAGGTCTCAAATCATTACCGGCAAACCTCAAGAAGGACTTACTGGAGGGCAAGGACATTAATCTCGTCTCGCTTCTCATTGCCTCCCAGGATGTCACACAGAACCGCTCATATACCTAGGGCGATATCTCAGTGGTCCTTAAAGCCAGAGACACAAAACTGAAAAAAACTATCCATCAGTATAATTATAACCTCCATGGTCTTGTGTCAGTACAGACACTACTGCATTCCTCAGGTCTCAGCCTATATTCCTGGCAATGGTGTCATGTACGTCTGCCCTTAGGTCGGTGGACTCAGCATGCACATAGTATATTTAGTTATGGCATTTCAGCACCTCTATCATGCTCACCGTGTAGACCCTAGAACGATCATATGATACGCTGAATGTTACCTTACGGTATTCAGTATGACCATATTTCAATTATAGCTACGCTGTCATGACCAGTAACTTTCAACTGATCTACAATTTAAAAAACACAACCACCAACTCCACTCCATTAAATCCCACTCAGACTTGCGTTACCTCCCAGTACCACAGGAACTACATTGGGCCTCTCTCAACCTCTTATGCATATTCCTTACACAAGCCCTATATATATTGGCCTTAGCAACACACTTCAGGTAACCCTAGTGGACAACTACATCTTATTTGCAACCACTCATTTGGGCACCAAGTTCACACATCATCTGGATAGGAATGTACGTGTAAGTCCAGCTATCTCACAGCTTTCTACCTGTAATCAACCACGTCTTATAGTAGTATACATCTGCTATATCTTGCACTGTCCACATACAGCCACACAGTGGCACTCTTCACGACCCTACCTACACGGCCTACTCCTGGCCAAACTCACAGAGGGTAATGATTCCCTCATAATGGACGTTCTCCTTACCTCTCTTATTTTACTACTTCAGTCTAGCATAATGTCAATCACGATGTGTACAAACATGCCACAGACATTATGATACATACTGAATTATCATGTTGGTCATTTAAGTTTCCCTGGGTCGGCCTTACTAGTCTGCCACCATTGTACCTACATCACCAATTCCATACTGGAGTATTCCCACCTCACCGCTGTGTAGTAGACCAGTTCATATACATGATATTTATACTGTCCTTCCCGCTTCCTCGGCTATTTGACTGCTCTGGCAACCATGGTACGAGTTACCACATTAGCAATGCACGTTCAATACCGATTGTACGACTTACCCATCATCTCGGCTTGTACGTAATCCCAGTTTCACAGCCTACCACAGACTTACGGGCAATCCACTATGAATCAATTTCGGCCCCATATTTGGGCATACGACCAAGGTCACATTAGACCACTCAAACCCTCTGTATACGGCCCTTTCGCTGCATTTACAAACCCAGTCACAGACACTTATGCGATCTCCAATATTAGTTCCTACTCAGGGACGTATTAGCCGCAAGGCAAACAAGGCATTTGCCTTGGGCGGCATTTTTCAGGGGGCGGCAAAAAACGCCGCCCCCCAAATGCCCAGGGCAGATGCCTTGTTAGCCTTGCGGCTAACTGACATCCCGATGCCAGCGAGGGAGCACTTCCCATGAGCTGACTGCTCAGCTCCTCGCGCACAAAGTGAGGCTGGGGCGGAAGATGGCGTCATCTTCCGTTCCCCAGCCTCACTCTACAGCTTCGGCAGCGGGGAGCTGAGCAGTCAGCTCGTGGGAAGTGCTCCTCGCCGGCCGCCCGCCCGCCCCACGCCCTGCCAGCGCGCCCCGCCCTGCCAAGCGCCGCCATCTGCGCCATCCCTGCAGCCACTGGACCACCAGGAGAGACCCCCCCAGCACTCCCAAGGTAAGGAGGTTGGGGGGGATTCAAAATAAAGTTAATGTCTGACTGTGTGTGTTTGTGGGTGTGTTTGTGTCTGTGTGTCTGACTGTGTGTGTGTGTGTTTGTGTATGTGTCTGACTGTGTGTGTGTGTGTTTGTGTCTGACTGTGTGTGTGTATGTGACTGTGTGTGTCTGTGTGTGTTTGTGTGTGTGTTTGTGTCCTGACTGTGTGTCTGACTGTGTGTGTGTGTGTTTGTGTCTGACTGTGTATGTGTGTGTGTGTGTGTGTGTGTCTGACTGTGTGTGTGTGTTTGTGTCTGACTGTGTCTGTGTATGTGTCTGACTGTGTGTGTGTGTGTTTGTGTATGTGTCTGACTGTGTGTGTGTGTGTGTTTGTGTATGTGTATTTAGAAGGTGGGGGGGAAGGGTTGGGTGGGGTGGGCGGGGGAGCCTGAGTTTTGTCCTGCCTAGGGCAGCACAAAACCAGGATACACCACTGTTCCTACTGGTAAAATTGAGGTGCAAAACATACTTCATACATATTTCAGGTTCTTCTAGCAGAAGGACGCCTAACGAGAACTCACCTAGGCGCAACATATGTAGGTGTCTCTTCCCCATACATATATGTCAATTAATGAGGTTCATCTACATATGTAGTCGTCCCGATGCAGCGGCCTCCACAGGGCTTGCTGCCATATTTGGGGACAATTGGTTATGGGGTAGGTGGCTGGAAGAAGTAAGCCAGATCAAAGGGTTCTATAATACCACGCTTCGTGGTATATCCCATCATAGCCGCAGCAGCAACATGCTGTCATTTATGGGCAGGCAGACCGGTCCGAGGTTTCTCTGACAATTTGGCAGTTGCCACGTCATAAACAAGGCCGGTCTTTATCCTTTATCATTATAAAAATTCATCAGACGACTAACGTGGTGGGCAGCCTGTCACCAATTTTTATCTGGTATGTTATAACATACCAGGCATTTACAATACAGCTGCTGACCAGTTATCTAGTCTTCAACTTCAGGCGTTCAGTATGTCCCTACCAACTGCCTCACCGATAGCCACGATCGCTCCCTAGCTCCAAGAATTAACAATGGAGAGTCACAGCAGGAAATTCACAAATTGGCCCTCTCAAAGAATACGTACACTACTTATGACAGAGCTTACTGCTAATATCGAAGTTCATGTCAGATCACCACCTTACAAACTGGTTGATAATACAACTTTGGGGGGCTTTCACCATTTTTTGCCACATCAAAATTAAAAATGTCACACAACACTATTAAGTTATATCTCAAGGCATTTAACACCACATGTTTTCAGCTCATCCCAACAAACAAGGACTCCTCACATCCTACCCCATCAAAACCAAGGGTATACTCAAATCCCACAGACTTACTCCACGACGTAGGTGGCCTATTGATATACATTTCTTCAAACGTATTTCAGGCTTACTGGATATCACACCTTTCGAGCCGCATACGAACACCGTTTTTAAAACTGCCATATACTTGGTTTTCTACAGCTTCCTTCGACCCAGAGAATTCACGGTCACAGGGCAACACGATTCTAAGCATTGCCTACGGTACTCAAATCTGTACAAACTACAAGACCATTATGTGCTAAGCCTACCCTAAACCAAGACCAGCCATATGGGTCAAGAGGTGCTTATACACTACTATCCCACCAACTCATGGGCCCGGTGAAAGTTTGACACATATCTTATGTCAACATCCGCACATACCGTGTACAGAGAAAGGATTGGGGGCACACCCGAGACCTGCCTTTTGCATGAAAGGTGCTGCCGCAGTGACCAAACTTCATACATGAAAAAAATAGTTGCGGCGCACTCAGACTACAAAAACTACAACACAAAGAAGGCTTCTAAATTGCCTACCTAAATATGGGGATTTAGTTCCACCATATGGCCATATGATGTTAAGCCCACCACTGCTTTCAAAGTACCCCAATGTTGGTGGGTCCTACGCTAAAATGTGGGGGACAAATTAAATAGTACTAGTGTTAAAAATAAAGTGTATTATTAAATCCTTGAAAGAGCAAAGTGAGTATACAAAAATAAAGTGATGAAAGCAATTAAAAAAAGTGTTAAAACTAAACAATTAAAGTGTTAGTGCTAGAATGAATATACTCACTATTGCAGATGATATCTGTGGTGAATGGAGAAAATAATAAAAGTGACTTGACTATTGAAAACTCCTCCTATTTATATACACCTGTGGCCACCTCTAAAGGGGCTTCTGAAGCTGGGGGGCCTGGGCGGGGTGCTTAATCCCAAAGGAATCTGGTCTGAATTCCAAATATACTGTGTACAGAGAAAGGATTGGGGGCACACCCGAGATCTGCATTTTGCATGAAAGGTGCTGCCGCAGTGACCAAACTTCATACATGAAAAAAATAGTTGTGGCGCACTCAGACTACAAAAACTACAACACAAAGAAGGCTTCTAAATTGCCCAAACCGCACTCCCTCTCCTGTCACCATACGGGGCCACCTGTACCACCTCTAAATTCATGGGGTACATACGATTATTGTTGACACAACTCGGCTCAAACGCCACCAAATATTCAGGACATTCATTCAGGATAAGGGTAGCAACCCCTGCCTCAGGCCAAGACATCCCGGTCAATGGAATTGAACCTTGGGCAGCTGGAAGTAATCCGCTTATGCGGTTCATATACCTCAGTCTATACAAGAAGTAAGAAAGCATTTGTTAAGATGCAATCATAAATATGCCAGTATGATATCATGTGTTTTCGTAATAAATATCTTTGGTATTACAAGATTGGCATTCCTTTTTGCCCACTTATTTACAGTGCTACCACACACGTCGGTATCGGCACACCTCAACCGACTTTTACTTATTGTGTAATGTACTTACTTACTAATTCATACTATTACTGAAATGGCCCCGAACACAAATTGGAAGGCTGGGCCTGTAGTTGTGGGAGGGGCTATGAGCCTATAAAAAGGACTCCCCCTTTTACCTACTTACCCAATTGGTTCCAGACGTACTTCTGGCCCACCCTCTTCTCCCTCTATCCAATTCCTTCTAAGGTAGGCCCACTTATTTACAGGCCTACCACACACATCGGTATCGACACACCTCAACCGACTTTTACTTATTGTGTAATGTACGTACTTACTAATTCATACTATTACTGAAATGGCCCAGAACAGAAATAAATAAAAGAACATATTTCTTTAACAAAAATGACTATTTTTAAGCAAATCCAAATCTAGTTTAGTAAAACTGTTCTCAAGTTGAAATGTAAAGATTTGCACAAACCTTGATCTGTACAGGATTCTTTGAGCGTTGCTGATGCTGTCTGTATAATAATAACTTCTAAAGTCGGGTTATATAAAGTAAACCCGTCATCTACAAATTCATATACAGATAGTTGCAATCTATACATTGTGTTGGCAAAACTGACACCAAAATATATAATTACTTAAGTTTGCTTCCTTCACACACAGCATGACCCCTTGGAGTGGATAGAGTGATTGACAACTATTCCGAGCATCCACGTGCAGTCTATACTGCCATTATAACAACATGCCAACAGCATAGCAGTTAAGACCAAAGGAGGTCAAAATTAAACGATCTTTCATCGATGTAACTGTTAGCATTTTGCCTATAACGAGGTGAAGATGAATGCTTACATTGTTTAAAGTCGTCTGTCATGACAGATTTTCACGATCTCTTTCTCACGCAACTCTGTTAATCTCTATCGATGATCAGAAGACGAAGGTATACCATTGCTCATCAACAGGATCAGAATTCTAGGAATTTGGGCTCGTATTGTATATATTAAATCAATTATGCCTTTTTATATAATTAAATAATGCCTATTTTGTATGAAAGCGTCACTCCAACCATCATAACCATGATGACCCGTTGTAGTTATTATGATGTGGCACCATTTCCTAATACTGTGGCAAACTGTTTTACAATGGTGTGCCCTCTTAGCTTTGCATCTGATGGACGCAAACTCTCTTCTCAAGCGGCTTTATGTCCTCCGGCATCTGCCAATCCTGCCGCCCATTCATTGGCTTAGAGCATTAGCTGACCGTTCTCAACCAATGAACTCAACTCTGTACATAGATATTTGCACAGAATCGACATTAGCCAGCCGCTGATGACTCCCCAAAGGTGCTGCCAGTGTTGGCGTTACACCTCAAGCAGCAAAGCGGCTTAACAGAATATAATAAAATTCATAGATTATAGATTTAACTATTTGAGGACCATTTGCTAACCACCATGTTAGAATAAACTCCTCAAATTATCATCATTGTGATACACTAAGTGAAGATTGAGCTGCCTAATTAGATGCTTTACGAATGGAGAGTAGAATCAGAGTAGGTCAGCCCTTTTGGGCACTAAAATGAACGGAACAAATTGAGAAAATGGTGTGAATCGTGTCCTTATTATGTCTAAACTTAGTAAGGGCATGATGATGAACACAAGAGACTGAGTCACTTTTTGGAGAGCACTGCCGTTTCATCTACTTCCTTATTTTATAGGGTGCAGCTCCTGTCTGGAATACAGAAACACAGTGACACATTATTTATACAGCATTAAGCTAGTATATCTACTTGTCATTTTTAGAGATTAATATTAGATGATATAAGTAACCTACATATGTGTAGTATATTAAACAAAATATAAAGTGATAACGTGTCTCTGTGTGTTTGTTCAAATGAACAATACATTTTTATCCTGTTAAACTACATGCACAGCCTAAATTGTTGAAAAACTGTTTTAGAGTATACTAAACTGTATTTTACCAATGTTGTTTAATTCACAAGCTATCACAATCCTCGTGGAGTGCTGCCGGGCAGGGTCACCGCTGATTGGCTAAAATTGGTCAGCTGACACTCTCAGCCAATCAGTGACTCCCCATTCCCTAAATTGGCTTGAGTAGGATATATTTATTTTCAATCCAGTTTTATGAATAGGGAGTCACTGATTGAGGCATTTAGATGAAGTGGTTTTGGTGTCTGGAGTGTCCCTTTAAAACTGCAGTCTCGAAACTTTGAATGGAGCAGTCAGACTTGCCAGCAATTCCATCCATGCTGTGTTATGAATGGGATTTCTGGCAACTGTTTAACCACATGTCCCATGATCAGTATAGATGCTTCTAGGTCTTGCTGAGCTCACTTAAGATGCTGTAAAGCCTAGGGATTTACTGGAAATGCTGGAACTTCAAATGCATTGAATCCATTCTGAAGCATGAGAAGCATTGCTTTATGCTTTGAGTGAGTACTCAAAGCGAGCAAAGAAGAGCACACTAGAATCTTTTAAATAAAATGCTGGTTTCTCTTGAAATTGTCACTCACTTAAGTAAGACGGCAGGAAAGGGGGGGGGGCTTTCTGCTAACCTCTAAATCACAGCAAACTGGAGTACTGTGAATTAGTTCAATCAGTGATTACTATTTTCCATTTGGTTGAAGCACTAGGTTTTCTGTTGAATCTGGGTTTAAATTATTTCAGACTAGGAAAAACCTGTTTCCAAACCTACAAGGTTATCACATTTTATTTTATTTTTTTAAAATCTTTAAATAAACCCACAAAGCCCAGGCTATAGCGTATTGAAGCTGATTTTGTCAGTCAGAACAAGGATTGTGTAAAGCAGCGGTTTTACATGATCTTCACCAGACATGACCAAATGATACTGAAAGCCACCAGCACAAACTGCTTCAGCTGTGAGACATGTTTGTACTCTAATCAGGGCGCATAGCTCAGCTCCAGACCCTGTTGCCAAAACACATTAAAGGTCATATTGCTATAAATGACTGGGAGTAGTGACATTGCTGATGCACAAGGTTCCGTATCATTAAACAGCAAAGTTAATTGAGGAATGGAGAGATAGGTAGATCATTGCTCTAATTTGTGAAACATCAGAGGGAATGGCACAATAGTTAAAGAACGAAGAACATCACTAGGGCGAATTCACTAAACACCAAGTTGTAGTGAGCTGCACAATATGGCAAAATTTCGGATAACAGAGCTATGATGTGGCTAAAGCAGAATGGGAGATTTTTTTTCCAAATCAGCACTTTCTGCCTAAATTTTGCAATTTGCTTTTTAATTCAGTACATTTCAGTGTTTAGTCAGCAAACCCCTATTTGAAAATGCTAATATTTTGGAATTCTTGTCATCATACTACGGTGTAATAAGCTCTTTGTTAGCCGTGTTTTAGAAATGTGTTTCATAATGTCATGGAAAATAATACATGTCACCAAAATACATTTAAACACAGAGCTTACATGTGAAAAACAGAGCTTACATGTGAAATAAGAACAAAGCTGCAGCATCATGCATATTGGTTTATCAGGGACACCCAAAACAATGAAAGCAAGAACACAATACAGAGACTAGAGTACTAAGAAGGGTCCATGAAGGATGGTTGAAGAACAATAGCTCTTAAAATTGTACTTTTGCAAATAGAGAGAGAGAGAGAGAGAGTGACCAAGACAGTTATAGTGGGAAAAAATGTGATTGAAAACCTCTTCCACCTGAAGTCAGTGAATATATAATTTTAGCATGTACAGTAGGTGCTACAATGAAAAATCTTAAAAAAAAAAAAAAACATGGTTATTTGTATGGTCTAAGGACCTATGACAAGTAATTTTATTTTTGTGAAGGGACATTACTGGCACCAAAACAACTTTAGCAGCATGCCTTTGCAGCCTTATTGATCAGTTCCCTGCCATTTAGGAGTTAAATCATTTTGTTTATACAACTCCCTACATGTGACTTGCACAGCCTTCCTAAACACTTCCTGTAAAGAGTCATCTAATGTTTAAGTTCCTTTATTGCAAATTCTGTATTATTTAGAATTTCTTATCTCCTGTTCTGTTAATGAGCCTCCTATGTGTAATTAATGTTACATTTACAGAGCAGAAGATAAAAACTTCCACAGTTAGTTCACATCTAATTGAAAATTAAACAATTGTTTGTCATGCAGGGTGTGTCAGTGTGGATATGGCTCCATGGGTAGAAACAAAAGTGATTTAAATTCTAAATGGCAGATATTTGAACAGTGAGAATTCAGAGGCATTATCTATACACCAAAACTGCTTCAATAATTGCCTTTAGTGTCCCTTTAAATATAATATATCTGGGTAGTCAGGTAAGTGAACAGATCACTGCAGTCTGCTAATGTTTTGGTCCCTACTGTGTAACCAATGAGTGGCTAAAGGAAATATCACCTGTCTGATACATAGGCAGCCTGTATGGTCATAGGTGATGGACAGCTTATTTAGGCGTGTGGAGAAGCAGCGCAGGAAAATTACCAGGACTATTTACTAAACTGAATTTTAGGGAATTTAATCCAAATTAAAAAATCTAGGCAGTTAGAGAGGAGTGGTTCCACAACTCAGCTTTATTCACAACTTGGATTTTTTTGCCTAAACTTTCCCATTCAGATTTAATATGCTAGAATACAGAGCGAATAACCTTGTAAGAGATCTACATATTATTATTGTTTTTATTAAGTTATTGTCTCACTGAAAAGCAAGCATGTCAATGTATATAGGAAATTGGGGAAAAAGGGTCTAAAGCTTTTATGGAAATAGTGCGTAAATGTTATGTAATAAATTTCATAGCTCTGAAGTGCTTTAAAAACTCGAGAACTAAATGACACAAAATACATATTAAGCCTTTCGATTCTTTTTAATACTAGTGAAATAAGTACATCCAAACCCTTCACTATCAGTGCACCCCTTCACTACTACCAGAAACACACACAGATACTCAATTCCAGACACACACACACACACACACACACACACACACAGATAGACAGACACAAACTGAGAAGCATGTATACACATACTGACAAGCATGCACACACCCACACTAACAGACACACTGGCAGTCACACATACTACAACAGACATATATACCAAAACTGGCAGAAACACACACATACTTACCCTGCTACACTGCAAATTTGTTCAGAAATGGTTTGAGGAACATGACAAAGAGTTCATTGCATTGGCCTCGAAATTCCACTGATCTCAATCCAACTGAACATCTGTGAGATGTGCTTGAACAACAAATCCGATCCATGGATGCCCCACCTCGCAACTTGCAGGACTTAAAGGATCTGCTGGTAATGTCCTGATGCCAGATACCATAGGACACGTTCGGAGGTCTTGTGAAGCCCTTCCGCAATGCATCAGAGCATTTTTTTGCAGCACAAGGGGGACCTACACAATACTCTGTAAAACGACACTGAACGTCCTACATCAAGAAAAAACCCATAGGAAAGCATTTAGGCAATGCTTTCATATGAGGTAGGCCTAACGTGCAAAGTGCTCACCACGCATGTGCATTAGGTTCCCCTCATCAGCTAACGTCAGAGAGGCAGCACGTGACCTAGCGCTGCATGGCATGGGTACTGGAATCTGGTAAGTGAATAAAGGGTAATTTAAACCTTTACATCAAAGGAACACGTTAGTGCTATGAATACTAATTTACATTGTGACTGAGCAATGTATATTTTGTTGGGAAAGAAGGAAGGGTTTAATAATTTTTTTTTTTTTACTAAACGTATAATACATGTATAGTTCATGTGCTCTATATAATAAAATGTATTAAATTAATTGTTTAAAATAGTTTAAAGTGAATCTTAGAATTTAGGCAAAAAAACCCCACAAAACTGAAAACGCAACTAACAGAGAACATTTTTAGGCTCTTTTAGCTTATAATTAGTATTTCAATTACATTTTATTTGAATTCCTTACAGTTCACACTTTAGTAAAAAAAAAACAAAAAAACTATATGTTTCTTTTGTGCTATAGCTTTATTATGTAAACACTTGGTTGAATGGCTCAGTTGTAGTCAGGGCCAGACTGGCCCACCATGGCCCACCGGGATACCGGTCCGGTCCGGTGGCACACTCAGAGGGGGCAGGCCGGCCGCATTCCAGGCTGGAGCTGCCGGGCCAGGTGGCAGCCTCACCGGTCCGGCGGCACTCCTAATGCTGAGAGCTGAAGGAGGAGGGAGCATGTCTCTCTACCATGCTCACTCGCAGTTCCGGATTGTGGGAACCGCGAGGGAGCATGGTAGAGAGACATGCTCCCTCCTCCTTCAGCCCTCAGCATTAGGAGTGCCGCCGGACCGGTGATGCTGCAGCGTGGAACACGACCGACCCCCCCAGACTCCTCTCAGGTGGACGGGGTGGAGAGAAAGGTAGAGGGTGAATAGATAGACGCAGGGGAAGAAAGAGACAGTGAGAGAATAGAGAGAGACAGAGGGGGAGGGAGAGAGACACAGGGAAAGGGGGAGAAAGAGACAGAGGGGGGAGAGTGAGACACAAGGGGAGAAAGAGGGGGAATAGAGATGGTAGAGGAGAGAGAGACACAGGGAAAGGGGGGAGAAAGAGACAGAGGGGGAGAGTGAGACAGAGGGAGAAAGGAGAGAGACACACAAGGGGAGGGGGAGAAAGAGGCAGAGGGGGAAGAGATAGACTGGGAAGGAGAGGGGAGACATGGACACAGAGGAGTAGTGAGCGGGAGAAAGAAACATACAGAGGGACTGGGGGGAGGCAAAAAGGCACACAGAGGGGCTGTATATATCACTGGTGGATCCAGGGGGGGCAACGGGCAATTGCCCCCCCCCCAGAGGCTCTCCCCTGCAGGCCAATGCAGGGCTAGCACTGTCCAAGCACCATGTAATATTTATAATTTGTTTATTTTCAAATTGATTATCTAAATTTGTGTAAGTTTTTATTTTATAAATCATAATATCATGTTAACTGATAATTTTAGCTGAAGACTTTATTTTGAAAATTGGACCTTAGCTTTTAATGATACATTTGAATTAATTTGACTTAAAAAGTACATGTAACAATTCTAAAAATAGCACAGTAACATATTTAAAGCCCTGTTTATGATGAGTGTGACATACACTGTTGGTGTAGTATAATGATGTGACTTACAAGTATATCAGTTTACCACATGCTGGAGGTTTAAGATAATTTATGGTCAGGGCTGGGGGATTAAATTTAAGGGGATTTAGTGTTAAGGGGGTCTTAGAGTTAGACTATACCGGTACCTATCACTCCCAGTCAGGCAACAATTTTCATCAGTGGTGGAAAAACCATGGGATCATCCATAGGCAGAGCCAATTCCCTGCATCCGTCACTAGTGACAGCTCTCAGGATTGATTCTCTAGCTCCCAGAGTCTACTCTTACTCATTTTTCAAGGGAAGGGGGGTGACAGTGCAGCTTTAAAAGGCATTTCCTATACATATACATTCTGTATATAAATAGAATAATAATCCATACGGATCATGTCACACAATTTTGTTGTGTGACCGACAAGTTGCAAAAAGTCCTTCCAATTATTCTACAAAGACTGCAGGACAACCAAGTTAAAAACATGTGGGCATTGCAGAGCATGTCAGCCCATATACAAGTACTTCACCCCTAATTGGCTTTTAATTCTGTTGCTAATGTGTGCCTGGGAAAAAAAAAGTCCCTTTAGGACCAACCAGACTATCTTTACCAGCTGCAGCTACCTTCTTCTTTGGATCTCAGACCTGTCAGTCTTGGCATGTCTACTAATCATTCTGTCATTCAAGCTTTAAAGCACCACTATAGTGCCCTGAGGGTGCCCCCACCTTCAGGGTCCCCCTCCCGCCTGGCTCTGGGGAGAGGAAAGGGGTAAAAACTTACCTTTTTCCAGCGCCGGGCAGGGAGCTCTCCTCCTCCTCTCTGCCTCTTCTCCTCCCATTCGGCTGAATGCGCACGCGCGGCAAGAGCTGCGCGCGCATTCAGCCGGTCGCATAGGAAAGCATTTACAATGCTTTCCTATGGACACTTGCGTGCTCTCACTGTGATTTTCACAGTGAGAATCACGCAAGCGCCTCTAGCGGCTGTCAATGAGACAGCCGCTAGAGGAACTAGAGGAAGGATTAACCCATTTGTAAACATAGAAGTTTCTCTGAAACTGCTATGTTTATTAAAAAAATGGGTTAATCCTAGCTGGACCTGGCACCCAGACCACTTCATTAAGCTGAAGTGGTCTGGGTGCCTAGAGTGGTCCTTTAAGCTCTCTAACTCTTTTTTAGGTTAGTATAAAACTTGGCATGACATTCTGCCTGCTGGTTTGCTTTCTAATACAGTGTTTCCAGAAGATAAATTGCATTACAAATAAAGGCTATTGGTGTCCTTTCCTTGGCCTTCAAAAATTAAGAAATGTTACATTTAATGATTTGCAGGTGGAGTATACCTTGACAGCCCTTTTATAAGCATGCATGATCATATTTATTGTGTGTGTATGTATATATATATATATATATATATATACACAATAAATCAAAGTACATTGTGACATTTTGTGTTAAAAATTCCAAAAAAGTAAAACAATGCAAAAAAAGGAAACGTAAATCAGATGTTAACTTGCTTTAGAAGTTTTTATCTCCTGCTCTGTGAACTTTAATCACACACAGGAGTCTCCTGCAAGCTCTATAAGGGTGCAGAGCCGGATATAAGAAACTCTGAACAGAATATGCAGCAAACAAAATTTAAACATTAGATCTACCTTTCCAGGAAATGTTTAGGAATGCTGTGCAAGTTACGGAAGCAGGAAGGTATACAGCAGGAAGGTATTGTTGTATAAACAATTTGATTTAACTCCTAAATGGCAGAGAATTGAACAGCTAGACTTCAGGGGCATGATCTATACACCAAAACTGCTTCATTCAGCGATAGTTGTTTTGATGCTTATAGTATTCCTTTAAATCAATATATCTGAGAGAGACTGACTATTTATATCATATCGTGCCTATAGTATCCCTTAAGTGTGTTTTAATGGGGCATTCTAAGCATCATAAGCAGTAGAGCCTACTCTATTGTATGACTTTGTCTCCCAGTGACTGATCAAATTGTGTATCCACAAGAAATACAATGCTTTAGTTTGTTGGATGTAGTCGCTAAACAGTAAAACAGAAATGAAAATAAATTTGCTAAACTGAGTCCAAAATTGTGAAACTGTGAATGTTAGACATTGTTAAAGATTTGTTCAACTCACACCTTGGTCACAACACAAACATCACACGTGTATATATAGTGCCCTTTCAAACCGCTGTTCACCTTCAGTGTATCTGAGTTGCATTAAAACCCAATATTACCCAAGATCCTCCTACTTCAATTACATTTCAAGGTCACTAACTAACAGGCTATTCACTGGAGTGAGAAGTCAAGGTGAATTCAAAGTGAATTTTCAAATTTAAGGTCAAAATAGCTGAATTGGAAACTTTCTCTAAGTCAGCTATGCTCTCAGTTTGGCTACTCTGGCCTTACATTTTAAATTTTCATTAAAATTCACTTTGATTCCAAGAGGACAGGTCAGGGAACCACTGCTCTAGTAGAAATGCAAACAAATGTATAGCTCGAGAATAAGGGGAAAAGTATTTTATTTGCTTTATTCCCCAATCTACGATATCATAATGTATTGCTATATGCAAATTAATAAATACCCCTCTATTTATCTCCTTTCTCGCGCCCACTTTTCCACCTTGCTTCTATCACATAATATAGATGGTCCATAAAACCAAAACCCAACTTTTTGTTTGGGTTTTGATTTTGAGGACACCATATTCCTATAGTTGGTATGTTGGAATGTTTGTTAAACTCTATAAACATTAAAGAAAACAACAAAACATGTTTCTAGATCAGTGTACATTTGCTTCATATTATCTTAGTAAAAGCTATATATATATATTTATGCTCCACATTCGTTGCAGATTTTAACTGATGGGTATTGCTCTAGTAATCCAACATATTTGACCTATCTAACACGATTCAATGAGATGATTTATGACGAACTATCATTGTATGACCTTGACTGTGCCTGACGTCCAAGATTCAAACTAAACTATGTAAGTGAAATGTTTTGTAATCTAAGAGCCTTACCTTCAAGGGTTTCACATTGCGCTAAATTGATGTAATCGGATGATTTGAGGATTCCACCTTTAAATCCCCTGACTAGCCCCTCCAGGTAGCCATTATCCACATTGAAATAGAACTCAGATGTAGGCATGGTGAAACTGACAATTGCTGAAGGCTCTCCTGTCTGCAGACTGACTTCAGAAGGCTGTGATTTCCACTGAGCTAGAGGTTGGGGAATTACTGTTTAGGATGTTCCTGTTTCTGTTTCTCTGTTTTTACACAGTTCCTCTTTGTTTATTGTTCAAACACATAACTGCAACCAACCAGTCAAACAGAGTTATGTTTTAACCCAATCAGTTCACAGAAATAAATAAAGTATCTCACAAGGAATGCTGTAAGGTCAGTTCACCAAACAGCAAAGGTGGGGACTTGAAAATCAATTTAAAGAAAGAAAGAATCAGAAAAAGGGAATTGTAAGGTGAAACATGTTTGTTTACTCTATAAAGAGACCCCCAGAGTGAATTCATCTCAACAGAAATTTAAATTGTTTGGAAACTCTTAAAGGGACACTTCAGTCTCATACAGTACAGTACGTATTTATTATGGTGATAAAAGATGAAATACATTTTACATAAAAGATCTATGGGTCTGTCGGACCCCATAATTATCCCTAAAAGGACTAAATGACTCTCTCATGATCACAAACACCACTTGCACAGTGGGGTTATTTAATTTTTCTTAAACCCCTTAAGGACCAAACTTCTAGAATAAAAGGGAATCATGACATGTCACACATGTCATGTGTCCTTAAGGGGTTAAATGATGTGGGGGCCCTGGACACCAATGCTAACGGGGGAGTCCCTGCTACCTCCATCCCACATACTATAGGGTACAATAATAATAATAATAATAATACGTTGGCATTTAAAAAGTGCCAACATATTCACCAGCACCGTACAATCTGGAAAAATCCAATACATAATAAACAGACAGATACAAAAGGTAGAAGGCCCTGCCCGTGAGCTTACAATCTATAGGTAATATACAGAAATGAGACAATAGGTAGCAGAGGAATTTGGAGGTGATGACAGAGAGAATTTATAGTGTTGCAGTGATTGATAACATGTGAAGGGAATGAGGAGGTGATTGACTGTGGTTCTAAACAGCTGGAGGAGTCATGCTATATAGTTAGAATGAACCAGGGAGGGCGGGAAGAGGCGTGGGTGGGTAGAGCTGAGTAGAAATCAAGTTTCTTTGTGGCAGGGATGGAGGTTAATTTGGGCCTTTGGAGTAAAGATACACAGTTATTTAAAAGGAGCTAGGAGGGGCAAGTAGACGGGGAGAAGTGGTGGAGCAGACTAGCCAATCAAATTCTATCAATCAGATTATCAATAACTACATGTAACTGGAAGTACCAAATATTACAGTAGTAAACTATAGGTAGAAATGGTAACATTGTAATAGTAAATTAATATGTAATAACAAAGATGGAAGAAATCTGGGGAAGTGTTCTGAATCTCAGTCCGTACAAGGATTCAAACACCTAGTAGGGAGTCAGTGGGGATATAAGGATGAACTTGGGGCTCCAGGCCCCCTAGCTATTAATTGCTGCATCACTGGATAGCCATTCTATGTTGAAGGATGCCAAATGCACACCCTTCAAATGCTGTTGAAGAATAGCTTGGCTATTGATCTGGCTACATAGCTATCCCAATTTTTATGTGCAGTAATAAAATGACTTCACCATCCAATCATGTAAGCATATAATCTACTCTCCTTGAGTCCATAACCATAAGCACTTTGTACAATTATTTTGTCTGATATAGCTGGTATCAATTTGGTTACACACTCATTGTGTGCCTAGTTTATGTGTGGTATTGTTTAAAAACCTTCAGATTTGGTTAATACGACATAGGTAGACAAAGACTAGTTTTGTTTTGCAAAGATTGTCATGGCACAACAATGGGATTTCTGTAATTACTATTTTAGTAAACAAACTTTCTGTCCCCACTGTAAACTTCTGTTTTTTAATTAAAACAATAAAGGTGTTGCTTGTATATATTGTCTATTTTGCCAATAAATGAAAAACAGAATGTTTATTGCAAAAATTACTGAACCTCAAGTTTGCCTTAATATGGCCATGGAGATATTCAGCGTGTTGAATGAAGATGAGTGAGCTAGGTCCCTTCTGTAAGGGAGGAAGGGATTTATTATTATTAACATATATATGGCACCAACATATTCCTCAGCACATTATGATTATAAAATGGGTAAAATGGAGATATTTGACAACACGTAATTGACATACATAATATTAACAGAGACAAGAGGTGAAGAAGGTCCTGCTCAAACAAGCTTAAAATCTATGAGGAAGGGGTGAAGACACACAAGAGAAATAACAGCCTGTCAGACGGATAAGATGCCCTTTTTGAAATAAGCTGGTAAAGGTGGTGTGTGAAACAAGCAAACAGTGGAGGGAGAATAAGATGGGCTTTGGAGGCATCCAAAATGACGTTTGGTCCTGCTTAACGTCTGCACACTCTGCATGAGGACATCCAGCGTCAGATTTTTCTTCATAGGAAAGCACTGATTCAATGCTTTCCTATGGAGAGGTCTAATGCGCACTGGTCCTGGGGCAATGGAAGAGGCAGAGCCGTGACCCAGAACAATAAAAGACAACTTTCCAAAGATTGTGGCTGTCCAAGACTGGACTATGTGACCCAGCACCGACGGACACCTGTAAGGTAAGGGTCTTAAATCCTTTTTTGACCACTGTGGGGGTGTGAGGAGGCAGAGGAAGTTATAGTGTCAGGAATACAGCTTTGTATTCCTGGCACTTGTCGTATCCATTTAAAGGACTGGAGGCTAGGGGAAAAGCTGATGGCATGGATTAGGAGATTCCAGAGGAGTGTTTTAAATCGGATCCTGAAGGGGCAATGTGGTTATTTGAGAGGCTGGTGAGCAGCGAGTTACAATTGTCAAGTCTGGAAATTATATCAATTTGATTTACTTGCAGCTATCTGTTACTTGCAAAAATGTATCCTCTTTAATTGGCCTGTGGAGCCCACGACTTTGGCCCGCGGGAGGACTCTAAGACATGGACATTTAATAGCGCACCACACTGACCCCGTCTCACATCAGTCTTGGCCAGCCAGTTCCCAATGGACTCCAGGGAAGCTATCCTGCACCCAAAAGTTAAGAAACAGGAGGGTGGCTAAAACTATGTTGATTGCTACTTAAATATGTGTCTGTGTGTGTCAGTATGTCTGTGTAAATCTGAGTGTGTCTGCATATCTATGTCAGTGTGTGCATCAATGTGTGTGTCTGTGTGTATCTGAGTGTGCATACATATCTGTGTCAGTGTGCGTGTATCTGTATATGTTTAAATGTATATGTGTATCTGTGTATCTGTATGTGTGGCAGTGCATACATCCCAGCATTTAAATGCCAACACTGCACACAAATACATCCCTGCATTCAAATACCAACAGTGCACACAAATATGCATTCAAAACATAAAAACTGCACACACTATAGGCAAACATAGGCCTGCATTCAAATGTCCTTACTACAAACACTGCCCTGCATTTACTACAAACACAGCCCTGCATTTAAATGACCTTACTACAAACACTGCCCTGCATTTAAATGACCTTACTACAAACACAGCCCTGCATTCAAATAAATAAATTACACACAAGCAAACATAGCCCTGCATTCAATTGTCCTTACTACAAACACAGCCCTGCATTCAAATATATAAATTACACACAAACAAACAACTGCATTCACCAATACTACAAATGGCTACACCCTTATTTTCTTATGTCAAAATTACACACAAACACACCCTTGCATGCAAACTCCAATACCACACAAATACACCACTGCATTTAAAATGGCAACTGTACATACAAACATACAACTACATTAAGGAACCAAACACTACATACAGAAAATAATAAATTCCATTTATGACATTATGTTAATGGGACACTATAGTCACCTGAACAACTTTAGCTTAATGAAGCAGTTTTGGTGCATAGAACATGCCCCTGCAGCCTCACTGCTCAATCCTCTGCCATTTAGGAGTTAAATCCCTTTGTTTATGAACCCTAGTCACACCTCCCTGCATGTGACTTGCACAGCCTTCCATAAACACTTCCTGTAAAGAGAGCCCTGTTTAGGCTTTCTTTATTGTAAGTTCTGTTTAATTAAGATTTTCTTATCCCCTGCTATGTTAATAGCGTGTTAGACCCTGCAAGAGCCTCCTGTATGTGATTAAAGTTCAATTTAGAGATTGAGATACAATTGTTTAAGGTAAATTACATTGGTTTGAAAGTGAAACCAGTTTTTTTTTCATGCAGGCTCTAACAATCATAGCCTGGGGAGGTGTGGCTAGGGCTGCATAAACAGAAACAAAGTGATTTAACTCCTAAATGACAGTGAATTGAGCAGTGAAATTGCAGGGGAATGATCTATACACTAAAACTGCTTTATTTAGCTAAAGTAATTTAGGTGACTATAGTGTTCCTTTAACTTGTTCTTTGTGCCACCCTTTTTTACTTGTTTGTGCATGTGTGTGTATATATACATTTTATCCATTTGGCCCTCCATACTTATTTTAGTGGACAATTTGGCACTCCCAAACAGAAGCGTTTGACACCCCTGATCTACATTTCTCACAAAAACATGTGCATACTGTATTGTGATTGGAAATGCAGATTTTAATTTATTTTAGTTGTATCTTGTAACTGTGCTATATTTTGTCACTCTATAGAGATCTTCATTGTTGTACTGATGCAATATATAGATTATTTCACTTTTAAGCCACTACGAGTCTTCCATTCCACAAACTAACTAAACCCATTATGAAATACGTATGAAGATTTTGCATTTATCATAGAGAATCAATAGTTTTACCGTGTCATCACACTTATGTATTGCAACATGCTTTGTGTTTGTACACCGTCGCTTGATATTAGTAGATACAGTGCACTTGATTTTATACTTGACTTGTTACATTGCACATATCAAAGCAATTGTTGAACTCTTTCAGAGTTTACTTTGTTTAAACAGTTTGCCTCCCCCTAGTTAGTTCTGTTTGTCACACATCATGTGGTCACGTGGTAGGTTTCGATTGAAAAGTTCTAATGGGCAGTGTTTAGGAGGGCTGTGCTTGTTGCTGATGGAATAAACTGTACTTTGTGTGTTGGCTACCTGGCTGAGCGATGGATCTTGGTGCCTTTTCTCTATTTCCCCTGCTCCTGTCCTCTTGATATGGGGTGTGGAGTGAGCAGCAAAGTGCTTCCAGAGACTATGGAGCCTCCCTTAAAACAAAAAAATCCTTATTATGTGAAGTTGATACGTGCTGTAATCCCAGTCCAGTTCTGTAAGGAGCCAGAACCCTGCAAGGGAGAATTTTGGGGACTTCAAGAGGAACCCAGAAAAGACAAAGAATTACAAGCGAAGAAAAACCAAGTTGCCCGTTATCGAGCCAAGTTCGATCCCAGAGTAACTGCCAGGTAAGGGTATAGTTGTAAATTAAACTTTTACAAGTGCGCTTTAACTTTATAATGAATGGGCCAACTGCATATAGTGGAAGTCCCCCCCAAAATCATGTTCACCCCTGAAAAAAGCAAACAATTGTATTTTAGGGTCACACAATCTTTTATTCTTGCCTAAGGTATTAAGGAGTTACTCTTAGCATAATTTTGTCTCCACCATTCATGTTGTTTAATTGTGTGATGCACTACATGAAAAGTAAATTAGATATCGAACCCGTATTGTTTCCTTTAAATAGCCCAAGACCTTTTTTAAAACTCAGTTATATTGAAAATGGCAGCAGACGCTGGTTGTGAGTGTATAGAAACACAGAATGTGACAGAAAAGAACTATTTGGCCCATCTAGTCTGCCTATTCATTACAGGAAAAAAAATTGTGAAAAAAAACAACATAATGCAAGGTATTAGCGACACTGTGCAGTGTGTGGCCCATAATATCAGGCTAGCATCGGAACATACTTATTCAACTTTATTATTTCAAATTCCATAACTAAATGTTTTGTGTACATTTATGACCTACTGAATCTTAAATTGTCTGTCCTCATCCGCAGATCCTAATAGCTTTACTTTCGTTTACATTTTAAAACATGCAAAATGGTAGTTTCTCCTTTATGAGATAAATGGGATTTGTAGGTCCTAATTTCCCATTGTTTACCGGGAACGATGTCAGCTATTAGTTCAAGTGAACAGGTGAGGGGAAATGTACATGTTTACACCAGGTAGTGTATAGTTCTCAAGTTGATTTACCAGTTTTGGCCCATCAGCTGTTATTGCACTACATATCCCAGAATTCTGTGCCAGCCAGTCTTACAAAATTTCTCAAAACAACAGCTGCAGGGACAGAGTCGGATGTCATTGTCCTATGAAGTTTGTTGTAGATTTCTACTGATTAGCAATACTAAGAGTTTTCAGAGAACTAATCAATTTTGATGCAAATGTTACTATCTATTTAACTTGTTATTTTTGTGGTCATCCATAGAGAGATATGTTTGAATCTAAGATTCTAACGAAGCTTTACTAATTAACATGGTATATTAGGAAGGTGGTGATAAAATGTTTGGGACTTAGAATCAAAGCAGTTAAGAAAACACCACACATTACCTGGGTACAATAGGTGTAGTTTAAAAGTACACTCTCTGTTTATTAAAGGACATAATACATGACCATTATAAAAACCAATCGCAATTATTAATGCAGTGCCAACATATTACATAGCGCAGTACAATAGGTAAAACAAGACAAACAATTTATTCTAACAAAACATGTTTGACATACGGGGACAGTAGGGGAAGATTCCCATGCCCAAATGAGGTTACAATCTAAAAATGCAGACATTTTAATCAAAACCTTGATAAATAGCAAACCAGAAAATGCTTACTTTTATTGTATTGATAAAAGAGTAGGATTTATTATGAGATTTATCGGAGAAGAAATACAGAAGATTAATGGATAGCTTTACTGGAGCAGAAATGTAATTAAAGTGTATGACTGGAAATGTAAAGACTTCAGTATAATGTCTTACGACTTTACGTTTGTATAATTGAATGATGGAGATTTTTTTTTTTTAGTTCTTTTACTTTCGGATGATGGGTTGTTATATTGACTTTTTGTTACATATGTTTCACCATGTCAAACAGCTGATGGTGTAGGTTTTAATTTCTTTTAATTTTTAAAATTACCTTTCATCCTTATTAAGTGATTGAAAAACCAATAGTGTTAATTAAACAGATGGTATGGCTGCTTTATTACTAGATACTTAATACTTTTGGGCAAGGGTCAGGGGGCAGGGAGTTGACCCCAGGGTTACTAGCATAGAGCTCAGTACAATACCGTGCTAACATATTATGTAACTGTATCATATCATTATTATTTTATACTAGTTCCTTCAGTATTAGTATAAAATAAAAGAAAAAATTAAATAAATAAAAAAATAACAAAGAGAGTTGAATTTACTGATCTGGTGTCAAATTGTGCTATTTATTTGCATTTGCCCTCCACCCAAGCCAAATGTAGCCAATCCTCCCATGACAGCTACCTTTACACAGAGAAAGACAGTTTACGAACAAACAAAAGAAAAAACAAAATTGGTTTTAACCTTTGACAATATTTGCAGTCTATTACATGCAACCTGTTATAATTAGCTGGGAGAAAAATCTCTATAAGTGCAAACAGTTCACTGTCGTCGTGAACTAGAAGAAAACTAGGAACCCCTAGGGGAACCAGTAAAGTGTGTGTCAGGGGCAACCAAAGCAGGGGGTAACCCTCACATAACTTGTGTAGAAAAAGAAAAAATGGAGACCCACAGGGTCAAAGTAGGAAGCCCCTCAATTAAACTCCATATACATTTAATAGTAATAATAAAATACTCATAAACAAAGAAATAATCAAAAAGGGAGACTAGATAGGTAAATGAAGGAAATACTGATATCTCCTATTGGATAAGTGGATAAAGAAAATACTGATATCTCCTATTGGGAATATACTCTAATTATATACTCTAATTGTAGAATCACTAGAGGGAATCTAATCTACAAGAAGAAGAGAAAAAATCCCAGTGCAGTACTCCTGTAATAGTTATATGTAAATATCTATCATGGCATCTGTAAAGTAAATATATAGTTGCCCCCACATTGTGAACTAACAGAGTTTTTCACCAAAGTGAGAATTATTGGGATTTCTGGGTGGATTTCAAATTTAAGACCAAAATTGCTGGACTGGAAAAATGTTCATTCTCACTTTAGTGAATTATCCTGTATGGGCTGATCTAACCCATGGCAATGATCTGGTGCAATAAACTTGTTAAATAAAACTACAGTTTTTGGGGGTACCAGTAAAAGTTAAAAGTTAGACCACTGGGTGTCTGCTAATACCCAAAGTCATGCAAAAGGAATGGGTGAATAAAAGTGTGTAATGGTTCAGTGTAAGAGGGAATTGGATACTAATTCAGATGGCACGGTACCTACTACTGCAGTTATGCTGATAGCATTGGGATGTATTGTGGAGGATACGAGTCTGCTGACCAATGTTGCTCTTAATAGTTTATCAGAAGCCCTTGCGGCGTTGCTCTCATTACTTGGATGTAGCTACTGACTCCTCGACCTTGCATGGCCGGTTATAATTAATATACCTGGAGACCTGTGCGTCTCATTATGTAAACAAAGATTTGGGAAAAAAAAGATAGGTGTCCGATATATCCCCTCTTGTCAAGATGTGGGGAGTAAAGGACTCCCAGGTTCTCCCCTACCATATACATATTAGTTGGGGTCCTGTGAATAAAAGGTTGCCCAGTATCCCATCCTGTGTATGGTAGATGAGAGGTAACTATATTGGTTGAAAGCCAGGACAATGCGCTGTATACCTGTTGTAATCAAGGTCGGTGAGTAATAAGATTGAGGATAGATAGGCCCCAAGTCACGTTTCATATAACAATGTGGCAGCAATATACTGGTGTCATATACGTCCATTATGGCCACTTTGTAATGTAAGGACTACACTGGATGCCCGTCCCTCTGCTAGCTCAAATGTGTGAAAATACACAGGGTTTTCCCAACCTCATTATCATCAATAAAATAAATTCAATCTCTTGGTCAAAAGTACAATTAGTATTTAACTAGATACCCCTTACCTCTAACTAGAATGTGGAAGGTGATGGACGTCTTCCATAACGTTAATAAAATCCTTCTAAAGTCTCTCCCCCTTCTTGACCAGATACAATGTTACCTATCCCTTCCTCCCAAGTCTTTGATCTTGTTAAACCTCCCCCCTCAGGCTATTATAGTCATGTCTATAATATATCTTCCACCCTAACTATTACCCCTCCCCTGCCCTTTTCTCTCACACTTACTGCTGAGGTTGAGCCAGGGGAAAGTGAAGGGACTTGTGAAGCAGTTCTGCCCAGCGAGCAGAAGCATTGTTAGAATTTAACATAATAAGTCATGTGCAGCAAACTCCTAGACTGAAAGTATAATTACACAGTCCTGATTTAATTACTTTACCATGGCCTCAATTTAATATTTTTGGATATGTTTTTCAAATAATTTAATATTTTGGCATATACGTTAAAAAATATTGAATATCATAACAAATATTTAAAATTTATTTAATATTTAGATTTTAAAAATAAATAAATTTATATGTCTTTATAGACAATATTTTTTGACATTTTAATATCCAAAATAATACATTATTTGAAAAATATTACATTGAGGTCTAGGAGTCAGAACTGCGGGGAATGAACAGATCTGGACAAAAACTAGCCGAAAGGCACCAATGAGGACACACATTTTTTTTTTTTTTTTTTTAACATGACTTTCCTTTATAGACCATCTTATGATGCTGGCCTATTTATTGTAGAATTAGACATAAATATTATAAAACAAAAAGTAACTAGAAAGATAGAAACAATAAATGTGATGGCAGATAAGAACCATTCGGCCCATCTAGTCTGCCCAAATGTTTTAAATACTTTCATATAACTATAATGACAACAAAAAATGAATAAAACATGATTATGCTGTCATATATCTATGACTGTAGCCTAGATTGTGTGTGGTGAACTATATAGGAATATTTCAGTTTATATAGTAGATTGTATGTTCGACCTAAATTTGTCATGGGTGTATAGTCACCTATGCATAGTTAGGTGTCCTGGATTATACTTTACATAATGTTTATTTTCGACAACAAATGTGCACATATACCCTGCAATTTGTGGAATATTTCTAAATTTAGTGAAACTGCACTAGACCTGTACAATGACAGCCATGGGTTAGGAGTTCAGATTTAGGGTCGTTGTGTTCCGGCTATGCTACAGTGATATTTCACAAATTATAAATAGATAACTCTTTTGTAATACACAGGTACAATTTAAATGCATGTGTTCAGTTGTATTATGAGAACAATGGTCTACGAAGTGTCGCAGACCATTTATCTCTGTCCTATATTCTTTCTGTTCAGAAATCGTGGACCCATGAAAGTATTTGAGTAATGACAGCAACAATATTTGATCTTCTTATTTGACAATGCAAGTCCAGACATGCAAAGGTTTATCAGTAATACGAGGTCTATGTGTTTATTCCCGTGGACTTTTTATTACTGATGAAAATTAGGCTTGAATTACGTAAAAGCTTTAGAACATGAGATTTTGTTAATTTGACTCACAAATTATAGTTCTAAGCCTTATTCAATTCAAGTGCTAACCCTTAGATAATGCTCTTTTCTAGATCAGGAGACTTTTATAAACTTAATTTCATAGTGTGATGAAAGTAACCTCGTCACTGGCTTTTGGAGGGGCCTGTTTGCCAGCCTCCTACCCTGTGATTATGGCCCTGTGACGAACTGAATCTCGTCACAGGTTCTTGGAGGGGCCTGCTGGCCAGCCTCTTGCCTCAGGACTATGGCCCCTGCAATATACCTTGTCCAATGCACTTTAAAAGGCTCTGTTCATGTGAAGTATGTAATTTTGTACTCCAGATAGAGATACCGACCATTAGCCCTAATTCTCTGGAACTGTTTTGGGCATGGGACTGTAGTAGATTATTTTCTGCAAACCAATTAGTTTGAATGACTATCTGTTCCTGTCCAAATTAAAGATAATAAAGTTGCGTGCACGCAGAAGTAAATTCACACTGAAACACAGAGTTCAGGTTAATGAAAGAACTTCGGAAAAGTTTAATGGCTTCTAACAGAAAATGGGTGCGCAGACCCTTATAAAGGCATTTTTACATCACTGAAGAATTCAAGATAACAGCAAATAAACTTTAATAATTGGTCCAGGTGTTAAGTGGTTAGTTAGATACCCTCCCATCAAGAGGTGATGTCATCCTTGACACGGGGGTGGACACAAGATGTAGGCGCCATCTTGTTAGCACGAGGTGTTCACTCAATGGGAGGGGTGCTTTGGCAGCCATTTTGAGTAGTTAGTATTGTTAGTTTCAAGGTTCTTTTAGTAAATACACATTTTATTATTCAGCACATTTCTTCCTGCCAAAGCATTAGCTTAGATAATTTCAAGAATTCTATAATTCTACAACAGGACCATGTATAGGTCAAAAATAAGACTTACAGGAAATTCCTGAACCCCTGAACTGATCTGGGTGATTTTTTGATATGTTGGTCACCCAGATCAGGGCTATCAGTGGATGTGACATTTTGGGGTTTTATGTATTTTTAGGGTACTTTTGGGGTGTTTTAAAAAAGTATGTTTTTTCTGTGCTTGAAGATAATTGGATTAGAATTAGTACAGTTACTGATCCAATTATCTCCCAAACAGAGGGGAGAGTCGTGCATTTTAACTCTGTTGTTATTTGTTTATAAGTTTGTGTCACAGTCCCCAACAAGGTTCATGTGGGTGTCACCCATGCATGGGGACTTGCATAAAAGGCCAGTATGGCTACCATTAAAACAGAATGCTTTACTCCTTCATGAAATCTTGGCTCATGTGTGGGGGATTGGAGAACTAGGAGAGGTCTACCCACTGGAAGCTGGATCCTGGTCTTGGATCAGTGAGGGTGGAAGACGGCGAGACCATAACCACTGTAAACCCTCAGTTCGTGGGGTTTACGGTGGTTATGGTGTTCCGGTGCAGTGCTTATGGTACTGAAAGATTACTAGGAAGCAGCGATTGACGGTGGTACCTGGTCGGGGTGCAAGGCGGTCCGTCACACATAGTTACTAAAATGGATCCAGAGTCCTTTAATGGTAATATTTCCCACAATATAACCTTCACATTTATTTATCAAGATTACCAGTTGGATTACCAATATTTTTAAATATAGGATATTAAATATATTTAACATAACATCAAGATGTAGCTAATGATTAATAGGCACCATTGAGAGGAAACAATTGGGGTTTGGTACACTCATTGATATAAGGATTGGGCATTGGACATTTGTTGTAAGTGTATATTTAGTGCTAGGGTGCATAACCCATGGGTCAACGGAGGAGGGATATTCATTAAAGGAACACTATTGTGACAGGAACACAAATGTGTATTCCTGACACTATAATGTTAAAAACACTCTTCAGATTCTTTGCCCTACTTACCTCCCATTGAAAAGGTATTTTATGCCTCCATGGCTAAGATCATTAAATTTGATGATCACAGCTAATCCATTGAGAGGCTACAGCATCTCCTCATAGAGATGTATTGAATCAATGCAGCTCCATTGGGAGTGCTCTGTGTCTCCATGCAGAGTGATGTTCAGCACTAGACTAGGAGCACCTCTAGTGGTCATCTGAGTGACTGATTGACTAGGTTGTAATGTAAATACTGTGATAAAACACACAAGTAATGTTCTCTGAAATGACATTGTTTGTAATAAAAAGCATGCAGGAATGGGCTGTAGATAGCAGAACAACTACATTAAGAAGCTGTATGTGTTGGTCCCTTTAACTATGTGACCCTATATCTTGCATAGACAGTGATGGATAGACCAGTATGATAGACCATGTGCTAATTCTCCCCAGACTAGTTAGTGGCTTTATCAACACAACCCATATGATGGAAGACAGAGAGTGGATTGGGTCTCCCAACTCGGTTATAACGGTTTATACTCTATTTCACATGGGTGAAGGGATAGGACTCACTTATTTGGTATTTGTTTGTCTAGAGCAGGTGTAGGCAAGCTTTGGCACCCCAAATGTTATGGACTACATCTCCCATAATGCTACTACAGCATTTTGGCTGTAGGAGCATTATGGGAGATGGAGTAAACATCTGGAGTGCTGAAAGTTGTCCACCCCTGGTTAGAGTCACCACAGTTACCAAATAATGTTCCGTTCCCCACTGTAATGGGATGATTCAATAGGAAGTCCGATGCACTGTAATTGGATGTATGATATATTTACCCATAATTCTTTGCTTAGCAGGAGTTCTGCTTGATAAAGGCTCCTGTCTGAGCAGAAACTTTGGAATTCTAAAATAAATATGCCTTGGAGTTCATTACTGGCTTTGTGCACAGTCCCTCCTACTGTTGTAGCAGGACTTCTAGGGCCCACAGCTGTTTTACCACCATTACCGAGTGATCCGATCCTGGTACTCCACTCATTTTTTAAATATTATTTTTAATATTGTGTATACCACGTTGATGTTCAGTGTATCAAATTACCAGAATTTCCCCTGGATTCATCTCACTTGGTAAATTACAGGACAATTTGTCTACAATTCAGTTCAGCCAAAATGCTTATTTCTCAGCAGAACGACCTGAGTATGTAAATTCACAGTTATCCTGCCAATGGAATTTTGTGTATTGCTAAAGTGGATTTTTAAAATTTTTAATCTAATCTGGATATTGTACAAACATGTAGCAATTGAGCTGCCAAATGTTGCTACAGCAAGTAACAATTTAAGGGAATACTCTAGACAGATAAATCACTTCAAAGAATTGCAAGAAAGGGTCAGTGCTGAATAAAGTTACAAAATAAAAATTGATTATGGGCAGCACACTTTGAGATAGAAAGGGGTTCCCTCCTAAAACTCCAACGTAAACAGCAAGAAAGGAGAAGGAGAATAAGGTTGCGCCCAAAACATAAGAAAATATGAAAATTTTATGATAATGTGTTTGAAATAAATTGTCCAGTGAATATGTAAAATACAAATAAAAATGCTAAAAAAGTCTTAGAAAAGTCTTTAAAAGGAACAGCCAATCTTGATATAATAGGAGCGTTCTTGAGGGATTTTCTTCTCGTTCCAGAGGTGTATGGAAGACACAATATTTAAAAACAGGGGAACTCCAATGGTGTTGTAAGTAATACAAAAAATAAATATAAAAGTAGATGGGATATATACTACTCACATTTACCAGAGCTTAATCCAGCTCTGGTGTGTATCGCGTGAAGCGAAATGATCCTCACTTCTAGGATATAGGTGGTTTATAATATTCCCAGGTAATTCCAGTGATGATATTTCCGAAACCAGAAAAATAAAAATGGCAAAAATAGTGCTCTCTGTAGCCAAATAGTATTAAAATATTAAAAAAATTGAGGAAATGTACTCACATTTTTCTGAGCAGACTCACTGCTCGATGAGTAGGGCGCTGGTGGTATATTCCCCACCTAGGATTCTTTTTGTCCTTGCTTGAAAAAGTCGAGTCAGGATGCCAGGATTTAAAAGATATTAAAACAAATATCCTTCAGCTTACTGAAAGGCTTTATGTGTAAACTTTCTGTACCCTTTCTCCTATCTTATAAAAGACATTAGCATTTTTATAAATCTCCCTACAGTTTTCTTAATCATTTACTCGAAACTAAAGGCTACTTATAGAGAAGCAATGAATTCATTGCTTCTTGAGGGGATATTGTGTGTTGGTGTGTGGGGACTGAAGTAAATATATATTAAAGAGGAACACAACTTTTTAATTTACTACAACTGTGACAGAGTTGGTTCGTATTCAATTTGCTAATTGACTCTGTTTTTATTGATACTGGAGGAATCTGGCAAAGAAGTCCATGCCAAAGTCAATCTTTCCATTTTTGGTTGAGTATCCCATTCTTGTAGGAAAAGGTTAGACCACTGCAGATGAAGAATGAGTATCCACTTCTGTCTGACTCTGGATATCCTAGTCCTCAGTCAACTAAAAAAAATGGTATATACCCAGGTGTAGTACTCCTTAAACATTTGATGTTAGAAACATAGAAACATAGAATGTGACGGCAGATAAGAACCATTCGGCCCATCTAATCTGCCCAATTTTCTAAATACTTTCATTAGTCCCTAGTCTTATCTTATAGTTAGGATAGCCTTATGCCTATCCCACGCATGCTTAAACTCCTTTACTGTGTTAACCTCTACCACTTCAGCTGGAAGGCTATTCCATGCATCCACTACCCTCTCAGTAAAGTAATACTTCCTGATATTATTTTTAAACCTTTGTCCCTCTAATTTAAGACTATGTCCTCTTGTTGTGGTAGTTTTTCTTCTTTTAAATATAGTCTCCTCCTTTACTGTGTTGATTCCCTTTATATATTTAAATGTTTCTATCATATCCCCCCTGTCTCGTCTTTCCTCCAAGCTATACATGTTAAGATCCTTTAACCTTTCCTGGTAAGTTTTATCCTGCAATCCATAAACCAGTTTAGTAGCCCTTCTCTGAACCCTCTCTAAGGTATCAATATCCTTCTGAAGATACGGTCTCCAATACTGTGTACATTTGACACATCAGTCCTTAATATGTAGGTTCTCCACACTGGAATTTCCAATATGTTCCAAGTTATAAATAAACATTTATCAGAAGTGACTCTGGGATTACCTATTGCTAGAATTAATTGGCTCCTCAGGGTCAAAAGCTTTTATTGCAAAACATTTTACACACCTGACTTACATCAATATAGCTTTCAAATCCCTGGAAAAAGTGTGAAGCAGGAGAGACATGCTATACCCAAACCACACTATGACTGGGCTTGGATAATGGAACAAACCTGTCAAACATATGTAAACTGTTCATAGAGGGAACAATATGTTATACGTCTGATAGTTCTAATTAAAAACTATTTCAAGTTGCTCTGTTACCCTTGTATTTTGCAAAGACCCCTGGCTACATCGCCGCTTGCATTACGGTGATGACGGGGTGTAGGGGAAAGTAGTTTTTACTTACCTTAACCTGTCCCTCACGGGCACAGCAATCTTCTTCAAGGTCCTCTTCAGCTACTGGAGGTTCATCTGCCAGAAGCCCACGTCAACACTGTACTCTTGCCAACGTCAACACTGTACTCTTGCCCATGTGCATTTAGTACCACATTGATGTCTATGGAGGATCCTAGAGGACCAGAGGTTCTGATAAAGTAAATTATGTTCTTTCATGAAACACATTGGGTTATTGTGTGGATATGGTTGATCCTCCTTCTGTGACAAGTAGCTGGAATGCCCTGGACTGTCTGGGCTACCCTTGGAATGCATGCCCTCACATTTTCCTGTGGGAGATCTGGTGGTTTAGTCGAGAGCCAGTCCTCGAAGGGAACATGATGTCATCTTCACTAGTGGTTTTTCAGATCGGGTTCCTTTGCTCGAGAACCGAGAGGGAGTTTGTATCTCCTGAAAAACATTTCCACCAGCTCCATGTTCTATAGTATTCACTATGGGCTTTTTTTTTTTCTTTTTTTAAACCCTGTGCACTCACCTGGAAATATTAATAAGTGAACCAGCAACTTCTATTTATGGACTTTTTAAGACTGTTGTTGATTAATTGTATACATTTTATATCACCCAGTTTTAATACAATTTGTTTATTTGATTATTTCTTTGTGATCATTAGCCTTTCTATCAGCCCCAGGTTATTTCTCCATTTCACATTACGTACATTAGAAGCTATTTTGTTAGTTATATTTGGGTGCATTATATGGTTTACTACTTACCTGTGTGAGTAAAGGAGGAGACTATATTTAAGAGAAGAAAAACTACCACAACAAGAGGACATAGTCTTAAATTAGAGGGACAAAGGTTTAAAAATAATATCAGGAAGTATTACTTTACTGAGAGGGTAGTGGATGCATGGAATAACCTTCCAGCTGAAGTTGTAGAGGTTAACACAGTAAAGGAGTTTAAGCATGCGTGGGATAGGCATAAGGCTATCCTAGACTTAAGATAAGGCCAGGGACTAATTAAAAGTATTTAGAAAATTGGGCAGACTAGATGGGCCGAATGGTTCTTATCTGCCGTCACATTCTATGTTTCTATGAGTGACAGTTAGACGATATTACCCCCTCCCCTTTTTTAGTTTTCTTTTTGTTAGTTGTATACGCATTCAGGTCTGATACATTTTATTAAGCAAGAGACAAACTAAATACTGCATATGCTTAAAATTGACACATATAGCTCCATATTTTGACTTGAGTGCATTAAATATTTTTCCTGGAATGCATGTTGGTACTCCAACCATCTGTAACAATTAAGCTTAGAATGATGCTTTTTTCTGGAACAGTGCCCTGTCTTTCAAAAATTTAAATAGATACAACATATGCATTTTAATGTGCTAAAAGTCTGTGTAAGCCCAAAGAGATATATTAGCTAACATTTGTTACGGTCTTTTGAACTTCTCAGTCACTTTGTCCATCGAGGGTGTTTTCCACCACCAAGATTAATAAAAGCTTTTACTTAGTGTAATCGATAACAGTGTCATTTCCAAAAAGCTACTTATTTTCTTTTACTCATTATAATGAATGCTAATACAGTTGACAATGAATGCTTGTCTATGAGAATATCTGGACTGAATGTCTTTCAGCTCATTAAAGTGGTCTGGGCGCAATGTCCCATCATCCTTAACCCTGAGCATGTAATTATTGCAGTTTTTATAAACTGCAATAATTACCTGCTTGGGTTAACTCCTCATCTAGTGGCTGTCTACCAGACAGTCACTAGAGGGACTTCTGGGCGTGAAGGTGACTTTTGCCTAAATGCATGAGGACTTCCAGCGTCACCGTATTCCCCATAGGAAAGCATCGAATAATGCTTTCCTATGGGGAAATCCTAATGCGAGCGCGGCCATTGCATGTGCGTTAGGTCTCACCCCGGCTGACATCAGCAGGGATGGAGCCTTGCCGGAGCCAAGGGACATAAACGCTGGATCCTGGTAAATGACGGAAGGGGTTATTAACCCCTTCTGCACCACAGGAGGAGGGGGGTGGGGTGGGGTGAGGTTGACAGAGGGGGAAGCTATAGTGCCAGGAAACAGAGTTTGTTTTCCTGGCACTATAGTTTCCCTTTAAATTCTGCTTTTGGAACAAGGAAAAAATAAGCCCCAATTAAAACCCCATTATGTTTAAAAATGTGCTTGCAAATGTTCTAGGTTATACTAGGCAAATGATTTCTGTTCACACAAAAGTGATTCAGCAGTGTTTCAATTAATATTAGTTGTGTTTGATTGTCTTTGAGGGCTGCATGTCATATTATGGCTGTGAAAGTCAAAGGCTACTAGCATATGGTGACTGGCTGTCAATTATCACTGTTTAGTGCATGGGTCGTCAACCTGGTCCCTACTGCCCACTAGTGGGCGTTTCAGGATTCCAGGTGGGCAGTAGGGATTTCGGAGGCTAAATCCTCTTTTTAAGAGGATTTCTCCTTTGGGCGGGCGCGACCGGCTCTGCGGGCGCATGTTTTCAGTGACCGGCAGAAGGAAGTTCTCCCTCCTGCCAGGCCACCTTCTGGACCCCCCGGCATGGCAGAGTTCTAATCAGACGTGGCGAGGGAGCTCTAACCTCTCTGCTTTGCTCCCTTGCGCGATGTTTGCTGATGCTGCGGGATCAGTAGACAACCCGAGAGGGAGCAGAGCAGAGAGGTTAGAGCTCCCTCGCCGCGTCTGATTACCACACAGCCGTCCGCCGAAGTGAAGCCACACTGGATCCCAGGGACAGATCCACACCAGCTCTCCAGGTAGGGAGGCTGGGTGGACATTTAATATTAATAATTTGTGTGTATATGTGTGTGCCTGTAAGTATATGTGTGTATGTGTGTGTGTGTGTGTGTCTGTCTGTAAGTATATGTGTGTGTGTCTGTAAGTATATGTGTGTGTGTCTGTAAGTGTGTGTTTGTGTCTGTAAGTATGTGTGTGTGTCTGTATGTGTGTGTGCGTCTGTGTGTCTGTTAGTGTATGTGTGTATGTCTGTGTATGTGTGAGTGTCTGTAAGTGCATGTGTGAGTATGTGTATGTTTGTGTGTATGTGTTTCTATGTGAGTGTGTGTGTGTCTGTAAGTGTATGTGTGAGTGTTTGTGAGTGTGTGTGTGTGTGTCTGTAAATGTATGTGTGTGTGTGTGAGCAGAGTACTTGTAGAATAGAAGAAAGAAGGAGCAGAGTATTTGTAAAAAAGGAGAAAGAAAGAAAAGGAAAAGGAGAGAATTATTGTTGACTAATACTAGTAAGGGGGCTACCTAGCTCAGCCTGCCTACGGGGCATTGCCATAAGGAAGGTTAAGAAAGATGCATTAGTGGGCGGTAAGTAGAAAAAAGTTGACTACCACTGGTTTAGTGGATGAAGCCAGGGCCGGACTGGGACAAAAATTCAGCCCGGGCATTTAAAGGCAGAGCAGCCCTTGGAGGGGCGTGGCTCAAGAGGATGCATGTGGTGTCATCACAAATGACATTCATGCCTCTCCAAAGTGGGCACATTTGTTTAATACCCCTCAGGATAGCATGGGGCTGATAGGCAATGTGTGTGTGTGAGGGGGAGACTATAGGGGATGTTGTGAGGGCGGAATAAGAGATCTAGAGTGTGGAAGGGGGAAATGGGGCTGCAGTGTGAGAGAATGGACATGGGGCTGCATGGTGTGAGAGGGGACATGGGGCTGCAGGGTGTGAGACGGGGACATGGGGATGTTGTGTGTGAGGGGGCAGGGGCTGCAGGGTGAGTGGGGGACATTGGACTGCTGGGTGAGTGTGGGGACAGTGGCTGCTGGGTGGGAGGTGGAGACAGTGGCTGCGGGTGGGGGGGCATGGGCTGCTGGGTGAGAGGTGGAGACAGGACATACAGGAAATGAGAGAGGCTGCTGAGTGAGAGTAACGGCAGGGTGTGAGATGGGACATGGGACTGCTGGGTGAGTGAGGGAGACAGGGGCTGCAGTGTATGGGGACATGGGGCTGCAAGGTGAGCGGAGAAGAGGGGGGTCCTGGTGGGAGTGCTGGGTGGCAGGACAGAAGCTTTTGGGTTAGAGGGGGAAATAGAGGATGCAGGGTATGAGAGGGGAAGACAAGGGATGCTGGATATGAGGGGGGACATGGGTGAGAGGGGAAGACAGGGGTGCTGGGTGGGGGGACAGGGGCTGCTTGGTGGGAGGGGAAGATAGGGGATGCTGGGTAATAGGGGGAGACAGACTGTACGAATGAGAGGGGCAGGGGCTGCAGGGTACGAGGGCGGCAAGGGATGCTGGGTGAGAGGGCAATACAGGTAGTCCTCTGTGAGAGGGGGAGAAAGGGGCTGCAGGGTAAGACGGGGCAGGGGTTGCAGGGTAATAGGGGGACAGGGGCTACAGAGTGAGAGGGGACAGGGGCTGCAGAGTGAGAGGGGCAGGGGCTGCAGGGTAAGAGGGGGGAAGGGAATGCAGGGTGACAGGGTCTGCAGGGTGAGAGGGGGACAGGGGATGCAGGGTGAGAGAAGAATACAGGGGCTGCAGGGTGTGAGTGGGGACATGGGGCTTCTGGGTGAGAGGTGGGGACAGGGCATACAGGGAATGAGAGAGGCTGCTGGGTGAGAGTAAGGGCAGGGTGTGAGATGGGACATGGGACTGCTGGGTGAGAGAGGGAGACAGGGGCTGCAGTGTATGGGGACATGGGGCTGCAAGGTGAGAGGAGGGCAGGGGCTGCAAGGTGACAGGTGAAGACGGGGGTTCTGGTGGGAGGGCTGGGTGGCGGGACATAACTAGGTTAGAGGGGGAAATAGAGGACGCAGGGTATGAGAGGGGGAGACAAGGGATGCTGGATATGAGGGGGGACATGGGGCTGCAAGCTGAGAGGGGAAGACAGGGGTGCTGGGTGGGGGGACAGGGGCTGCTGGGTGGGAGGGAAAGACAGGGGATGCTGGGTAATAGGGGCAAAAGAGGCTGGGTGAGAGGGCAAGACAGATAGTCCTGTGTGAGAGGGGGAAAAAGGGGCTGCAGGGTAACAGGGGGCAGGGGCTGCAGGGTATGAGGGGGGCAGGGGCTGCAGGGTGAGAGGGGGACAGGGGACGCAGGGTGAGAGGGGGACAGGGGCTGCAGGGTGAGAGAAGAAGACAGGGCTGCAGCGTGTGAGTGGGGACATGGGGCTTCTGGGTGAGAGGTGGGGACAGGGCATACAGGGAATGAGAGAGGCTGCTGGGTGAGAGTAAGGGCAGGGTGTGAGATGGGGCATGGGGCTGCTGGGTGAGAGAGGGAGACAGGGGATGCAGTGTATGGGGACATGGGGCTGCAAGGTGAGAGGTGAAGAGGGGGGTCCTGGTGGGAGTGCTGGGTGGCGGGACAGAACTAGGTTAGAGGGGAAAATAGAATGTGAAGAAATTCCCCTATTTTGCTTTAAAATTACAATTTGTATTCCCTTCTTTCATGTTAGCTTTCCCTATGGCATTCGGTAGGTAAAACTACCGAATCGAGACCACCCCGTTGCCCATTATGAATACTTTACCACCCTGCTTGCTGGGCATGTTCGACAAAAGTTCTGCACGAACAGTATGCACCGCCGCCATTTCGGGACTTCCACGTCTTCACGGCCATTTTAGCTCCCGAACAGCGGTGTTTGCCGTCGAGTGTCTGGAACTGAAAACGGACACTCAAATAGGCGAACACCGCTGAATCCTCCATACCTTCGGTAAAACCCCATTAAAACTACCGAATGACCGGGCATTCGGTAGAAAGACTCACTGACAGATGGGGAGTCAAGCGACCAAGTCCTTAGGGTACATCCAAACTTTGGGGAAATTATGTTCCGTTTTAATTATGTTAAATGGTTATCTGAGGGAGGAGATGTACAGTATGTATATTGTTATGATTGGTTGTACAGTTAATTATATGGGAGGCTCCCTTGCATGGGCAGAATCCCATAAAAAGAGAATGCCTGTCAATAAATCTTTAGTTCATCTTTGTACCCTTCTTCTGACTACGTATGCTGTTTGGGAGTTTGTGAGTTTTACTGAGGGAATTATCCAGGGACACTATTGGAATTACACTGGGATTCGTCTACCATAACTACCGAACGGAGGGCTATATTCACTGGGCTCTGGCAGTTCGGGAGGAAACTACCGATTGAGGTTTAAATGTACTTGGTTTCCTTACATAGAGGATGCAGGGTATGAGAGGGGGAAACAGAGGATGCTGGGTATGAGAGGGGGAAACAGAGGATGCTGGGTATGACAGGGGACACGGGGCTGCAAGCTGAGAGGGGAAGACAGGGGTGCTGGGTGGGGGGACAGGGGCTGCTGGGTGGGGGGACAGTGGCTGCTGGGTGGGAGGGGGAGACAGGGGATGCAGAGTATCAGAGGGGGAGACAGGGGAAGACAGTGGATGCTGGGTGATAGGGGGTACAGGGAATGCTGGGTGAGAGGGGAAGACAAGTAGTCCTGGGTAAGGGGGGGCAGGGGCTTCATGGTGAGAGGGGGGCAGAGGCTGCAGGGTAAGAGGGGGCAGGGGTTGCAGGGAATTAGGGGGCAGGGGCTGCAGGGTTAGAGGTGGGCAGGGGCTGCAGGGTAAGAGGGTGACAGGGGAAACAGGGTGAGAGGGTCTGCAGGGTGAGAGGGGGACCTATCCTGGGATGCAGGGTGAGAGAAGAATACAGGGGCTGCAGGGTGTGAGTGGGGACATGGGGCTTCTGGGTGAGAGGTGGGGACAGGGCATACAGGGAATGAGAGAGGCTGCTGGGTGAGAGTAAGGGCAGGGTGTGAGATGGGACATGGGACTGCTGGGTGAGAGAGGGAGACAGGGGCTGCAGTGTACCTCCATACCTTCGGTAAAACCCCATTAAAACTACCGAATGACCGGGCATTCGGTAGAAAGACTCACTGACAGATGGGGAGTCAAGCGACCAAGTCCTTAGGGTACATCCAAACTTTGGGGAAATTATGTTCCGTTTTAATTATGTTAAATGGTTATCTGAGGGAGGAGATGTACAGTATGTATATTGTTATGATTGGTTGTACAGTTAATTATATGGGAAGCTCCCTTGCATGGGCAGAATCCCATAAAAAGAGAATGCCTGTCAATAAACCTTTAGTTCATCTTTGTACCCTTCTTCTGACTACGTATGCTGTTTGGGAGTTCGTGTGTTTTACTGAGGGAATTATCCAGGGACACTATTGGAATTACACTGGGATTCGTCTACCATAACTACCGAACGGAGGGCTATATTCACTGGGCTCTGGCAGTTCGGGAGGAAACTACCGATTGAGGTTTAAATGTACTTGGTTTCCTTACATAGAGGATGCAGGGTATGAGAGGGGGAAACAGAGGATGCTGGGTATGAGAGGGGGAAACAGAGGATGCTGGGTATGACAGGGGACACGGGGCTGCAAGCTGAGAGGGGAAGACAGGGGTGCTGGGTGGGGGGACAGGGGCTGCTGGGTGGGGGGACAGTGGCTGCTGGGTGGGAGGGGGAGACAGGGGATGCAGAGTATCAGAGGGGGAGACAGGGGAAGACAGTGGATGCTGGGTGATAGGGGGTACAGGGAATGCTGGGTGAGAGGGGAAGACAAGTAGTCCTGGGTAAGGGGGGGCAGGGGCTTCATGGTGAGAGGGGGGCAGAGGCTGCAGGGTAAGAGGGGGCAGGGGTTGCAGGGAATTAGGGGGCAGGGGCTGCAGGGTTAGAGGTGGGCAGGGGCTGCAGGGTAAGAGGGTGACAGGGGAAACAGGGTGAGAGGGTCTGCAGGGTGAGAGGGGGGCAGGGGCTGCAGGAGTAGAGGACAGGGGCTTCCAGGGTAAGAGGGACAGAGATTTTTAGAGGTGAGAGGGGGCAGGGCTGCAGGAGTAGAGGGGCAGAGGGATACAGGGTGAGAAGAGGGACAGAGGGGTCTGCACAGGGTGAGAGGCAGGGAATGCAAGTGAGAGGACAGGGGCTTCAGAGTGTTAAGAGGGACCCAGGGATGCAGGGTGAGAGGAGGGACAGGGTCTGCAGGGTGGGGAGGGGGCAGGGGCTGCAGGGTAAGAGGGGGGCAGGGGATGCAGGGTGAGAGGGGGACAGGGTCTGCAGGGTGAGAGGGGGGCAGGGTCTGCAGGGTGAGAGGGGGACAGGGTCTGCAGGGTCTTCTGGGTAAAAGGGAAGCATTGGCAGCAGGGTGTAAAAGAGGGAGGGTCAGGGACTGCTCGGTGAGGAAAGGGGACATGGGGCAGAAGAAAAAAAAACTTACATACTCCCCCATCCCTCTTCCTTACCTTGATCCTTGGCACGAGAGGATGCTAGGGAGGAATTATTTCCCCTGGTGGTCCAGTGGAAGAAGCTTCTGGTCTACACCCCTTTACAGGTGTAGACCATGTGCATCAGTGTGCAGGCTGGTGAGAGAGATCTTTGATCTCCCCACTGCACAGAACTCCCTCAATGGGCCTGAGGTCAGGTACCACCAGCCCTAAAGGGGCTGGCCGGGGAAATCCTTTGATCTCCCCTGTCAGCCTTGGCCTATGGCCATTGTGGCCCACCGGGCATTTGCCCGGTTTGCCCGATGGCCAGTCCGGTCTTGGATGAAGGCCACAATGCAGAACAGCGCTGAAAGTAGATGAATATATAAACCAGGTTTGCAGTACAAAAGAGGTCAAATGGAGAGAGTAGTCAAAAATACTAAAGGTCAGAACAGGCGGCACAGGTTCAAAGACGAAGATTCAAGCAAGGGTCAAAAGCAGGATACGGCAGATAGTCTCTGAAGGTCTTTACACAATCAGGAACACAGTAAAACTGAGTCAAGGGTGTGTGGGATTTAAATAGGGAGAGTGGGTGGCCTGCCTACTGTAGCTCCTCCCAGGTCTCCACCTCCTGTACCTTTAAAAATCTCTGTTTCTCCCGAAGCTCTGCTTTCTGTGTGGCCGCATGTGAGAAGCAGCGGCGGAGTTCACATTAATGTGAGTGGTCGGTCTGGGGGGTTGGGCAGACCGCGCTGTCTGGAGAGTCACGCTACGACACAGGGTCCTCTTGGATTGAGAGAGACACACGGCATGGGAGCGTGAGGTAGGAGAATGTGGAAGCCAGGGCCTGGTACTGGCATGTTGGTGAGAAGACTTGAAATGCAGCAAAGGAAACGCTTTCTGTGGTCTTTAACCTACGTGCCTCTACACTTCAGGGGTATTTAACATAACACATAAACACTGGGCCAGTAGATTCAGATAGGAATTTACAAAGGAATTACTTTAACCCCTTAAGGACACATGACATGTGTGACATGTCATGATTCCCTTTTATTCCAGAAGTTTGGTCCTTAAGGGGTTAAAGACACATATGCGAAAATGTTAACACACAGGAACAACTGACATTGGTATATTAAAGAGTGTTTCTGAAAGGATATTATAAGTACACCGATCTGTGGACAGTGGGTATCCTGAGTATTTTTGATTTTGTTGCTGTGAAGTTGATAAAAATTGTATCCCAATAAGCAGGGGTAGGCAGCCTTCAGGACTCCAGATTTTGTAGACTACATCTCCAGTGTGTGTGTGTGTGACAGTGTGTCTTTCTGTATGTATATGTGCAAATGTGTCTCACAGTGTATTCTGGCGTCTGTGTGAGTCTATATATGTCTCTGCCATTATGTATCTGGATGTGCCTGAGTCTGGGTCTGTGTATGGTGCGAATATCAAATATATAATAGCAATCATCTGTTCTTAAAATTAGGTAAATACAACCTCAAATGAAAAACAACACATTACATATTATACCGTGTCATGATTTATTTAACAAAAATAAAGATAAAATGGAGAATCCATGTGTGAAAAACTAAATACGCTGCTTCCATTGGAATTAAGAGACTAAGTAGCAGACAGGTGCTGCTAATCAAATGTCCTTGATTAATCGATCATAAGCAAGTGTAACCACCTCTATAAAAGTCAATGTTTTAGGAGTTTGCTGGTCTGGAACATTCAGGTGTGTATTAACACAATGCCAAGAAGGAAAGTCATCAGCAATGATCTTAGAGAAGCAATTGTTGCTGCCTATCAAATTGGTAATGGTTATAAGGCCATTTCCAAACAATTTAATATCTATCATTCTACAGTGACAAAGACAGTTGCCAATCTTCCCAGAAGTGGACATCCTCAGTAAATCTACCCTGAGGTTAGCATTTCAGACTCTACAGGCCTCAGTTAACATGTCAAAGGTGTGCCAGGTGAAAGCCTATTTTCTCTAAAAAGCACATGGCAGCATCTTAAGAAGCCACAATACGTCTGAAACAATGTCCTTTGTACAGGTGAGACCTAAGTGGAGAGGTGTGGCCATAATACACAGCGCCACTTTGGTGAAAACCAAACTCAGCATATCAGCACAAGCACCTCACACCAACTGTCAAGCACAGGGGTGGAGGGATGATGGTTTGGGCTTGTTTTGCAGCTACAAGACATGGGATCCTTACAGCCATTGAGGTGACTGCCCTCAATGACTGCAACGTTCACAGTCACTGAGTAAACTCCTCTGTATACCAAAATATTCTAGAGTGAAATATGAGGCCATTTGTCTGACAGCTAAAGCGTGGCTGAAATGGAGTCATGCAACAGGACAGTGATCCCAAACACACAAGCAAATCTACAACAGAATGGCTGAAAAAGAAAAGAATCAAGGTGCTGCAATGGTCCAGTCAAAGTCCAGACCTCAACCCAATTGAAATGCTATGGTGAGGCCTTAAGAGAGCTGTGATAAACAAATGCCAGCAAACCTCAATGAACTGAAGCAACATTGTAAAGAAGAGTGGGCCAAAATTCCTCCACAACAATGTGAGAGACTGATACAGTCATACAAAAAATGATTACTCCAAGTTATTGCTGTTAAAGGTGGTTCGCCAAGCTGTTGAGTCAGAAGGTGTACTTTTTTGCACATGACTTCTCCATTTTTCATATATATTTGTCAAATAAATCATAACACTGTGTCATGTGTTGTTGTTCACAATTATACATGCATGTAACAGTGTGTATATATGTTAAAGCAGAGTTTGTATAGCTGTATATTGTTTAGTGTTCTGTTTTGTATGCTTAGAATTAAACTGAGCAATTTTAACATCTAGCTTTTGTACTGCCTCATTTTATTTAAATTTAACAGAAGCACAGATAAATAGTCTGCTTTAAAACAAAAAATAAAAATGACAATTAATATTCTCATTTGATCAGTCATTTTAAATAATTATTAAATTAAGGTATTTCTATGTTCTTTAATTTAAACTATTGGATAAAAAGCCATAACTTGTGTTAACCTTTTTTTCTTCTTTTTTTAATTTTTAATTTTTGTTGTGCAGGTAAGTACATGTTAGCATCAAACGCCACAGAAGCGCACACACACATATATATATATATATATACATACAGGATAGACAGTGACTTGAGAAGTTGTAAATTTTTTGTAAACATATAAACAAGCTTAACGTAACTGACGAGTCTAAAATATGAAATTGAGTGTATATATGATATAGGAATATAATGCAGGAGGATTTTGTAGTTTAGGCAGATCTATGGGACTGGGACAAGACCTCCACCGTTTGGCTGCCATGGAACGACAGCTAGAGATGGACTATGTGGAACTACTAAACCAATGTCAGCCACAGGGCATGGACACAGAACAGGAAAACTGGCTGGGAGACCCAGACCTGCCAACCTACAGCTGGGAAAACGCAGCCGAGGTACCCCCTGCTTCACTACCAGCGGCAGAAGTAGGGGACCTCATAGACTGGTCCTGGGAAGACCCACAGATGGCAGGTGGAGATGGGATGGCGGTCTCTCTACCGGCCCTACAGGGATGCTGGGCGGTCGGCCCAGATCTCCAGCGGCAGTGTGTACCCCAGGGAGCAGAAGGTGCAGTCCTTCCTCCCCAGCGGCAGTGTGTACCCCAGGGAGCAGAAGGTGCAGTCCTTCCTCCCCAGCGGCAGTGTGTCCTGCAGGAAGCGGAGACAGTCGGTCTCGCTCCCCAGCAGCAGGGCAATATATTAAAAGGGGAGACAGTTGGTCCCCCTCTCCAACAGCAGAGAGAGTGTCAGGGAGAGGAGCTTGTTATCCCCTCTCCCCAGCGGCAGTGTGTACCCCAGGGAGCAGAAGGTGCCGTCCTTCCTCCCCAGCGGCAGTGTGTACCCCAGGGAGCTGAAGGTGCCGTCCTTCCTCCCCAGCGGCAGTGTGTCCTGCAGGAAGCGGAGACAGTCGGTCTCGCTCCCCAGCAGCAGGACAATATATTAAAAGGGGAGACAGTTGGTCCCCCTCTCCAACAGCAGAGAGAGTGTCAGGGAGAGGAGCTTGTTATCCCTTCTCCCCAGCGGCTGAAAGTATGTATGGGAGAGGAGCTTGTTACCCCCCCTCCCCAGCGGCAGTGTGTACCCCAGGAAGCAGAGACCGTCTGTCTCGCACCCCAGCCGCAGGACAAAATATTGAAAGGGGAGACAGTTGGTCCCCCTCTCCACCAGCAAAGAGAGTGTCAGGGAGAGGAGCAGGTTACCCCCTCTCCCCAGCGGCAGTCTACAGTTCAGAGAGAGGAGCTTGTTACACCCTCTCTCCAGCGGCAGCCTAACCCACCAAGGGGAGATGTTAAGCCCCACAACTATGCAGATGGGACCGTAGTCTCTGCACTTGCAGCACCAGGGGTAGGGACGGTCGGTCCTGTCCCCCAGCCACAGAGCAGTGTATCCAGAGGGGAGACAGTCGGTCTCCCCCTCCCACAACCAGGCTCCAACCAGGCTACTTCAGTGGTAGCGCTGGCACCCGGGCAGAGTACCGCTGGTCTCTGCCCACTCAGCAACCCACCAAGGCAGTCTACCAGCCCCCCGCACAGCTGTGGTGAGGCACCTGGACATGGACAAGTTGCTATTTTATCCAGGTGTAGTAACCAGTTATTGTGGGTGGGCTGTATTGCTGTTTGTGCTTCGTGGGTGGGTTGCTGGACTAACCAGGGCACTGACCGGCAGGAGGTCAGATACCCTGTTAGTTTGGATGGTAAAGGGGAGAAATGTGGCGAAACCGCCTCGCCACGTGTCCTTGGAGGGGGCTGCTTGCCCGCCTCTTGCCTTTGGACTATGGACCAGACCTTGTGTGAATGTGTTATACCCCAGATAGGAATCCCATGGAGCCCATTCGTATGAAACTGACTGTAAAGACTTTGGTTCCATGGCGATTAAACTGTATTTGTGTGGTCCGAGCGCCATTCACTTAATAATGTGCGCTCAGACCTGAGCTATCTGGGGATATGTGAAATGTCTGTGTTATGTGTAAAATGTGACTTTATGTATTTTAAAGTGTTTTGTGTCTTTTGCAACCATGTGCTTAATGGAGTCTTGTGTCTGTCCTGGGAGATAATTAATTACTTATCTCAGGATAGAAGACTCTGAAACTGGTTTGGGCCAGAAAGCCATGCTTCATTTAGTCACAAAGGACTTTTACTAACTTTGAACCCCTTGTCTGATTTGTGCCATTTTTGAATATGTTGTTCCCCTGAATGGATTGATTGTGAATATGTAATTTTATGTGAATGTGATGTATGGTTTTGGAGTTATGAAAGTTGGGTAGAAAGTATGTTTTAACTGTATGTATAATTGAGTTTCCTCTCAGGATAAGGGGAGGGAATATGTGGGATGTAACTGTGATGTGATTGGTTGTTTTGTAACGCCCTGTGGGCTGTACTATGTTGGTGGATTGGGAATAAAAGAGACTGTATGTGACAGTACAGGGAGTTCCTGTTTTAACCCTCAAAGTGAAGTGTCGTCTCATTATTGGGGGAAGGATTTATTGTATGCTGTTTGACTGCTAGGAGAGTAAACCTATTCGTATGGTTCCTATTCAACTGTCTACAGCATTCATATGCTTGAGAGCATTCACATGCTCCTACGGTTCGGTGGTTTTGGTGTCTGCTGCAGTGCTTGGAGTCCTCAGGAAGTGCTAGGAGCATCCTTCAACGGAGGTACCCAGTCGGGGTGCCAGGCGATCCGTTACAGGCAGGCTTGGTACAGAAGGGTAGAGAGTAACATGTTTGTAAGGATAAGTGAAATAACGTGTTCTAGTTGCGTTCTAGCGATGTCAGTTAAGTACTGGAGGGCACGTTTGTCAGCCAAGTAGCCTACGCATGTGTAGCTTATTCAATGTCGGCTCCTCAACCATCTCCCCCTCCCCCTGTTGCTGTACTTCACCCAAAGCCTGTGGCCATGAGAGCCAAGTATGGAGGTAGTGTCCCGGCAGTCCAATGCTGGCCGCAGCGCCGGCCCCAGGCTACCATAAGAGCCCATGTACTGATCCCACTGCTGCGGTCTCTCTCAACACTGTGGGTAAGGTCTTGGGGGGTGTTTTCACCGCTGGAGCTCTGGCTTTCTCCTTCCAAGTATGTGGGTTATCCTCAAGAGTACCCTTCAACACAACCAAAATGTCATCTATATAACCCAAAGGTGTATCATGGGGATGTGTGATGAAAATTTGTCTGACTTAATGACCACCTCTTCCCACCAACATAGGTGCAGGATGGCATACAATGGGGAACAAGCTGTCCCCAACGCATTGCCCCGCATGTGGTGGTAAAATTTGTTGTTGAAGAGGAAATAGTTGTGTGAAAGGATAAACTTGAGAAACTTCAAAATTAAGCTTGACTGTGATTGGTAGTCTGTCCCCCTTTTTTTGAGGTAGAATTGAACATGTTGGATACCTCCTCCATGAGGTATTGAAGAATACAGAGATTCCACATCCAGACTGCAAAGTGCTGCTGATTAGGGCAAAATCAGATCAGAGAGAAGAGCCAGGGTCTGCTTAGTGTCATGGATGAACGAGGGTCTTAAGATTCTGTCCATATAGATACTCCAATTTTGCATAAGATTATCAACACCGGATACTATGGAGCATCCGGGGGGATTTTTTAGATCCTTATGTATCTTGGGCAAGCAGTAGAAGGTTGCTATGCTTGGATTACGATTTAAGATGAAGTCATATTCATCTTCACATAGCAACCCTCTACTGCGGCCCATATCTAGAATTTAATCAATAAATAAATGCACAAAATGGAGTAAGCAAGTGTTGGTAAAGCTCAAAAAACACCTTAAGTGGTATCCCCTAAACCACTTCTATAGAATACAAAAAAAAACATACATACATATGGTGGAGCTTCTTACATAGGTGTTCAGTATATATCTGTAATCATATGAGTACAAGACAATAGTGCAATATTGTTGTAACAAAAGTAATCTATAATGTGAACATATACATACAGGATAGACAGTCAGGAGTCATAAATCTCATATGACTCGGATGGTAAACGCCTGTGGACACTTTAAGGATGTCCAAGCCCCTCTTTTGGTTTCCTTCCCTGGAGTCTGAGCTGCTTAACTCCTCAGGATGGTAAGTATTAACCTGTATCGTATGTATGTATGGTTTTTTTTCATATCTAGAATTTGTTTGTATTCATTTAAGTATACATTAGTGGGATCAGATTGTAAAATATGTTATGTATTCCTGTCCTTAAGGATCTTATGAGCCATCTCAACATAGTTTGCCTAATTCATGACAACAATGTTGCCCCCCTTATCAGCTGATTTTAAAATGATTCCATTGTCTTTTCTGAGGGACTGCAGAGCTTCGTTTTCATGTTTGGTTAGATTCATATTCGGATAGAATTGCAAATCAACCATTTTAATGTTCTCAATTTCAAATTTTACTGCCTCTATAAATAGCTCAATATTTCAGGAGTTTCCTATATTTGAGGAGAAATGCCTCTTAGGTTTCAGATCTGTGTGTTTATGAGTAGTAGTTTCCTCACTGTTACAAGATGCTTTAAAAACGATACTAATTATAGTAATTGGCAAAGAAATCTGACATTTTATTACAAAGTATCTGAATTGGAAAAATAACTGGAGATTGTTTGCAATTATTATTATTCTTTTTTTTTTATTTGGCTCAAAATGTTCAGTTTTATGTGTCATTCTCTGCTTCTTAATTTATGTGACATTTGTGATGGTAAAAAAAAATATATATATAAATTCCCTAGGTAGTGTGTAATAAAAGATCATGCTTTCATAGGCGGCTTTAGATTTCTTCCAGGATCTGCCAAGACTTGTGTTCTGTTCTGCAATAATTAACTTCAAAATAAAATTAATTCTGGATATGAAAACCTCACTGCCTCTTGTAGATGAATTTATTAATTTATTTTGTGATTATATGCACACATGCTCCCTGCTCATGTATTACATTGCATATGACTTCAAACACATTTTGATTTATCACTGTAATGACTACAGTTGAATTTTTATTTATTTTTAGTATTAGTGATTTTGTCAAGATTATTCCTCTCTATACTTCAGCTTACTGATAACAGGTATTCTCTGATTTAGAAGGATCTCGTTGTTTCTTTCTCTGCCCTGTCTATATGGCCAGTATCTCTCTTCAAATTATCAGAGGTACATGTGGCTGCAACCTGCTAATAAAATGGTTCAGAATAGTACAAAATATATTGAGAATGTATTATTATTTTTGAACAAGAGATGATGAGTAAAAAAAAGCCTACTTTGGGAGTACATGGAAAAAAACTGGCTTTACCCAGGTCTTTAAACATGGTGTACAACTGTAAAAAGTGTATTTTATATATGTTTTGCTTTATGGCTTTTAATGAGAAATCAGGATATACATTCTTATTTCTTTCATTGTCATATCATTGGCCTTCATCAACTCATCAGCTGGGGCATTCAGTGTAATATTGAGAAGCAGATAGATTTTTTTCTTCGGAAGTATATTTGTCTGGAGGGTGTGATAGGAAGTGAATGAAGAAACATAGGAGACGAGCTCCCGCAACAGTTTTTGGAACAAGCTTTTAAACAAGTTTTAACCCCTTAATGACACAACTTCAGAAATAAAGGGGAATCATGATGGAATATTTCCGTCATGTGTCCTTAAGGGGTTAACAGCATTTCAACTCACCTACATCTGTTCACGTGGCCAGAAAAAGTAGAAAAGAACCTTAGATTGTCGGCTTCAATTCGAAGTCCACAGTTCTGCCCACAGAATTGCAGTCCGCTTTTAATTATGCATAGAGAACACACTTTGTCAAGTATTTAGGTGTTAAAATGGCTCAGTCTCTGAAGTTGATGTGTAAAGTCAACAATGTGCCCCTGATCCAGTCAGTAAAACATGATTTACACTCCTGGAAGCATCTGCATCTTTGCTGGTTGGGTCGCATAAGTACTGAATGAAAATGGTTGTCGCATAAGTACTGAATGAAAATGGTTGTTCTGCTTGTTTGTTTCTTATTTCAGAGAATACTACAATGTCATGTTGCTTTCTCAGGCCATCTAACTACACACTCCACAGGGTACGGTGCAGTGGGTAGACTTGGAGGCACATTCTTTGCCTTCTCATCTATAGTCAAATTGACTATGAATACCGAAGTTGCTCAGGCCAGGTTTGCCTGTTTGCTCATCTAATACTAAGCAATCAGTCCAGGTATGGAACTCTATAATGTCCAGATTTGGGATGTCAAAAGACATCTCACTGCAGGCCATGCTCGGATCCCTGCTTATTCTTACACCACATTTGAGAATGCCTTGGTTACGGGGAGGTTTGATGCACTGATAGACAGATTCTCCCATTTCCAGATTTAGCTCCTAAGTACCACCTTCCATCAGCAGCAATATTTACGTACCTACAAATTGAGAATATCCTCACTATATATGTATAACTTTTTTGACATGCGTTTTTCTGGATTTTTTTTTGTTATTCTATCTCTCACTGTTAAAATACACCTACCAATAAAATTATAGACTGATCATTTCTTTGTCAGTGGGCAAATGTTCAAAATCAGCAGGGGATCAAATCCTTTTTTCCCTCACTGTAGATTATATAAACTGTGTTAAAGGGACACTATAGTCACTCAGACCACTTCAGCTCAATGAAGTGGTCTGGGTGCCAGGTCCCTCAGGTTTTAACCCTTCAGATGCAAACACAGCAGTTTCAGAGAAACTGCTATGTTTACATTTGGGGTTAAGCCAGTGTCTAGTGGCTGTCTTCCGGGCAGCCACTAGAGGCGCATCTGCGACGCTGGAGGCATATTATGCCTCCATCGCGCAGAGCGTCCATAGGAAAGCATTGAGAATTGCTTTCCTATGGACACTTTGAATGCACCGCGCATGTGCATTCGGCTCCGCTGACGTCGGACGGGAGAGCTGACGTTGGAGTGGGAGGAGAGGTCACCAGCACCGAGGGAGCCTGGCGCTGGAATAAGGTAAGCTGCTGAAGGGGTTTTAACTTCACCCTTCAGCTCCACGGGAGAGGGACCCTGAGGGTGGGGGCACCCTCAGGGCACTATAGGGTCAGGAAAACCGATTTGTTTTCCTGCCACTACAGTGATCCTTTAAAGGGACACTCCAGGCACCCTGACCACTTTTTCCCATTGGAGTGGTCTGGGTGTCAATTCCCACTACTCTTAACCCTGCAAGTGTAATTATTGCAGTTTTTTTAAACTGCAATAATTACATTGCAGGGTTAACTCCACCTCTAGTGGTTGTCTATTAGACAGCCACTAGAGGGCACTTCCTGGTTTCTAAACCTGTGCTAGAGCGTTGCTGGACGTCCTCACGCTATGTATTTTCAATGCTTTCCTATGGGGAGCGCTAATGCGCATGCGCATTAGGTCTCCCCAGCCGGTGGGCGGGATCAGTCTCACCCACCAGCCGATGCAATGCAGAGGAGGAGCGGCGGAGGAGGAAGCAGCGACAAAGGACATCGTCACTGCCTCAGGTAAGTTACTAAAGGGGTTTTCACCCCTTCAGCAACCAGGGATTGGGTGGTGGAAGGGAGAGGGGACTTGCAGTGCCAGGAAAATGGATTGTTTTCCTGGCACTGGAGTTTCCCTTAAAGTATTGTTTTGATGTTTTCATGATTTATATGGTAAAAGTTATGCACCTTGATTTCTCACTTCTGTCATTATGCGAATCGACTGTATGTCCTAAAAGTCAAGAAAATTCAAGTCACTCAACAAAAAAAAAGTAATCTTCCTAATCAGAGCACCATGCATTGATTTTCCTACATTAATTGCTATCCATAGGCACGTAAACTGACTGAAGATGTTTTTATCCCTTGACCTCATTAAAGAGTTACCTACTATTGAGAATGTTTTTTATTATAAAATGGTAGGTTTTAACGGCAACATGTAAAATGTGAATGCCGTCGCTGGGTAGCAGTTTTGCTGTAAGCAAAATAAATTCAAGACAGCTATCCATTACGGTTGTTTCCAAGGTAGTCAGAAGATCTTGTAAGCCTTCACTTTTTAATCTAATTAATAGCATGTGTTGTTAAGACACCCCTGGCACAAAGGAGTGAAACCGCCGTTTAGTTAAGCTTCCCCTTTCGCAATAATGCACGCTCCATTCGTATATACTTCCACCGTACGAACTGCAACCAGGGGAATGCGCCAATCTCCCGAACGGGACCCGTACGGATGCTCCAAGCTCCCGAACAATAATTCATGAATCGGGGCTAACAGCCGAACAAATATATCCTCCAAGCGTCTTACGGTTCCAGCAATCAGTCGCTAAGCGTGTGTAGTAAATCCCCCCAATAACGAGACCAAGCTCCGCATTGAGGGTAAAACAAGAACTGGCTTTACTGTGGGCTACCCGCCGTATTCATGCAGGTCTCCCACTTGGTGGACACTCCCCTAGGGGACCAAATGGGAGACTGTAATTGCAGACAGACAAATGGCCCTTTAAGACATACAGGCACAAAATATACCCATAATGCATCCCGATTTCCTCCCCTCTGCCCTGGAGATAATTGAGAAGTAATTCAATTATCTCCCAGGACAGAGGCAAATCGCCATTTTAAGTAAGACACAAAAAACACATGAAAATAAATAATTACACAACTAATGAAAATATTACATTTGTGCAACGTACCCCCAGATAGCCTGGATCTGAGTGCATATTCTTAGCGAATAGCGCTCAGATCCCATACGCACAGTTCAATCGCCATGGAGTCAAAGTCTTTTACAGTCTTTCGGTATGCGATTGACTCCATGGGATGGCTATCTGGGTTAAGTCCATTCGTGTAATCCAAACTCCCGAACGGCCGGTGTTCACATGCCTTGTCGACTGAGAAGGGCGGTCTGTGGTTTCAGCGGTGTTCGGCAGAAAAAGTGTCAGTTTTTAGTTCCATAGAATCTGCGCCGAACACCGCTGGTCTTTCACATGGTTTCAAAAAGCCGCCGCCTCGTGGTCGACATACGAACGACGACCACCCTGCATTCGGTTATAATTAAGAGGTGTCTGCGGTTAACCACAATGTTCTAATTGGGATCAAGAGGTTAACCAGCAGCACACTTCTCTTCTGAGTGGCCGTCCGTTCGGTAAGTTAATTCGGTAAAAAGTAAAACATACGAATAGGGGTATACGGACAGGCAATTCCATGAAAGGAAGGCAAACTAGACGAACCAGCAATAATAGTTATACAGATGGGTCTGTCACATGTGTCTCTTATTAATTTGGCAGCGTGTAAGTATAAAATATAAGGTATTAGACATCTGAAGGGCTGAAAGAGTTAAGCATGCTCTTCAGATGTCTAGTACTGGCTAGACTTACTAGATTGAAAAAATGTGACAAGGCATGTTATCATATTACTAATATTTGCTGATTAAAAGGTGTGAGAGGCAGCATCAATTATCAAATATCAACTGTTTGGGTCTAGTCGTAATATGTAAGGAATAGCAAGAGAACAAGAGAAAGAGTCAGGGGAGGAGGGAGATGATTGGAGACACATAGAAGAGGTCTGAAAGTTAGGCACTAGGTAGGAGGCAATAGAATCAAAATATACTAGGTGGTAAAAAGGTGTTAGCAGAGATTGAGAGAAAGAGAGACTTATGTTATGGCAAGTAAAACAAAAATTACAGATTGAGTAGTAATCAAGATTAACTAGAGGTGATGCCTACCTGAAGTGTGAAAGGAAATTACTTGGTAAAAGAGAGTGAAAGAAACAGAGTGAAGAGAGGTGAGAAAAATAGAGGCAATTAGAGGTGGGACACAATAGGGTGACAGATGATGGACAAACATCCTTGAACAAGCTCTATTCATGTTGAACAATAATTTGCAAATGTCCACAATGCCCGACAACTGGCAGATGATGCAGCTGAAGTAGTGATAAACTTACAGACATATATAAATATATTTATGTAAACATATGTGAGTGGTCAGGGACAATAACTCATGGGTGGTATAAGTACCAAGAAGAGAAAAATCAGTTATATGGTGCTTGATAGCCAGCATGATGTGTGATCCTGGAAGAGGTCATCTTGGTGGATTATGATATAGTATTTGGAATTAAATTGTTTGTGGTTAGTAACTAATGTACAGTTTATTTTTGTGACAGTGATAAGTATTTCTCTTTTTCAGATATGATATCAAGGCTCTCATTGGCCGGGGCAGTTTCAGCAGAGTTGTGAGGGTTGAGCACAGAGCCACTCGACAGCCGTTTGCCATAAAAATGATTGAAACAAGAGCAAAGGAAGGAAAAGAAGTCTGTGAATCTGAACTAAACATCCTTAGAAGAGTTAGTCATCATAACATTATTCAACTTATTGAAGTGTTTGAAGCTCAGGACAGAGTTTACATGGTTATGGAACTGGCGACTGGCGGGGAGTTATTTGACCGAATCATTGCTAAAGGTTCCTTTACGGAGAGGGATGCAACCAAGGTTCTACAGATGGTCTTAGATGGCATAAACTATCTTCATGGATTGGGCATAACGCATAGAGATTTAAAACCAGAAAATCTTCTTTACTACCATCCTGGGGCAGACTCCAAAATATTAGTCACTGATTTTGGTTTAGCAAAAGCTGGAAACAAAGGCAGAGATTGGTCTATGAGGACAATTTGTGGAACTCCAGAATACATTGCACCAGAAATAATTCTGAGAAAATCTTATAGCAATGCTGTGGACATGTGGGCCCTTGGAGTTATCACCTATATATTACTGAGTGGGTCCATGCCCTTTGAAGATGAAAATCGTACAAGACTTTACAGGATGATCATTAAAGGCAAATATAGCTATTTGGGTGATGTGAGTATACAAATAAGTGTTTTTTTTTTTTTTGTGGATATATTTTGATTGCTTTGAAACAGACATAGAGGGTTACTGAAAAGAAAATAGGAGTTATAAAAATATGGCAATTGATAATTAGTAAATCACACACAAGCACATATTTATCTCAATAAACATGCATATCCATCACTCATTATCGATATAAATGACAGTATTAATCCACGTCATCAAAACAACCTAACCCATATACCCTACAATAAAATGAAATGTCCTTACTTATTTAAATTAGCCTAGCTTTAAAAGGAACATTGCAAGCGCCATAACTACTAGAGATCATTGTAGTGTCTTTTTTGCCAGTCCTCCATTTTCTGGGAAATTTAATTAGTTTTGTTTGGCAAACCCAGTCCATATATTGTGGCACAAATAATACAGAGGTATCATTTCAACATTAACTATTAGTCCTTAAAAAAAGTAATTATAACCATGACAACCACAATGATCTCAAGTGGTTTCAACACGTATATTGCCCCTTCCAGAAACCACCAATAGAAAACAATTCCATTCCATTTCGGCATAGAGTCTCTATGGACTAGATAGCGATGATTGCATGGTCATTTGCCTTGAAGGTTAAAAAGCATTGACGATAGCACAGCTGTAATCAAAACCATTCAAAATCAGGTTTAAATATTTTTAAAAATATTGTAATATATATATATTTTTAAAAAAATTTAAATATTAAATTGAGGCCTGTTTTTTTTCTTTTTTTGTTCGTCAAATTTGTTGTGTTTTAAATAACAAGATAAAGAAAAGCAACTTTATGTCACATTTATCTCTTTGAAGGACACCTAAAGACAAACCAGAAAGTTAATTATCTTTGCTTTTTTCATACAAAACACTATGTGAAATCTGATCTGACTGTTGACTGACCTCACTTGTCTATTAATTTCTTGAGCAAGGAAAAACAATTAACATTTCTTTTTTTTGTAAGCAGAAGTGATTAAAATTAAAATAGTAAAGGTAAAGTAATAACATTTACACAACAATAACTTGCTGTTTGGACCTATTTTGATTACAAATATAATAAAATATATAAAGTAAGTCAAATAGGGTAGGGCATGTTGTTCCCAAGTCAAGAGGCTGTTAGTTACCCAAGAAACTCTCTCTGATTTTCCTAAATATGTGAAAAAAGTTTGAACCAATTTGTGTTCAGACAATGTTTGCTTTAATTTTGATCTTCAGATTGGTGCAAACCATTCTACAGTGTGACTTCATCAGAATAACCCCTGGATTGAGACACAAACAAAATAATTCAAAGTTATATTGAATGTCCCTAATATACTCAAGTGATAAAAAAGTTTCTCACTGGACCAGCTCTTAAAAACATTATTAAAATGAAATCAGGGTCCCTTAGATCCCATAATATACAGGGGTAGAAGTGGTGTAATCCCACTCTTTAGCTAGTCAACACAGTGGTGATATGGACTACGTTTTTCTCACCTAGTGGTTCCCTATTTTGCTGAATGAAGTTAATTAAATGAATGGAGAATCAACTGGACCCCCTAACAGTGAGATGGGGCCTCCTCAATAACAATGGATTCTCTATAAAAAATCATAGAGGTCCAGTGTATCTCATACCGTTTAGGAGAAAGAAGAGTCTAGTTTACACCACAGATGGAAAATATGTTATTTTTACATGAGTTACCTTTTGGCATTTTAATGTACATTTGGTTAGCGGCAAGCTCTGTTCTTAATGAACTGAGAAAACATTCAAGTTATAATATACATGTATGACTATAATAATGACGTTAAAATAGGTTAGATTTTAACCCCTTTCTTCCTTATCCCATAAATGCATGAGATGAATTTCATTTTGTACTTCAATGATAAACTAAATCTTGCCTGTAAATCCTAGCATACATCCCTTTTACTCTTGCACTGATCTTCAGGACCCTATGATTACATTACAACGAGGGAAAATTACAAAATAATAAGCTTATTTGGGGATATACTTCTTTTTCTTCTTATACCTTGGTCCTAAGGTCCTAGGCGTTACATGCAGAGATCACTAGGAACATACATATATATATTTTACATGGTGGTTAGACTATTTTACTACTGGCAACTTAATTTCAAGTACAAATAAATGGTCCTTTTGGCCAACAAAACTCACAGATCTCAGCATGATTGGTCGTGCTCATGTGCATCTTGCGATATATAAGCTGGAACTTCAAATATGTCTGTAAATTCTATCAAGAGCAGGATAAACCATAATGCCAACCTATGCAGATCTTAGTCCTTCTCTGCCTCCACTAGTTTGACATGTGCAGCTTGAGGGAGTATTTACAGAGATCTGAGCATGTCTAAGTGATAGAAACTGTTTCCCATCACGCTAGTGCCTCATATGACAACTGCTGTGTCTTACTGCAAACTACAAGAATTATTCTAGTCCAGTGGACCAACCAAAAGAGCATTGAGATTGTGCATCACCAGCTCATGCACAAATCCAAACAGTGCTGGGCTAACCTTGGTCCAGATCTCAGATCTATGAGTTCCTGCCTGTTACATCACTTGTGCTGCACTTTGTCAGTAGACATCACAATGTTATTCCTATTTTAATCCACAGAAAATTGTTGTGAGACTGCAGTCCACAACCTTTACACACCCAGCAGCTTGGCAACCACTAATATCCTGGACGGTCAGGGCTTAATGTACCTCTCTATGGAGGTAACCTTTTCTACTTAGGATTTAGTTATCTAATATGTGCTGTTGAAATATTTTTGTAATGTTATAGAATTGTCCACAACCTTCCTTCAAAGTTCTATTGAGTTGTGTAAAGCTCTTTAGCTAAACTACAACTCTAACAGTTGCTCTGACACACACCGCAGTGCTATTAGATACGGCAGGTTAGGGGAAAGGAAGCTGTATGAAGGAAGCATAATAAAAAAGCATAATATAGAATTGGCAATATAGATTGATGAAGCGCAGTTAGGAAGCAGAATGCTGCGAAACATGTTTGTGATTGCAAAAACTATACAAAATTGGACATTAAAAAACACAGCAGTATTTGGCTAAAGGCTGTAAAATGCCTCAACGTTATGTTGGTGTTGCGAATATCAGTTTAAATGTTGTATAAATAAACATGTATTATATAAATTATCTTTATTTATCAGGGTCTTCGCATCATGTATAATTTTACCCATCCATATTACATGCTTGATGAAACTTCATGTGATGTGTCAGCAGATTTTAAAAATTCTGGATGTGGTGTGTGGATGTGGATGTCTGTGCAGTTCTATGACTTTATATGTTCTTTGATTGAGCGTGTACATGGTTAGTGATTGCTCGTTTTATTGTAAATGAGTATTTCAGATGTAATAGTTGTTAATCTCTAGTTCTAATTATCACATTTTCCTTTGTAGTGCTGTCTCTGCTTTAGAATCATGTTCTTGCAGTATTACTTACTGTATAAGTATAATATAGAAAAGAAAACAGTTATAGAAATAACAAGATGTAAGCTTCAGAGTCCGCTGAAAAAAAGAGCTCCCAAGACATGGAGCATAGTAATTAAGTCATTAATAATGGAAACATGTTACAGTGTGTGTGTGTGTTTTGTTTTTTTAAATATACCTGTAATTATGGTGTTGTTGGGTACAGGGAAACATTTCCTAATGCTGGCAGTTATCTGGGTGCTTTTTGTAAATGGTATCATAAACAATAAAATATGTTCTAATAAGCTGAATATACAGGGAAGGAAAAGGGTATTTGATCCCCTGCTGATTTTGAACTTTTGTCCACTGACAAAGAAATGATCAGTCCATAATTTTAATGGTAGGTGTATTTTAACAGTGAGAGACAGAATAACAGAAAAAAAAATCCAGAAAAATGTATGTCAAAAAAAGTTATAAATTGATTTGCATGTCAATGAGTGAAATAAGTATTTGACCCCCTTGAGTTAGTACTTGATGGCAAAACCCTTATTGACGTTTCTTGTAGCTGGTGACTTTTTTGACTTGCGTTTTTCTGGATTTTTTTTTGTGGTTTTTCTGTCCCTCACTGTTAAAATACACCTACCAATAAAATTATAGACTGATCATTTCTTTGTCAGTGGGCAAACATTCCAAATCAGCAGGGGATCAAATACTTTTTTCCTTCAGTGTACATGGTTTGATTTAACATTTTCAAGTGCATTTGTGGGGAAAAGACAGAATCATGATGACAATGACCTGAGACTGTACTCACAAATGTACACATTTATTTACACTAATGCTGCATACTCAAAATATATACATTAACCCCTTAAGGACTGAGGAAATTGTACACGTTCTGATTAAAACAAAATGTAAACAAAAAACTGGAATTTGCGCGATATGTCTGTTCAACCATAACTTGACTCTTTCATATTAAGTGCACCCACACTTATTATATATTATTTTGTTCAGACGAAACCTTAATGTCACATTAACTATTCATATATAAAACATAATTTATTTTGAATAAAATCTAAAAAAGTGTGAGAAATTAATTTATTGATTTAGTTAAAATTTGTTTCGTTCTGTGTGGCATTATAACTGTGAATGGCATAATACTATTAGCTTTTACTGCAATAAAATACATATTTTATTCAGTGATGTCTCACCAGTACAACAGTACAACATTTTTCAGTTTATACACATTGAAATTTGCCAGACTGGTTATGTTGCCTTTGAGACTATATCGTAACCCATGAATGAGAATTATCCCCATGATAGCATAATATTTGATAAAGTAGACAACCCAGGAAATTCATTATATTGTTGTATTCGGGAGGCTTTGCTGAACACAAATATTAGTATTTAAAAACTGTAAAACATATCACAACAATGATATAATTAGTGAAAGTGCCGATTGTGTGAAAAATTCAAAAAGCGCCACTTTCACTGACAATATCATCGTTGTGATACGTTTTACTGTTTTGAAACACTAATATTTGTTCAGCAAAGTCTCCTGAGTAAAACAGTACCCATCATGTACAGCAAGCATGTCAAACTCAAAGGCTAGTAAGGGCCAAATAAATAAGGTTTAAGTTTATGTGGGCCGCAAAAAACCCCACAAAAACTTAATTTTTCATAGAAAAGTAGGTTTCTTTTAAAAAGTACAGTGTATATATATAAAAAAAACAGCGGCCCCTTCTACTAAACCCCCTGTCTCATGTCTACTCAACTAAAGACCCCCTCGTCTACTAAACCGCCGCCCCCGTCTACTAAATCCCAGCCTGCCTTTGTCTACTAAATCCCAGTCCGATTTACTAAATATTAGTACCCCCTCGTCTACTAAATCCCAGTCCCCACATCTAGTAAACCCCTGCCCCTGTTTAAAAAAACAAAACAAAAAAATTTAGCCAACAAGCAGTGTCCGAAGTTCACCTTTAAAAAAGCAGATCCTCCCATTACTCCTTGAAACCCTCACACACACTCTGAGACTGAGACACACTCACTGACATACACACATACACTCACAGACACATTCACTGATAGACACACACTGATAGACACACAGGCTCCCTCACAGACACACTCACACACTCACTCACAGAAACACACAATCACTAATACGCACAGGCTCCCTCACAGACACACACTGATATACACACTCAGCCACACAAACAGACACACACAAAGACAGACACACAGCCATGCACACAGACAGCCATGGACACAGACTCACAGACAGACATACACACAGACAGCCATTCAGCCAGACATACACACACACACACACACACAGCCATACAGACAGCCATGGGCACAGACAGCCATGGACACAGACAGCCATACAAACAGCCATGCACACAGACAGCCATACACACAGACAACCATACAGACAGACATAGACACAGACTCACAGACAGCCATACACACAGACAGTCATTCAGCCAGCCATACACACACACAGACAGCCATGGATACAGACAGCAATACAGACAGCCATTGACACAGACTCACAGACAGTCATACACACAGACAGCCATTCAGCCAGACATACACACACACACACACAGACTGCCATACACACACACACACACAGCCATACAGGCAGCCATGGACACAGACAGCCATGGACACAAACAACCATGGAGGACACAGTTAGCCATGCATACAGACAGCCATGCATACGTAGCCATACAGACAGCCACGGACACAGACAGCCAGGCACACAGACAGCCATTGACACAAACACACAAACACACATTTCCCCCTCAACACTGTTTTTTTTCCATTTTTTATTTAAATCCACCCAGCCTCCCTACCTTTGGGAGATCTGGGTGGATTTCTTACCTGGGGTCTACTGGGGCTGCCGGGCAGGCGGGCGGACAGGCGGTGAGGGAGCGCTGAGTGTAAGCTCTCTCTGCTCAGCTCCCTCAGACCGCCACAGAGTGAGGTCGGGAGCCAGAGTGACGTAAAATTCTGGCTCCTGGCATCACTGCGTGGAGCTGAGTAGGGAGAGCTTACACTCAGTGCTACCTCGCCGTGGGCTGCAGGCCGCAAACATATTAGTTGTGGGCCGCGAGTTTGACATGCATGATGTACAGGTTTTAGGGTGGCTTAAAAAAGTTACAGGGTTAAATTTAGTGCTAGTTAATTAAAATCTCTGGACTTTCTGTCTGGGTTGTCAGGCAGGTTCTTTAAATTGTAAATAATACAATTTACTTCATTATGTAAAAATATTACGTAAATATGCACATAGAATTTACATATATATGCATATTTATATATTTGAAGTCTACTTGTATATTTATAAAATTATTTATGTAATTATATGTATATATATGTATATATTTATATTTTTGTAAATTATTTTTTATTTATTTGTGTATATATATATAATTTCATTCCAAGTGTATTTTGATATGAATACTTATTTATATTCATATCGTAATACAGTTAGAGTAAAAAAATTTATATACATATAATTTAAAAAAATGTTTTAATTTATTTGTTTATTTTTATGTATTTATTATTATATATTTTATCATAATATATAAATACAATATATATAGTTATATACACCAGAGAATGTGGAAATATAGGCTGCACTCACGGTCTTTCAATTCGATTCAAAGTGCTTTATTTCATAAGAAAGTAGATCGATGTTTTATCCTGAGGAAGGTCCCTGCGTGGACCAAAACGTCGATCTATTTTCTTATGAAATAAAGCACTTTGAATTGAAAGACCGTGAGTGCAGCCTATATTTCCACATTCTCTGGTGTATATCAAGATCCCCAAAAGGACTGGCACATGGCAAATTAAATGATTGCTTCAAAAGAATAAGGACCTTTAAACGTGAGTGCAAGGAAACATATATTGATGGTTTTTATTTTATAATATATTTGTATATGTGTGTGTAATTTAATTCTAAGTGTATTTTTATATTAATTTATGTATATATCAATATGAAAACACACTTAATATGACATTATATATACATGAGATATATATATATATATTATAAATATAGATATAATATATGTATGTATATATCATATAGATACATATATTATTATTTTTTTATTTACTAATTCATTTTATTTAATTTTTTTCAGCAGCAGGTAGACTGTCTGACAGCACAGGCAGTCCCCCTGCAAGCAGACACACAGACACCTATTGCGGCCTTGTGACCACTCTGTTAGAGCGATCACATGGCCTGTGGGGGACTAATTTGCTGGGGGGGAATGTCTGGGCTCTCAGGCAGTCCCCCCAGACGGGGAACAATGCCGATCGTCGGTGGGGGAATGGCCACGATTAGCTGAGTGGTGTGGACGGCAGGGACATTCTATGCTGCCCGCCGGCATTTAGGTCCAGCTTCTTAAGGACGGCATAGAACGCCTGGCATCCTTAAGGTGTTAAAGAGTTACTTCAACCCTTTTTAAAAACTTTTTTTATTTTTATTTATAATTGGGGATGAGTAATTAGGTTCCTCTATTATAAACCTGTAGAACAAGCATTGAAATTTCCCTTGGCTTGTTTCCATTCTTCCTCCGATGTCACTGCTTCCCTCTCCTTAGTCTAATCAAATGGTTCTCATAGAAAAGCATTTCACTGGATCACTCTCACCTACTCAGAGTGTATGTGCATGCACTCTGGAGGGAGTGGAGAGAGCGGGCGTGGACAAGAGACAGAGGGAAAGAATTAATGTTTTTTTTTTAAAAAGGACACAATAAAAAATGTAGAAAGACAGGGAGGGCTGGACTGGAAGGACTCAAATGAGAGATGGAGGGAGAGAAAGAGGGAAGCTCCCAGTGCTGACCGCAAGGATTGAATTTCATTACAACTGTCATTGGTGCCCTATGTGATCTCATGACAGAAGTCATTTGTTGGTACCGTTATAACATTAGGCAGTCTGGAACAAAGTCACATGTGTTGGGGGTGTAATAAGCCCCTGTAAGGAAACCAAGTACATTTAAACCTCATTCGGTAGTTTCCTCCCGAACCGCCAGAGTGATTATAGCCCTCCGTTCGGTAGATAAGGTAGACGAATCCTATAGTAATTCCAATAGCTTCACCAGATAATTCCCTTAGTGAAACACACGAATCCCCAAACATCAGCCGAAGTCAAGAAGAAGGGTACAAAATGAACTGTCCTTTAATGGGTGCACACAGCTTTTATGCAAGTCCCCATGCAAGGGGACAGCCCTCAGGGAGGGACAAACAATAGCCAATCATAAACAGTAAAAAGTTAACACACACCTACAATTCCCTCCCCTAGCCCAGGAGATAATTTAGTCTGATAAAATAGTAACTTAATTATCTCTGGGCTGAAAAATCACTTTTTTCCCCAACTTTCAGAACACCCCTTTATACTGGGGGTATCCCCATAAATTATGTGTCCCCTGATAGCCCTGACCTGGGTGACCAACATATTCAAATTTCACCCAGATCGGTTCAGGGGTTCGCAAATTTTATGGAAGTCTTGTGTGACCGGCACCCCCTGGGCTGCATGCCCAAAACAGTTCCACGAATTTGGTGGGTTTTGCCGGTCACGTTCGAAAAACATAAAAACGAAGAAAAGTACCAAAATGGATCCCTCTGGCTCCTAGCAGCGTTCGTGCCCCTCTGTCGAATGCACCAAAGTACCGAATAGCGCTCTTCTAGCTATTCGGTAAGTAGAGTTCCAGTGTTCGTCTGTTTGGGACCGGTGTTCGGGAAGTCGAGTGTCCACAAAACAGTTCCATGCACTCGACGACCAGGTCCCGCTGCCTTTGTTTGCATGAACAAAGATGGCCGCGGTTTTCTCTGCCAAGTGGCCTTCGACTAACGAACGCTGACCGCACAGACAGAGGTAGCAATTTCACCTAAATCTTTGATGTTTAATGAGCCAGAGGGTGGTCCCGGTTCGGTAGTTTCATCTACCGAATGCAATAGGCAGTACATAAAGAATAAAATGGGAATGCACACTGTAAATCACATAGAAATAGGGGAATTTCTTCACAGCCCCTTGCACAAAAGTGCAAATATTGAGCAGACATGTTGCACAAAAAGATACCTGTATAAACAGAAAACAGTGAAGTGCCGATCAAGCAGATTGTAGCAGAGGCCGGGATTGGCTCCCCGCACTGCTAACGGGAGGGTAGTCATAGAAATGACATTAACTATCGTGCAAGATAGTCACATGTGTCAAATATAAAGGATAGATAGACTGACAGAGAGACAGACATATATATAGATAGATAGATAGATAGATAGATAGATAGGGGAACTAGAGCTCCATCAGTGTTGAGCATAGAGCACCATATATAAGTGATAGAGTACCCGAGGTTTGTCAGTGTGACTTGTGCCCACTCTCAGTGTGTAATTCATTTAAAGAGCATGTGTCCCCAGAGGAAGTCCTGGAATAGGGGAAGTCCTGGAATAGCTTTTTCTTGAGGATGTAACATAAAATAATAATATGCATTTCTTTTTTTTTTTTAAACATCAGAAAGGTATTTATCCCATAGATTTGTGCCATTGTGTCTTAATAATATAATAAATACCAATTCATCATATGTTGTTATATATAATTAAATTTCTATTAAAATTGTACTTTATTTTATTGGACGTAAGACCGGCTATAGGGTATCAGTATCTATCCTATTGTACCTTCGTATTCTATATTAGCCAGTATGTTGAGACCTTGCTTCCTCTATAGTCATGCCTTATAAAACTTAACATATAATACATACAAGACAAACTACTCATTCAAACAGTGAATAATATGCATTTCAACATCTCAAGGGTGTATTGATTTGCTTAATGGGACACTATATGCATCCAGACCATCTCATCTCATTTAAGTGGTCTGGGTGCAGTGCCCCTGTTCCCCTAACCCTGCAATGTAAAACATTGCAGTTTTACAGGAACTGTAATGTTTAGAGCCACTACAGGTGCTTCCTGCAGTTTCATAGAGTTTGACACCGGGAAATGATGCTTGAGTCAAGCTTTACTATGAGGAAGGCCTAATGCACGTGCATGGACATTCGGTTCCCACATAGGCTGATGTTAGAGGAGCCTGATGCAGCACTGAGGGTCTCTGGCACTGGAAACAGGTAACTGATAAAAGGTTTATTTAACCCAGGGAGAGTGAATGGGTACGGGAGCAGCTTTGTATTCCTAATACTATAGTGCTCCTTCAATGACACTCTTATACTGCAATTTTTTTGATGCCACAATATATTCCAGTTTTAGTATGAATACAGCCATGAACTAGGGAAATTAAACATTAACTGAGGATCATTTGTGTATAACCGGTGCAGCAGATGAAAAAAGAAAAATATTGATTACATATTAATAATGAACATGGTAATATTTTGAACTGTAATTTTAGATGTTTTAGAAATTCTAACTTACATTTCCAGATTCTATAAGTCCAGTTTTGAATTTTTAGAATCATAAGTAAAATCCGGTATATAAAATTTTCATATTGTTTCTTCTAGCCTTGGCCCAATGTTTCAAACCTTGCAAAGGACTTTATAGACCGTCTACTTACAGTGGATTCTAATGATCGATTATCGGCAGCCGATGCTTTAAAGCATCCCTGGATTAAGACAATGGCTGCATCTTCATCAATGAAAAATCTTCATCGATCTATCTCCCAGAACTTGAGACGGAGAGTGTCTTCTCGGTGCCATAGCTCCAAATCAGAACAGTCGATGAAGTCTGGCAATTCAAATCGTTCACGCAAGATGAAAGAAATACTAGAACGAAACCGGCGTTATCAGACACATACTGTGCACAATGATGTCTTGTAAATTCCCATTTTGTAATTCTTTTTTACCATACTAATATGTAACTAGAAATATTTGTTGATGTACATTTGTAATGAATTTTATTAGTCAATTTGCTGTGGATTTGTCAACCCTGTAAAACCAACATTCCCTCTGATCACTATTTATAAGCAGTCATAGCAATGGCACAGTTCTGAAAAGTTTCATTAATACCAAATCACACAATTTGTATAGTAACAAATGGCACTTAATGCAGAAATTTCGGTTGTTGTAACATTGCCAAACATTCCCAAAGATTTCATGGTTGGTCTGGTCACAAGCAATGCCAAGATGTGACATAGCATTCAACATTTTTTTCATCCATAAAATCTCAGAAAATAAACAAATGCTTGTATGGAATCAGCTATAAAATCTTTCACCTACATATGTAATGCCTTATTTAGAAAACAGCATATAGTTAAAGTAACCATGGTGATAACAATATTTTAACATATGTATATGTAGTTCTAGTTAAATTAAAAATTACTCCTGTAAGTAGCTTACAGGAAATGAAAACATATAGTGAATTATATTCTCTCAAATTTAACGTTTTGGAAAATGTTGACAGACTAGTAATCATTTTTGAGTTTCATTGATGTTGAAGTCTACTGGTACATTTTAAAGTCTAGTCATTTTACCGTGGAACAAAATAGTTCTAATTAATATAATATAGTTCTAATTAATTAATATATTTTTTTTCAGAGTATCATGCCATATAGTTCTTGACTCTGCCCCTTTAAATGCCACTGTCACTGCAGCTTAACAAGCTTTCATGCCTTCAGTTTGGGTAGATTCCCATGTTCATAAATCATGAACCCAGAGCTGGGATTGCACTGGTGGTATCTTTATATACTGGTTCTCAACCCAGTCCTCTAGGCACACTAATGTTCCAGGTTCTACTTGCATTCCCATGGAAACAGAACTGGGAAATTCTTAAAGGGTCATGCATTACTTTGAGACAACTGCCTCATTTAAATGCTTTAGCTTTGAATGAGACAGTTGACTCACACTGCAGGCTTTAAAAATATACATGACATTTTGCATATTTACCCGTTTCTTCTATCTTATGCTTCCCACGCCCACTCCAAGAGAGACACTGGTCTTATATCACTTGATAAAGTTTTTTAAACCAGCAAGCACAAACATTTAAACAAATATGCAAACCAAACTAAAGCAAGGAGAATGTAAAACAAGTTATTATAAACTTAGTCAAATTGCATTGTTGGACATGCATCTTAGTTCCCTCTTAGCCTTTCTTCTCAGATCAGTCAACTAATGACAGAAACATTGTGGAGCAGCAGGAACGAAAAACCCTACACCGCAGTCTGCTCTGCCTCACACTGATCTGACTCCCTCTCTTCTCCCCCCTGTCAGGATGTGGCGAAGTGAAGAGGTCTTCCAACTGCATATGTGTAAACCTTACAGGCATGTCCAATGCACTTTTCCAGCATTCCTAGGGATAGGACACTGATTGGTCAGATCAGTGTCCCCCCTTGTTTGAGTGTGGAAAGCACAAGAAAGATAAATCTGGCAAATATGGAAAACAAAATCAGTTGTCTTAAAGTGATGTCCCTTTAATCACTAAACTTGTACCATGAGGAGGGGTTATCAAGTTACCCATAGGAGAGTAGACTGAATTTCAGTATGAAACACTACATAGAATCCAACAGACTGTACAGTGTAGCAAATCATGATACTATTCTCAAAAATAAAATTAGGGGTTTCTTATTCTCCCTTTAAAGTGATATTTAGTGATGTCCCCAACTGTTCACCGAACGGTTCGCGAACGGTTCGCCACAAACGGTTCGTCACGGACTCATCATTGAGTAAACTTTGACCCTGTACCTCACAGTCAGCAGACACATTCCAGCCAATCAGCAGCAGACCCTCCTTCCCAGACCCTCCCACCTCCTGGACAGCATCCATTGTGAAGCTGCATTCTTAGTGAGCTGTCCAGGAGGTGGGAGGGTCTGGGAGAGAGGGTCTGCTGCTGATTGGCTGGAATATGTCTGCTGACTGTGAGGTACAGGGTCAAAGTTTACTCAATGATGAGTCTGTGGCGAACCGTTCGTGGCGAACCGTGGCGAACCGTGGCGAACCGTTCGGCGAACAGTTCACGACATCACTAGTGATATTACTTCTTTGCTGTTTGTTACAATATTGTTTTTTTCATAATAACAATAATACATCCATTCTAAATGTGGTTAATAAATTATTTGTAAATAACCGAGTATGTCAAACTGAAATGTAAATATTAGATTTCTTTATGTATACGTTTGTCTTGATTTGTTTGAAGGAGGATGGAGGAACTGGTTTGTGCTACAATTAAAGTTAGTTCTGATTTCCAAGTCAGTTGATTAGTTTTCTTACTATGTAATTTTTTTTTTTAATATATCAGCACAACTGGTATCTAATTGTTTGAAAAATGGAGGGTTGAGTTATGTATTGGGTTGCAAAAATGAGCTACTGTTTCATATCTGAAAATATTCTATTTATTGATGAGTATATTCTGATATAAATCAAATTATAATCCTTTGATGGAATAATTATTGTTATTTGATATTAATAATAAAAACATTTATTTAAGAGAATAATATATGTGTAAATATTTCCCAGCATGCCCCTTCCCATTTCGTCTTGATTGATTTTGTTTCTAATCCTTTTTAAATCCTTGGTTGCAGTCTAGGAGAGAAGGATAGTTAAATGCATTACTAATGTCGTATCAATAATCAGTTCAACTGCAGGTAGATTGAACTATATACTTGTATCCTCCTCGGATTCTAGTGCAGCTAGCACCGTAAGTCTCAATGCTACTTCTGGTATGCTTAATGTCCACCTCTTCTTTATTTCTAATACTCTTGTTTCATTGCCAAGCGGTGGATTTATTGAGGACTAAATCTTTGTTCAAGATTCAGTTTGTTCTAGTAAGTTATTAGTGTGCGACTTTTCGATCTCTCTGCCCTTCCCCAGAAAGATGCAGAAGACAATGGTTCATTAATGGAAACATGGGCAAATGTCAAGTAGGTTTATACTGGAGATGCCGTGGCTGTGGATTGATTTTTATGACCCTTGAAGTATGAAAATATGCCCATGAGGGATAGTCAAGATCATTACATTCCATGCTACCCAAAACCTGTAACATCAATTCTCCTCTAGATAATGTCACATGATGGCAAATATCCTGCAACCTATGTTAATAAATACATCAGCCAGTTCGCCTAGAACGTCGGACATCCAGTATTGTCTTCTGGCAGAGTCCACCGGAACCCAAATAATTAGCGTTAGGGGCATCAGTAAATCAGATAGGTACAGCCTTACAGAAACATAATATGTGAATGGTGCCTCCAAGTTCCTTTAAGAGTGTGTGTAACAATCTCCTCAACTATAAGACCTTATATGTAACTGACAACCAACATGGAGCTAAAGAAAAAGGATAAGTGTTGATGAGGGGTTGTCGCTAGTTGTTTGCTACAAAGTTGATAACCAAATAGTCTCTCATTTCTTTGAGCCCCTGATGTCCATATGAAGTCCTGGGTTTATCTTTATGTTGGTTTCATTTAATGGGTGGGGATTAGGTTCCTTTTATCCTATAAAATCAATGTATTTTCAACTATTGTTACTTAGCTGCTAATCTGTTGGAACAGCTGTTAATAAACAAACTTGCTGCTTTATCCCCGCATGCAGTGCAATGTATTTATTTCAGCAGCTGTACATTTAATTGGCCTCTACACTTCCAGTGACATCCAAGAAATCGTCACCTGTGTCAAACCAGCTGCCTGAGGATATCCAGTGCAGAAAGGCCACTATTTACACTGTAGGTTATTTCCACTAATGGCTGTATGGGTACATCAGCTGCCTACGATAGGTTATACTTTCGCTGTACTAGTATTTAACAGAGCACCACCTACCTGATATCACTTTTACCACCATTGGATTTTACTACTTTCATTATGCCCACCTTGCATTTCTTACCCCCACATTGTGTCTCTTAGCCACTCTTGCATCATTTAAACCCAATTTTGTCTCTTACACACCCTGTAAGAGACAGGGTAGGTCTCCTTCCTACCCTATTTCTTATGACTCCTATGCTTCCAATGTCTCAAACCCCCCACTGTGTCTCCTAAATTGTGATTCTTACCCTATGTAGTGTCTCCTTCTATCCATGTGCCTCCTACTTCCCATTCCTGTTTCCCTTACCCCACATGTAGTGCCTTCTTTTCCCACGTGTCTCCTAACCCCCAACCTTGTGTATCCTACCCATTTAGTGTCTTCTTCTCCTAATATGTCTCCTTGTCTTTTAACTCCCATGTAGTGTTTCCTTGCCCCCAATGTGTCTCGTACCCCCTTTCTTCTTGTATCGCTTACTTTTCTGTAGAGGAGCTTTTTTTTGCTCTACCTGTACTTAGAAAAGAACTCTTGGCTTGCAGTGAGTGTCATAAACCCACCTCCAACATGCCAAGAGTTGTTTTCTGAGACAGAGTAGAGGATAATGAAGCTCCTCTACTGCAGTCCATGCTCTCTTCATCCCCCTCCAGCCTGTTATGCGGGCTGGATCACCCCAATCCCCTCATTTAGTACACAACTGAAGCAGACTGTGTTTACTGATCAATGTGTTGGAGTTACTAGGAAAATAAAGGATCACATATGTTACTCATATCTATATGTGTAGTAACTGAAAAAAAACTGGGGGCAGGGTGAGATTTAGTAACAAAGTCTGATGCCCCTCCCTTGCTGACATAGATATACATACATCAAACCACAAGGTTTTGTACAGGCAAATATGTACAATACACAATATATTGTGTTCATACACAATGTACACAGTCAATATGTTTTTTTTTTCTCTTAACAGTGAAAGGTGAACAGTAAACTTAATTTCAAAAGGTAGGATAAAATAGCTGGACTAGAAATATTCTCCAAGTCAGCTATGCTACCGGTTTGGCTACTTTAGAATTAAATTTAAAATTAATTGGGGGCGGAGCCTGGCACTCAGGTTGAGCGGCTGTGCTACACTTCAGCTCCTGCTAATTATTGCACTTTTCGGGGGTAAACCCCAAAAAACACGGCACAGTCGCACATTGGAGACGATAAATCATGTCGGGGATACCCAGGAGAATAGCCCGACACCAAGCTCAAGCTTATACCCCACCGGGAACCCGACAAAGAGCCCTGAGGCCTACCGGAGATCGAGTGCCAGGGAGACTGCCGCTTCCCGCGCAGGCCATCACCTGGACCGATGGAGGTCATCTCGGTCCACAACAAGCAACTGGAGAGCCTACAACCCGAAGAAACACAGCACCAGGACAGGCGAACACGAGACGCAACTAAAATAGCGACAGCAAACGTAGCAGGTGAAACACCTGAACGCTACACAGACATGCCAGACTATGAAGCCAAACTTACCGCTATCTTCGAAGCCTTCTGGGCACGGCTGGAGCACCGGGCACAGCTGAATAAACCGAGCACATGCTGGAGCAACAAGAGACAAGAAACAAGAAACCTAAGCAACACAGCCACCAGCGCCTTACTCATAAGCAACTTAGGACCCCAAGATGGCGCCGCAGGAGGAGAGACCCTCTGCCTGCAGGCAAAATCAGGGGAATGAATCAAGCACCGGAGCACAGCCACAGAGTGCTGGGGACCCCTCATGCACCCAGTAGCTATCCCCACTCTTCTTCCGGGCAGGGAGCCCACCAGAGGGTAACTCCTCACCACCACCCATATACCCAGGGGACCAACCGGAATCCGGCAAAACCTTGGGCCCACGACCCTGAGGATGGGGTCAATGGACTTGTGGCAAGGGCCCCCGCTAAAGCCTTGGGCCGAAGACACAGGACTCTCAAGCGACATGGAACTGGGAGGTGCACCGGGGGATCCACAGCACAGAGGGCCAAGCACCCGGCGGGTCAAAGCATACACCCTAGAGGAAAAGGCCCAACCACCAATAGAGAGATGGGCCAAAGAGGCAGCCCCCCCACAACCAAATGGACTGGTCCCCGCATACTGCAGCACGATTCCTCCATGCAGAGTGGGCTGAATAAAGGCATGAACGCTTACAGCACTCCATGCCCTGGACTGCTCCAAGTAAACGAGAGAGACACTCTGTCATACCCTGAGAGTTTCACCTATAACTGTTTCCTTTCACATGCACTGTAATATTTTCTACAGTTAATACTTATATAGCAAATTGAATGGCTGAGCCTGCATTAGTTTGAAGTTAATTGTATCTAGCAAACAAAACCCAGCAATAACCTGCACTGTACAACTCACATACCTTTCAATGCTACCTGTACCCATCTGGCAGACTGGGTAAATCGATTCACATGTACTCATTGAACCGCAACAGCTCTACAGCTATTATTAACAGAGGGCATTATCAGATAGGCTTGCATAGATCTCAATAAAACTATTACCCAGTCACCTCAGGCCAGCCTTAGCATGTATAGTACTGCATATATTAGCCAGTTTAGCTTGTTTAGCATGTATAACACTATTGTTGAAAAGCTTAGCTTTTGCTGTGGACACACTTCCTGTCCTGAGTACACAGATTAACAACGTTATTGAATATGCTGCTAGCCAGACCTTTTCCTAGATTGACAGGACCTAACTGATCTGCGAATTGTTGCTCTATAGATAGAAGTGCGCTACGTTGCCAGCTTGCCCTAGCAATTTAAATTGTACTCTAACGTCTTATTCTCACTTCTATGCACCTGTTAGCAACCAAGATGCAACAGTTCAGTATGTCTAGCATCTAAACTCTACTTAACCAATAGCCTAGTGTGGCATATTCCCTAAGCCCGTTTAACCCTATGATCCATAGCTTGCATTTTCAACCCAAATTTGTGCTTTGTTTTTTGTTTGTTGTCTTTCTCTTTTATTTTTTTAATTTTTTCTTTAAAAAAAATTGACATAATTAACTAATATTATGTCACTCTTGTTTGTCAGCTTGAATAACATAAAAATGAGACAGTTACTCAAAGGAGATGTTGCACTGTGTTAACGTAACCCTAAGCTGTAAAATAAATGAACATCCCCTTGTTTTTGTTCTGTACCCCATATAACAAATGTCTCAATAAAAAATAGATTTAAAAAAAATATTAAAAAAATAAAATTAATTTTGAATTCCTGACACTTTAGTGAAGGGAATGCATGACTGAGGGGAATCTGCACACTTTGGATCCTACTCCCACATAATTATCTGGGAGAACCTTACCCCTCCTCTCTCAGTCCCGACTCCCATGCTCACATCCTTCACCCCAATACCCATTATCACTTCATCCAAGCCCTAAATCTCCCATTTTTTCGTGTCAAACCTACATTCCCTATGTTTTCCATCCCAGTCCAATAGAAGTTATACACTGATCAGCCACAACATTAAAACCACTGACAGGTGAAGTGAATAACATTGACTATATCTTACAATGGCATCTGTCAAGGAGTGGGATATATTAGGCAGCAAGTAAACAGTCAGTTATTTAATTGTATATGTTGAAAACCGTAAAAATGGGCAAGTGAAAAGATCTGACTGACCTTGACAAGGCCCAAAAAGGGATGGCTAGACGACTGGGTCAGAGCATCTCCAAAATGGCAAGTCTTGTAGGGTGTTCCCATATGCAGTGGTTGCACTAAATGTGTTTGTCCACATGTGGACAACAGATGAACTGGCATCACGGTGCCGCAAAGTTTATTGATGCATGTGGGCAGCGAAGGCTAGCATGTCTGATCCAACAGAAGAGCTACTGTATCTCAGATTGTTGAAAAATACCTAATACTGGTCATAATAGAAATTTGTCAGAACAAACAATGCATTACAATTTGCTGCATATTGGGCTGTGTCATGATGACCTCTGTCCAGCACTTAAAGCTCCTTCAATGGGGATGCAAGCATTAGAAAACAATGGAAAAACAATGGGAAAAGGTTGCTTGAAATGATGAATAAAGTTTTCTTTTAGATCAGCTGGATGGCCGGGTGCCTGTCCTGCATTTTCCTGCGGAAAAGATTGCAGTAGGATACACTGTAGGTAGAAGGCAGGCCAGTGGAGGCATTGTTATGCTCTGGGCAATGTTCTACTGGGAAACCTTGGGTCCTGGAATTCATGTGGATATTACAACTGAAGACCTAATCTTATCATGATTCTGTCTAAGTGAAACTCCTGACAGCTCCAGAAAATTATTATGTAGACGACTAAGTACTCCTTCAAATTAGAACATAGTAATCACAAGGTATAAAGAGGTACATGTCTAGCCCTGACGTATGGTTTGCCAGGCAGGCTTCTCAGGGGGAGATTACTTTGACAAGAAGCATCTGTCAACTTTCAATTGTTACAGACCACGTACACCCTTTCATGGCAATGGTATTCCCTGACAGAAGTGACCTCTTTCAGCAGGACAATTCACCCTGTCACACTGCAAAAAGTATTCAGGAATGGTTTGAGGAACATGACAAAGAGTTCAAGGTGTGCCTTTGCCCCCAAATTCCCCAGATGTCAATCTGATTGAGCATCTGTGGGATTTGGTGGAACCACAATTCCGATCTAAGGAAGGCCCTAGCTCAAAACTTGCAGGACTATAATGATCCGCTGCTAATTTCATGGTGCCAAATACAGGACAGGACACATTCAGAGGTCTTGTGGTGTCCATGCCTTAACGGTCATCAGAACTGTTTTGGCAGCACGAGGGGAACCTGCACATTATTAGGCAGGTGGTTTTAATGTTATGGCTAATCAGTGTATATTAACCAGGCCATTTTATTGGCCATATTTTGCTCCTTAGCCTCATAGTCATATGTCAACCTCAGCCCCATAGCCAAACAAGTAAATATTTATTGGCACTCCATTTGCCAGGATAAGAGGATATGTAGTAATTACTGTACCTCATTTATCCTCTAATGACCTCAAAAGTTGGTTAATTGAGGATATAAGATCATTTAGCTTGGTACTGCTGTAAAAAGCAAATATAGGACAGCATTCAAAGGAGATCTCAAGAATATAGGGTAATGCATAACACACAACACTTAATATATATTAATTACAAGCTAATATCCCTTTATTCTTGATATCCTTATCTTATTCCGCCACATGCGTATTGAAACATATCTATCTACTCCAAAGCTTTAAAAAATAAGTCATTAGGAAAGACTTTATTGCCCTCTAAATTGAAGGCTTAAATGCTCTTAATTACAATTTTAATACACACAGCTGAAAATTTGATGACATAGATGTCTGTCTTAGCCAGTACGCCACATGACTTCAGGTGTTAAACTATTTAAAAAATGTGATTTGGTTTTCCAAAGATGATATAAATTAAAATGAAAAAAAAAAAAGTTTATACCGTAGCTTTATTATATATACGTATTAAGGCGATTTGGCCTGTAATTGTGGGAGATGCTTGTTATTCACTGCTAGCCTACTTAAGAGACACCCCTTACCTGGCTCCATACCGTTTGAGGTCAGCATTGAATGAGGATCCACTTCCGGGTTCTTTTAGATGCCATCTTGGTTTTCAGTATCCACGCGTTTTTCCGCGGCAAGCTGTGTCCAGGAATCCTGTTACAGGCCTTTCCGTCCATCCAGCCTCTCCTGACCCCCGGTCATCGTCGTAGATCGCGTCCCAGGGACTCCTAAACCGTAACGCAAGGATTGGTTCCCACGGCGTCCGGTGCAGCACGGGTACTCACTTTATGGTCTTTTCCCTGTTGTGTTGCGATTGGACAATCCATTCGTGGAATCATTTCGAGCAATATTCGGCAAATTCATTGTGTTAGTTAAGGGTTGTCATTTTGCCTAAAGCTGTTCCGTGTTTTTCGGCGAAACAAGCTATCCGTTCGGCTATTTCGCCTTTCGGCACTTGTTCATGATATGCTTAGCACGCTTGCCTGTTCACATAGGATTTCATATGTGTAAACTGTTCATTTCAGTTCTGTTTCCCTTGCCATAGAGTTTGGTATTTTGTCTTGCTCATGTATTCGCATAAATCCTTTTTGTGGATTACATACATAATTTCATGCCTATATCATTCGGTTAAACAATTTGGTTTTGCTTACTGGATATAAACTAATTCTATTTACTGTTTAAAGGTATCAGGTTTGTATTGGTTTCCATAGCAAACCAGTTCACATATCTGTATGGATCATTTGACTCCCACGCTGTCAGGGGTATTCCATACTGATCCATTACAGTCACGGTTTTTCAGCCTACAGTTACAGGCCTCATTTCTGTTTTAAACTATGACAAGACATATACATGAGGATACGATTTCCTTTTTCCAAGCAGGGAAGTCTCGGGTTGAATCACACGTACTGATCCAACCAATCATACGTCTTTGCATTACAGTACTATCATATACAACTTTACATCATCACTTTGGAGAATTGTTTTCACCCCTTCCCCTTTGTGGTTAATTATATGTCGGCATGACTCATCTAAGTACAGGCCGTGGCCTCCCTCCCCCTTTTTCTTACTTGAACCCCATCATACATACCCTCTGTTTCTAGCCAGAATCCTGGCACTAGAAGACACTGAATCACCTGGCCTTTTAGTAACATTTATGTTGTCATGGCATTCACTACACTTTCGTGCCATTTACCAGTTTATCTCCATAACCAAG